AGTCAAAGTACATTAATGAGTCTGGCGTCCTAAAACAAAGAAAAAACCCTGTCTGGTGTGCTCTATTTTAAAATGTAAAAATACATACACAATTGATTTAAAAATCACTTTGGGTAACTAAATTATGTTATAATATTTATTATTATATTATACTAAACCATAAAGAAATCTTCTCCTTTATTTCCACAACATATAAAATTTCTATTGCGTGTACGTAACTGCTTAAAAATTGCGACTGTAAAACTAAAATTTTAGAACACAGCATAATAATCATAATAAAAATTAATACTCACAAATGGTGGATGCGCCGGGCTAAAATACTAAATTTCTTAAACAATTCGTTGAACCAACCATAAAATAAACATAATCATTTAATATAATCCTATTTAAATTTTTTAGGGTATTTTCTTCCAAATTAAATTTTTAATGCATTTCTTAAACATCTTGTATTCTATTGCTAAAAAACGTGTCATTTTTGTTTATACCAAATAAAGCACAGCTGGTTATATGTAAATAAAACTCTTAGATACACCGGAATTAAACTACACAATTTAATCTTCTAATATGAAGCGTAGCATCTGAATGTTGCCGAAAAACAATAGATTCCTTAAATTGCTTTTAAATTATTCTAATTTTGAAAGAATGTGATCATAAAATGCAATATTTAGTGTGAAATTGTTCTACCAAGTTAAATCAGCACTACAAACTCCAATTCAGACAAAGAAAGTGGAAAATAACACAAAAGGATTTGTTCCACTTTAAAAATTATATTTGTTGTTTCACTTAAACATCTCCAGTATAATAAAGAGATAAAAGCACCACTATGATCACGTCTTTTTTATGTAGATATATAAAAATTATTTGTAAAATAAACAACGAATTTGGTTAACACATTTTACGTTCCACATAAAGCTTCCATCGAAAAGTCTAAATTGCAGTTTTGCTTTTCACATCCTCCTCTTTAGTTAAGCACACAAAAGCAATGTCGTGAAGTTCACAGAACTCAAGCAAAATACCCGGTATAAGCGAAACCGTGAATGTAGTATTCTCCAATAAAAATCGAATGTCATTTAAACCCTCACTCTTATTATTTCCGATTTTCTCCAGTTCGTTGTGATTTGGAAACCATTTTACCCGATCACTGAACCATAGGTTAAAGATTTCTGATTAGAGAAATCATAAAATAAAGTAAATATTTATTTTATACTGCAAATAAAAATTGTTTGAGTGTTTGGGTAAACACCTGAATGCAGAAAACCTTTTTGAATGTTTGAACATCGGAGGTGTTTTCTTAGTTACTTTTTTAATCAAAATATTGGTTTTGCTAATAAAACTAAAAAATCACTCTGTGACATTTTAGTCAACTTTAAACTTATGATTACGTTTATCTGTTGATGAAGCCAATATTGAGCCTAAGGACATAATATATATTAGACAGATATAACTCGAACTAAAACAACTCCTGATATTCTTAATTCATCAAAACACATACGTATGTACACCAAGTGACTGTGATGTTATAATGGATAAAAAAATATTCACTTCATTACAAGTAAAAGGTATAATTCTTTTAGGCAAGAAATTCCTAATCCGATTTTGTATAGCCGGATTTGCCACTTAAAGCAGAATTCATTTCGAAATATCGACTATATTATGTAGGTATTACAGCATGTCCCAGCTTAGCGTTCCTTTGTCACTAAACAAAAGTTATCAGTTATCACTAATTAAAATTAATTAAAAAAATCAAAATTATGACGTATTCGCAATTACTTGTACATTCAGGCTGGTTTTAAAATAATAGGCAAAATTTTGTAGGGTGTTAATTTATAACATACAAAACAAAAATGTTTTAATAATTATATTAGTATTTCCGTTGAGACTTTTAGCAACTCAAAACTTTCGAATTTACATTTGCTGTAACTTATTTTATCAAATAAGAAAACTTCTAAGACCACTAAGCACGTCCTTACATCGACTGTGCGATCAAAAAAGTGCTTTATGTCAAGCAGGCGTAGAAATTTAAAACGTGCGAAAGATAAAATGTAGAAATGCCAAAATAATTTTTATCCACAATCACTCTATAAAAAGACTTTATTCCACACCTTAGATGCGTATAAAGTACCACTTTATCCACTAGTGGAATAAGTAACTTTAATCCACTGTTAATAACCAGCGCACCGAGTAACAGCTTACTACATTTAACCGAAGGCACATTTGGCGTGACGTTTAAATGTCAGTTTAATTTTTAATTAAGTTTGGAATAATTTGGGCCTGTGATTGTGGATAAAACGTTATATTATGTACATACATTATGACAGGAAACCGTGGTGAACGATTTGTATGAATAAACATCAACAACATCTCATTTTAGGATGTTTTGAAACATTTCATAGAATAATTCAGTTTGCTTAGATCAATATTTAAATTTTTATAAAATAATAATAATAACCTATACTTGATAGAAAGACTTTTTAATCGTACTGTATAAAGATCTACAAATTAATATTAAAGTTACCTATAATAATTCAATATTTAAAAGTTTTTTTTTAATTCTGAAAGAAATTTTATTGTAAAATAATAAAACAATCATTAACAAAAAAATTCAAATGTACTGCCTTTTTACCTATGAAAATAAAATAATTAGTAGAAAATAAATAGACTTCTTTTATGTATATTTCATGATACTATATGTTGATTGAAGATTGTGCTTGATCTCGAATATCTATCTAAAACACACTATTCCTACAAAACTAGTAAAACAGCAATAAAATACATATTCTCAAAAAAATATTTTTATCATACCCTCACCATGTAGATAACAATATCTATTAATACAAATAAGTATTCGCTGTCTCTAATGGCATACAAAACGTTCATAAATATAAACTGATTTATTCCATCGGCAACAATTTCATTTAAATTTGTATAAATAGATTTGTGTAGAAAGTTTACTGACCACTGCACAAATTTGATTATTTCGGTCAAATTGCATGTAGTATAGGTGTGCACATACAAAATAGATTGCTACAAAAGTTTTGATATTTTATTTTCATTTTAATGCCATTGAATTTACTCCTCACTATCTCATGTATCCTACTATATTAACATTTGTGAACAATAACATCCATTACTGCAAATTTACTAGTAAATTTAAAAATTATGTACTTAATTATGCTTTTAAAATAATTCCCGCTAACTGCAAGACATAAAACCATACTCAAAAGTTCTCTGCAATTAATTTGAAGAAACCCATTGCATCTACTAGATTTAATTTAAAAGCACCCTAAGTATCTAATTCTTTATGAAATGTAAGTATATAAAATGCATCGCACTTGTCAGCTGTGGAAGCTCTAAAATTCTGTGCTTGAACTACCTTCTTTTTAAAAAGTTACATCATTTCCTGATTGCAACTTCAATCAATATAACTCTGAAGAAAACTTAAAAGGTAAATGAATATAATTTTGCACACTTTCGTATTTGCGGCTTTCACCTACAAAAGTGGTAACGAACAAAATTATAACGAATAAACTTCTCCTTTCAGAAGAAAAATTTACATTTCTTAACTCATGCATCTTTTGTGCATTTAAAAGTTTGTGTTTTATTACTTTATTAGCAACTAAACCATGTTGCGCCTGAGGCACATGAAATGCCGTGGCACTAAATTTCGAACAGAAATTAGGTTAAATATTAGCAACATTTCAATTATTTGAGCAGCTTTTCTATTCTTTTATACTTCAAAAGTTAAAAGTATTTCCTTATTTAAAATAACTCTGAACACAGGTAAAAGTTAATCATTAAAATGCACGTTTTACGAATCCTCAAGAAATACCTACATACATAAAAAGACCGCAATTAAAATTCTTGAACTGTGAAATGAGATAATGATGCATTTCCAGTCTAAACGATTTGTGTATTATTATTAATTGTCAGACACACTTAGCATGAAATACCTACCTATCATTCAATTTTTAGCGTAAAATTTAAGATAATTCTCTACTCTGTTAATGTTGTAACCGCTAATAAAAAAACATTTGCAATAAATTTTAAAATACTTTACATAAAAAGTTTTTCATTTAAATAAAAAGAAGAAAACAAGTGCTAAATTAAAAATTCACAGCATGTAAATAGAAGCAAATAAAAATAATCGTTAACCTAAAAATATTTACCCAAAAACATAAAAATAGAACATTACAATAAATAAGACAACTTGCATTATTATCTGTATCTTCTCAAAGTTTTCGCTTACACAAATATTGGAAATAAAATTTTATTTAATTTGCTGGTTTTTGTATTTGTTACAGAATCCGCTTTCGTTTATTATTATGATATTTTAGTTAGGTATTTTTTTTTATTAAATAACAATTAGCAACATTTATTTTTATTTTATAGTGAATTAAAAAACCTTTATAGTACCTACATCAGTTCAAATACTCGTTTAAAATCGATTAGAAACTATCCTTCAAAATTGCTTCATGGAACCATGAAACATGGCAGTCACTGATAAGCCATTAAGCTAAAACAGCTTTGTAAAGTTAGATTTTATTACTTGAACTATAGCAAATGATTCGTTTGTGCTAACATTCTGAACAATTGTGTGCAAATGAAAATAAACAGCTATTGTTTTTTAACTGTAATAAGTTTAATGATAAAGAAAAACACCAGTACTGTTATAAAATTCGAGACAAGTGGGGAGGAAAATAAACTAATTAGCGAGACTATCAGACAAAACAAAAACCGCAAAAAGCTGTTGTTTATTACTACATGAAAATTAATTGTGTTTATTTACGAATCGCATTAATGAAATAAATTATTACATAAACAAAAATTTTAGTACAAATTTTCATTACAAAAAATGTCTGCTCTCCATTTAAGAAAAATAAATCAAAATTTTCATTCGGTTATTGATTCAATCAAGTTCCTATTAAGGCTTTGTCGTACTTTATTACTCATCCGATATATCACAAAATCTATACTTAGCGCAGTTGACTGAAACACTCGCATAGTATTATTATCTTTTATTGTGTTATAAAATACTTTGACATAAAATATTGTTATAAGGCACTTATTCTAAGCAACTTGCAGCTTATCATAATAACAATAAAAGTGTCATAATGACATTAACAAATGGCACATAAATAAGAAATTGCACTGTCGCCAGCTAATGAAAAATGTGAGGTCGTTAGTAGGAACATTCAGAAAAACATGTAACTCCCATGTAAATAAATCTACATCAAAGGTCGTCGCGAGCAGGAGGTTCGTTTTCCTTAATAATAATAGAGTCCTCGGTGTCACTAATATAACCTTGTTCTCCCGTATAATGCGTTGGGTAGACTAGTAACGGAGCAGCCGATAATGCAACCAAATTTCTCTTGGGGAAATGGCCCTTCCAACTCATCTGTGGATGCTTATCAAATAATATTGGTAAATACTCGTCAACTGGCACAAGTCGAGAGAGAGGATCAGCGTTTAAAAGTTTTTTAGCTCCATTTAAGCTAAGAACATATCCTAAAGTCCAGTAGGAATAACCTGCCTCGACTAGCAAACTTGACCCTTCCACCCACGGTTCATCGTCTTCCTGCAACCTTTTACGCCCAAAATACCTAAAAATTGACATTTTTAATTTTACAAATTCCGAACATATCTTATTTTATACTGTAAACTCATTGTCTAGACGTGAAGTAACGAGATATTGAAAAAAATTAATTTCGTCATGTTTACAGAACAATTTCACAGAATATGCAACTGCAAATTATCGTAATTTAATAATACTTGATACTGCGCTATAATTAGATTAACGTGCCATTTAGGCCAAAATTATCACACAACTCTCTATAACGTTAAAACAAGCGTAAATACCATTAAATTCAAACAAAACAAATTTTTCTAACCTTTGAACTTAAAATTGATCAAAAAAATCTTATTCGCTGACTATTTTCATTGTTTTCAGGCGTTTGTAAAAGTACATATTCAATAAAGGCAAAATATTTAAAAACAAGCATTTAACAATAATAATTTCAATGTAAATTGTTTTATGGTAAAAATGTAGCCTGAAGGTCCATGTAAATGTAGATTTAGATGAGAGTAAAACATTACAATTAAAACCAATCGACCAAAAAAATAATTGCGAAGGAAACAAAATGCAAAAAATAATGCCATAAAAACATTGCATTTACGATAAACAAAACCTAAAAGGTTGAAATTTCAAAACGTTGTATAATCAGCAGAAAATTAATTATCAATATTGGATGATTGCATACAGCCTCTGAGAAAACTGTTCATTAAAATTTATTATTTCAACTCCTTATTTGCATTTTTTATTTCCATGAGCTGTCAGGGAGTTGTTTAATAGACAAGGATAAATCTAAAAGAAACAAAAAATATTCGTAACAGAGATAAAGAAAAAAGTTAATGTAATATTGCAATAAATCAATAATGAGTAAAGTAAAGTAAAATCATACTTTTATAGTAATTTATTTCAACCTAGTTATAGTTTTGCAGGTAACAAACTAATAGTTAATTTCCGATTATGAACAAACATTTTATTGTAAATTGAAATTACATCAAATATATGTTTTTATATTGTACGAAAATTGTAGCCTGTTGTAGACGTTTTAAAAACTTGTTTAAAAAAAAATTCAGGCTCGGCAAATACAAAACTTTCTCAAATAAAACTTATTAGGAGTGTGATTTTCTCACTCAAAAAAAAGTTGGATAACAACTTAGAAACCAAGTTTATTTTTGTAAAGTCTACAAGAAAAAAATTCTATTCGTACAATCTAAGATTTGTGCTGCACTTTGCCGACAAGACATAGTTTCCACCCAGTAACTCCCCTTGAAAATAAGCAAGCTGTGCTAAATCAACACCATAAGAAAACAAATGAAAACGAAGTTACTTTCGCGGTAATTTAATATTTCACAGTTGCTTAGCCGTCTTTCGCGACATCTTTCAACAAGCCACTGTTTTTGAAATTAAGTATTCAAATGAAATTTCACGAATCAGATGCCATCTTCCACCCGACAATTGATTAGCCCAGTTTCGCCACCATTTAATTTAGTTTTATTAATTACCACGTTAAGCATGATAAAATGCAATTTTACTTACACCAAATCCCAGCCGGAAACACGCTTTGTGTCGGCCATCACATTTAACACTTTACTTCTGAAAAAGGGTTCAAACCTAATATCATCCTCTAAAACAAGAGTAGTCTCATATCCGTTCCGAACAATCTAAAACAAAAAGTAATGAAAATTATTTTCGTGGGCATTTCCGACAACTCACATCCTTCCAGATATTATAATGACTTAAAAAGCATCCAATTTCTCCGAGTGTCATCGGTCTGTAAATTGAACAAATTCTATTATAATTGTGACACAAAGTTACGGCAAATCTGACACCGCATTTGCGAAACACTCTTCAAGCATGATATGATAAGAGACTTTACGAAAAGCAATTTTAGTTTGTCACTTTATTAAAAATCTCACCTTTTGTGATAAGGGTCCGCATACTCGGGCAAGGGTGATATCAGCTGCAAAATACTCGCATTCAACGCCCTGTAACAAAATGGTTATCAAACTCAATAGCAATAAAAAATGTGACAGAAAACAGATACTTTTCTGGCATCTTCCGAGTAAATGGTGCAAGCGTTTTTGATTCAAGTTATTTTTCCGATGGATGAATTAAGAAATATTGCCGCATTGAACTGATAGTTGATTAATGTTTTTTACATAATTTAAATTTTTATTCAAGTTCCATTATTATACAAAACTAAGTTCGCTTTCTTGTTTCAGATGGATAACTTCACACTTTACGAAAATGCTTCTCACAACTCCACCAATTCGGAATACGAAATAGAACTGCAAGTAATCGTAAATGTTTTCATCGCGATTTTGGTGATAACAGCTGCAATAGCGATGATTGTGAACGTGGTTGTTTTCATAAGTGTTCATTGGATAAGACGTCCGATGCCTCCAATATTGAAAATGAGCATAAGTTTGGCAGCTGCGGACGCTCTAAGCTCGTCAATATTCGCAGTGACTCTATTCATAAACACGTACCTCCCTTCTATCGGTATAAATCTATGATGGCTGGAAATAATTATGGAAATGATGAAACTGAGCGGAATTCTCGTCACGGTAACTCATTTACTGGCCCTCAGCTTGAACCACTACATCGGGATTTTAAAACCCTTGCATTACAACTCGATCGTAACAAGGCGAAAAGTTACAGCAGTAACGATATTACTCTGGCTGTTTCCAACAGCTTTCGTCATTTTCCTATTCACGTCTCAAGCCGAAGGCACCTACTGGAGTGATATCTTCAGCAACGAAACGAAAATATACTTGGAAAACCAGACGACATTTGTTGACACGTTCAGATTCAGAATGAGTTATTCCGCCTATTTTATCGTCTCCATATTCCTCATGGCCATTTGTTATACGCATATTTTAATCATCGTGAAAAAGCAGCAAAACATATGGAAAAATTTATCAAGAGTCGGGAGCACCAAATGGTCAGGGCGGTCCGTCAAACATTGCCCGAACAAAGCAAACAAAGAGCAAAAACAATTGGAGGGCAACATCAGAGCAATATACACAACACTGCTCATTCTTGGATCGTGTGTGATAGGATGGATGCCTGCTCTTCTCATTTTTGTGCTAATGTGTAAAGAAGACTGTTATATACACGGGGCGCAGCTCAGAAGCTTAAACGAAAATTATCTCATCGAAGTTATGTCAATGAGACTACTCGAAAACATGCTCATCGTTCTCAAAATGTTGGCCAATCCCATCATATACAGCATCAGAATGAAGGAAATTCAGGTATTCAGTTAATAACCGTTTTTGCTACAAGTGATTAAAGACTTTTTTATCCATTAGAAAAGCCACGAAGGTAACCATCCAAGTCTGTAATCATGAGTAGTATACAACATTTTTTCCAATGCCTCAAATATATTGTTTTTGTAACTGCATACACAACTTTGATGACAGTGATATTAAAGGGATAGGTAGCAGTTGTATATGCTTAATAAAATTTTAAATTTTAAAAAATTGCCTCACTTTATCCATTGAAAAAAGTAAAAACTAACAATATTCATCCATTTTTGAGTGTTGCTTACTAGCGAAAAATGTGTATCTAAATAAATGGTATTAACAAGAAGTTTTCCCACTTACAAAAATAGTTTTTCTATTTTCAAAATTTGAAATTGTATTGTTTTAGAACAAATTTCAAAAAGCAACACAAATTTGAGTTATTGGCCCTAAAAATACAGTAAAACCTCCCTTAACGGACACCTCTTGATAACGGACATTTTTGTAGGAATGTAACTAATACATAGGAATGTAATGTAAAAAATCCTCTCTACAACGGACCCTCTGATTAGCGGACGCAGATAGTGAAATTTTCCCCATTTACCATAAATGTTATATAAATTTACCTCTTACAACGGACAGACCGACAGAGGGGTTTACTCTAAAACAGATACTAAAGTCTACTCTAAAGGAGGCACGAACAAAACACTCCGCCACTGGTGCCAAACTCACAGTTACGACTATGGAATTTATAAAATAAAATGGAGCTGCCATTTAGTCTTCAAAAATGCAACCAGTAGTGTACAGTTAAATGTTTTTGTTGCATTACCACCTACTTACTGACTTCAATAATAAGTAATATAAATAAAAAAATAATTTTATCAGTAAATGAAACTGTTTTATAAATGAATTTTTTATATAAGGTTCAATGCTTACATTAATGAGTTGCAGAATACAGAAGAACCCCAAGAAAAAGTTGTTAGTTAAAGCAATGAACTTCAAAAACATAATCAAAGAACTTTTGGCTCTAATCAAACAAAAATTAACAATTTTTTTTCAATAAAAATATTGTTCTCTAATTTTTTTGTAATGCTTTTAATTTCTCAATTTTTGTATTTTTCTTATTTTATTTTGTAATTTGGAATGAAAAGCTTTTCAATTTTTTTATTAATTTTGCACACCTTCCATTAAGGGACACCTTTCCACAACGGACAATTTAAGATTCCCCATCGGCGTCCGTTGTTGAGAGGTTTTACTGTAGTAAAATAATAATAAAATAAATTTGTTTTTAGTTCATTATAGGCTATTATGACCAAAACATAATGAACAACTTTGTTAACAGAATATTAAATGTATTATTTGATGTTCACCACTGCATTCGTAATGTGGCTTGTCTAGTCAGAGAATCACATAATTATGTGTTAATTTTGCAACGTCAATGCATTTAAAAATGACGCTGTAGGCGTTCTCGACTTTCTATCTCATCCCACACTATTCTAAAAATCTGATTCAAATCACCCTTCCTAACAGCTAACTCTCGAGCTAACTGAAATTGTTATTTAACGATTTATCAAATTCGTGCCACAAAAAATGGATTAGTCGAATTTAGAAGTTAGAACACGATTTCTTGTACTTAATCATTGTTGTTTCTTTCCGTTAGAAGGAAGAACGAAACTGCAAAACTCAATTGTATCACTGTTAAAATGTATGAGAGCAAGCAGTAAAATAAATAAGATGTGTGAAGAGTGAAGTTTAAACAAGTTGCTTTTACCCACCTTCACCTTGGAAAAAGGCCAATTTGACAAAAAGCTACGTTGGCGAGATGAATACAAAATTTACTACTTTATCCTTATAAATATTATACAGGGTGTTTTACATAATTTTACGGAGCCTGCGCCTGTAAGATGCAATCAATAATACATATTCCGGTGCAAACTCGATTACAAATTTTGAAAAATTGGATAATCTTCTCTAGTTTGTTCACCATTTTAAGAATTAAACGTTTTTAGTTAGTTAGTGATTAAGATAGATAAAAAAAAAAGATAAATAGAATCATATTCATGTCGTCTCTTGATAGAACAAATTAATAGTTTCTGAAAAACAAATCTGCAGTTTATTAATGAAACAGTGATTAGTTTGACATGGGTTTCTAAAAATTAAATAATTAAATGTGTATTTTTTGTATCTAGTGTTTTGTGAATATTCAAGTGCGTACATTAGGCGCAAGCCTCGTAAAGTTGTGTGAAACACCCTATAGTAATAGAAAATACAAAAAAGAGTTAAAAAGTGGTAATAACAATGCAATTAGGTTTTTAAAATCGATTTGTAATGTACCTAAACCAAACATTATAATTAGGGGATGCGTTCAATTTAATGTAATCTAATGAATAAAATTTCATTACCTCCTCGTAAAAAAAGGAAAATGTGAAAGGAATCATTTTAAAGTTAGAAACTCCACTCAAAAAGCAATTTCTTTGTTAACATTTGTGAAACATTAGCGATTAATGTTTTATAGAAAAGTATTTTCCCAGGTTTTCCCAGAACGCATCAATACTTGATTTGTAAAGTCTCCAGTAACCTAGTATAAATGACAAGTCTTATACACCTTAGACATTAACGGCACATAATAGTGTTATTAATTGAAGATTAGTCTTCACAATAAGATGTTTTGACAAGGGTATGTCGGTAGACATTCACGACATCAGTCTCTCTGTTCAAAATACCAGAGCCAGCTTTAGCTTAATTGATTAAACAAATACTTGATAGCTTTGCATTAGAAAAATAATCAGTGAAAGAAAAAACTTTTTGTGAGTGGTTGAAAACTTTAAATTTTTCAAGTCAACATTTTGTAAAACAGTTAAAGCAACTGAAATGGATTAAAAATTTAAATATAAAGGTTAAGTTTTAGCAAATAAATATTAAATAGTATACAATATAAGTTGATAAATAAAAAAATCACTAGCTGCATTAAATTAAATGTGTAATCAAAGTGACCTGCGACTTTGAAATTATAAGTTGGCAACACTAATTGATATTAGATTTTAGGAGTATGATTAGAGGCCGCCGTCCAGACTATAGACTATAAAAATGTTTAGTTTAAATTTGATAGTTAATGTTACCAACCTAATCTCAAGTCAAAGACTAGCTTAATCAGAGATTTATTAGAAAGCATGTTATTCTAAGTAAAACTACCTAAAATTAACCACGAATCTACTTACAGTTCCTCAATTATATTATAACCTAATCAAAAAATACAGGAGACACAGTACGAGTATGTAGTTTTATTAAGAAATGAAATATTCACCCGCTGTACAGCTTACTTATTTTAAAACACTCTAAAATATGCATTAAAAAAAATTCAATAACGACATTCTTATATCGGTAAGAATTGAGCTTCCGTAGATGTAAAAAAGATCAAAGGGTTTTGTATTGCCTAGAATTTTTCATAATTTTGCTAAAATTCATTTTTTGTTTAAGAGTATCTTTTTTGCACATCAACTTTTTAAAACATTAAAAGCAATTTAATAAAAAAAATATTAATTTTATTACACAAATTTTCCTGAAATTCTATTTTCTACTTTGGTATCGATTCGATTTCTTAATTTAATATAAAAAATTTAATTGCTATCGAAGAACCGGTAAATTCAATTATTACCCACGTTTTAAGCGAAATTAAAATTTGTTGCAGCGCCTGCAGGCGTAACAAAGCCTTGTCGATTCGTCAGTTAAATTTACTACACTCCTAAAGCAGATTTGATGCAACGAACACATTAATTTTCTCTTTTACGGTTGTTAGAAATAAGACCCGTATAAAACGTACGTCTTTTTCAACTTGTGAACTAGGATCAACTCAACATAAAAAAACCACACGAGGAGAACGTTAACGTTGTACCTACTGCTTGAAATGCGTTCGTACTCCTAAATGTTAATTTTATTTTTTTAGCAGTAAAATGTAAAAAATCTAGAACAAATTGCTTCTTGTAGGAATATACCAACTTCCGTCGATTATTTCCGGTTTACTACTCAAATCTCTTTCGGTGCAGTTTCTGCTACTAAAGTTATACAGTTGACTGGTTAAACCAGTCGCTTCATTTCCGTCCACTCGATTGATTAAATGTTTATAAATATATTTTTTTCAGGAAGGAACCAAGCATATGCAGTCGGCACTATTGAAGGTTTTTTGTCCATCGAGGCCTGACAGCAACAATTACACCCTCGCTTCACGCCGATCTCCAAATGCATACAATTGTTCATTACGCACACGATTAACGACGGCCTCAATAAATAACAGTGGACATACAAGCCACGTTAGCATCGGACGAACCGATTTGGTTAATACACTTTTGTAAAATCATACACTTTAATTAAAAAATGTATTTTGAGGTAACGATGTGACGTTGGAAAATGTGGATCGAAGATTAATTGCTTGTCGATCGAATCACAATGACCGTATTAGTTTTTCTACGTGTTACCTCCTCGAACAAAGAAAAAATGTTTTGCTCAATTTTGGTTTACACATTTCAAGTATTTAGCATTATTTCGCAAAATGAAAAATATAATCAACATAAAAACTGACAACCAAAACAATCTAATAAATATTACTGTAAATATGTATGCTTGAGCTTAAAATACCATGTATAAAATCATCAACCGACCTACATTTGGCAGTAATTATATGACACTACTGATTACAGTAACATTGTTTATTCCACACATAAATGTCTCTTGATTAACACATATTATTACTGTATTTATATCTAATTATGTAAATGTTCGAAATAAATGTATTTTCTGTTATTTGTTCAATTAAATACCTTTCTTTAATAGTAGGACGTTTTAATAGCCAACACGAGCGTCAAAACATTGCCTCCAAGTTTGTCCCATAGAAAAAAAACACAAAACTCTGGAGTACCTAAATAAAAGCCACATATATGTCATAATAACTTTTCTTTAATATTAAGTTATAATACTTTTTCAATCAACTACTTCTTTATTTCGCTTATCCTAAAAATAGAATGACTAGAACGTATTCACTCAAAAGGGAATAAAAGTTTTTCGCAGATTAAAGTATAGGTATAGTTGCCAGAAAGATATACCGTGTTTACAAGTTAATCCGGTATTTAACTTTTACTAATTTTTATGAAGATCTAAGCGCGAGCTAGACTAAAATAAAGGGAGGTAGGAAAACATATTTCCTCAATGCTGGGACAGGCCCGTTTTCATATAATTTTGTGTGCTGATTACAGTTTTGTGTTCGAGTGGCCATAAACTTATTAAAAAATCAAACCCGTAAAAGGTTGTAAACACGGTATATCTTTATGTCGATTTTACTTAAGTACTACTTCGGTCTACTGCTTAGGTACTACTAAGTACTACTTAGTAGATACTATATAGTATCTAATAGTAATATTTTTGATTTAGAAACAAAGGATAAACTTCCTGTACCTAAGTATACTCTAAAAATAAATTTTCAAATGATAGTAAATATTAATTTTAACTCAATCGGTGAGTTTTTGTTAAAACACGGTAAAAATGTTCACAAATTCCTATATAAAAATAAGGTTGACATTGGTTAATTCGTGTTTCATCCAATTTGGATCACTTTTGACGCAAATTTGTCTTATTTTAAAAGATTTTACAAACTGTTGAAATAAATCGAAAAACAAGTTTTAACATTTAATAATTTAATATTTCTACATAAAATGTTTTTGACAAAAATCTCGCTTATTTTGATACTAAAAAAATGTATATCTACTGTTGTCCTTTGTTTCCTTTAATCGTATTCAATTCCATATAAAAATATTTATTATTACAAAAACATATCCCGGCGCATCCACCATTTTCATCGGAAACCTAAAAGCCTAAACCTCGTTTATTTAAAAAAAAATATGTTTAAATAAGTAGTTTTTTTTAATTTAAATAATAATTAATCATTTTTTTACTATTTTGCCTAACTCAATGTAAAATTAATAAAAAATTTAGTGTTTATATAGTAAGCTTTTACACCTGCTTACGTACAGAAATAAGCCTTCAATGAGAATCTCAATATAACACAACAACGTCGATTGTAATATTATGTAACCACATATTCAATAAACATCAAACACCAATACCGTAGTTACTTACGAACTAATATACGAACTTTTACAAAGGTTTGACATTCTCGTAAAGCTCATTACATCATATCCGTGTACTTTGCCTTGTTACTTAAACTGCATCCACATATAGGGTTATTTATATACAATTATTTATATTTTAATTTAAATAATAACTCGTGTCCGATCTCTATTGATAATAATTTTACATGTGGGTATGGAATTTTTTTTTTGTAATAACTTTAGGACCATTTGACCAAATATTATAATATTTGGAATAGTTACTTGCGAGAACATACCCTTTAGGCTAATAATTACGAAAACTGGATACATCTACTCAATTTCCGGTTTCAGCAGTTGCAGGTCACATTTTCTGTGTTTTTTCGTTTATTTGGCTTCTTAACACTAATTTTTTATTGCTTAAATCTAAAGAGTAATCAATCTCGATTAAAAAACGCATAACCTTTTATACCACTAAAATGGACCGTTTTAAAGATATTTTTATTTAAAGTGAGGACTGGACAACGCTGAAAATAAAAAATATGTATTTTAAATAAGTGGTATCCACGGCAACCAATGACCATGGTCACATAAATCCCTGCCAGGCATATGTTAACTTTGACGATACATTTTTGTGAATTTTTTATAAATTAAATGCTACGAGATCCATTTGGATTTATTCTAAGTTATGTTTAGAGTCTGCGGTAAACTCTTTTATTAAATATTTTCGATTAATCGTCTAATAATCGTCCAATCTCAAGTTGACAGATGCCTGACAGCAAAATATGTGACCATGGTTATTTGTTGCCGTAGATATCACTTATTCAAAACTCATACTTTTTGCTTTCAGTGTTGTGTAGTTCTCACTTTAAATTAAAATATCTTTAAAACGGTCCATTTTAGAGGTATTAAAGGTTACGTGTTTTTTATTCAAAATTGATTACTCTATTGTTTTGATCAAAAAAAAAAAGTTAAGAGGCCAACAAAACGAAAAAACACAGAAAATATGACTTGCAATTGCTGGACCCGGAAATTGAATAGATGTATCCGGTTTTCGTAATTACTAATTTAAAAGGTATGTTCTCGCAAGCTTTAAAATTCTTATAGTAGAGATAGGACACGAGTTATTACATATTTAAATTAACATCATTTTATAGCTCATTTTTGAGGTTCAAATATTGCTTCATATTTATGAATAACCCTGTATACAAAGTGCGCAAAAATATGACAAACATTTCATTACCATTTCCTTTGGTTATTTTATTATTAAATAAATTTTGTCGGCTTTGAATTAAGAACAAGAGTTCCATTTAAAAAAATATAAATATTGAGTGGGTCGTCTACACAGCGCAAAAACAAGATATAGTTACGAAATTTTGTTTGCACTCATTTATTGGAGATTAAAATATTGACTACGAGAAAGACTACGAAATGTTGAGAGACTCTCAGAAATAATATAGATATTATAATAGACATATGTTAAGGCAAGAAATTTAATTTAACAAATTCTAGAACGAAGCTATTTTGAAGAGCTATTATCTTTGTATATTAAGATCGATCTGGCTTTAAGCTGTTGTTTCCGATAGGAATTTCATCGTAAGCAGTGAGTGGAAAGCCCTTTCAGCGAACACATGTAAAAAAATTATTGCTTCACTTCACACTTACTTAACCACCTTTGACGATGGAATAACACGTATCAAAATGTGCGTATCAAGAAGATTCAAAAATCACAAAAATCCATAACTTTAGTAATTTACGTTCAAAAAAAACATATTTTTTTTTAGAAATGTCCACATCTTTTAATTTAAGTTAAAACTAACCTGTTCATATTTTGTATTACTGATCATCTAAACTGCCTAAAAATGTAACACAAAATTTGTCTAGTCTATATTTAATTAATTAAATTAACATTAAAATTTTGGGCATAGAAACAAAATAATGTGCTCCCAAAAATAATTGTAAACGCACGCGCAAGAGTAATTAATTACCTTTAATCAGTTATTTCAATGTAACCAGTGAAAAATCACTATTATTTAATATTCTCTTTATGTGTAGGTGTTAGGTAAGTAATTAATAAACAATCAATACTGAAATTGTTCTTAACATGTGCAAAACAATCATTAGGTAACAAATATTTATCGAATATAAGCATACTATAATATAAGAATATTTAATTTTCAGTTACACTCATAAAGACAATGATTATATTGATAAAACAATTAATGCTTCTTGTCAAATATTCTTTTACCTTTCAAAGATTAGTTTATAGTTAGTATACAAAGCCAGCGAAATATCAGTTTTGTTAAACACATTTTATTCAATATAACATAATAAACTTATTTCGAAACTTGCAACTTTAACTAACAAACTCCAATGTAACATGTTAGTATATACCTAAATCAGTTATTAATTGATTATTAATAACTTTCAATATTAATATTTCAATCACGTGAAAATAGTTTTTGCCACAGTGACGACGTAATAATTCTATTTCCTCGCTTTGCTCTAATCGCCAATTTCGTCCTAACTCTGTATTGAACTGGACCCTCTCCATACTGATGAATCTCTACATACTTTTTTCATTTAACCTTCTATTTATGACGGAACAATTTATCAACACATTCTGTCGGCCACATTCGACTTATATTTAAAAATAAAAATATTTTTTCTACTTAATTTTTTTCACAGTACCTACGTATACTCATTACACATTATTATCCCAAAGTAGCAAACAGTGTACTACAATCGCATAAAGAAATAAAAATAATAAACGGTTATTTTTGTAATTTAAATTCATTTTGTATCGGACAAAGAATTACAATTACTAGAAAGCAATTGATAAAAAATCCTACCTTCCATCCACCGCGTCAACAATTGTAACTTGAAGTCCAAGTTCGTCAAAGCAAAACCTCATTCTTTCCCTTCTTTCCGGTCGGCGCAGCAAATTGATCATAAAAATTTTATCAAACCCGAGAGTATCTTTTTCGGGAAGCCACGTATAAAACTCTAACAATTTGCTAACGTTTAGAGGTTTCTCCTCAGTCAGAATCTCCAATTTAATATTCGTCAACTGTTCGAAATCAACTGCTAAGTTATCTTCTTGTTCCAAAGGCACCATAACAAACCCAAACTGTTTATCGTTGCATAAATTTAATGAGATTCCGCTCCTGTTTGCTCCGATAGCAAACGTGATGATATCATCAATGGGACCATCAAAATTTGGCACTTTCGTTGGATTATAAGTTAGAAAATCTGAGATTTGTCTCCTCAAATCGACGAGGACGCAAGAGTGGACCATTGGTACATTAAAACAACCGACGTTTTCGCGGTTTACTACAGGTTTGTAGTCTTCTGTTCTTTGGTAATAGTAATCATCAGTCATTCCGTACCAGAAATTTGAATATAATCCGTCGGATTTCAGCATGGGGGCTACTACAGTGTAGTTCTTTGCTATAAGTATGTCTAGTGTTTTTGGATTTGTTAAAAAAACGTCGCAATCGATTGTCTACAAATAAAATTTCGAGACTATAAATAAATCAAAAAACATATAGGCTTGGCCTCTATGCCACCATGCCCCAAAACGGAACAAATTAACATAAAATAAATAAACATTTACCCAATAATAATCTGCCCAGATTTTTCTAGCAAAATTCAAAGATGACTCTCTCAAATCTATGACGTGATTAAATCGTTCCTGGGTCCAATGAGCAGGACCATTTTCGTTAGGATAAGCTTCATCCCCTTCAACAAAATCGGTACTAATCAAATGATATTCATCCTTGACCGCATTGATCCATTTCCGCAAAATTTCAATCGTCTTATCACTATTGTGGTCGCTCCTTATCCTGAAAAATTTCCTTTCAAATTTCGCGCACTTTTCCATAGCAACCAATCACACAACCGGAGAATACCTGAACCGGTGTAATGTAAACACAAAACTGTCAACACTTACCACAAAGAAATTCGATTTTTGGGATAATCGAGATTTTCCAAAGTTGTTAAGAAATAAGGTAATGTGTGAGCTTTATTTCGGGCCAAAATAGCAATGAAAACTGTGGGTTTTTTCCACTCTGAGGCCACGTTTTGCAAACACAAAACAAGAAAAAGCACTACGAAGCGCAAAAACATTTTTAAACTTTAACGTAAAATCATTGAAACGTAGTGTTTTACTCAGTAAATAAATTTCAAACCACACTTTTCAAATTTTACCGAAACACAGCTGATATCCGGATGGGCAGTGACAATTTGCTCTGGAAAACTGGCGCGAAATTCAAACTACATAAACATTTGTAGATAATTTATTACAAAAATCAATTTGTAGTTATTTCAGTATTGTCAGTACTCTTGACTTCTTTCTTTTTCTTTGAAGCGTAGCTTAGACCTGCCTTATCAAAATCTAAAGGCATAACACCTAAATCACCACTGTATCTATTTTTACAAATCTACAACAATATGATTTAATTAATAACTGAAAAATAACAGCAAATTAGACAAACTTGTAAATATTTTTTTCCTCTAGTAGATGTCAGTCTTTTATCTTGAATAATAAATACATTGTCAGCCTCTTGTGACGCTTTGGCTCCTCCAAAAATAGAACTTGTGGTGAGATTTTCTTCATCCCTTTCTTTCCTGGGATGGATTACTAGCGTAACGTGGCAATTTTTTCTTGTAGCAAAGGTGCGAAAAGCCGCAATTATCACATCTTGTACCCAAAACCGATCCATATGTCTAGAATCTTCAGTAATTCCCATCATAAACTGGACATTATCAATGATAACATGGGCGATATCATGAACATAAGTAGCGTGTTCCACAGCATCCATTACGACTTTAATCGTTTGTTGGCCATGAAACGTCATAAAATAGATAGGCAAAAGTTCAAATTTATCAGCCAAACTATCAAAACGGGACAAATCTTGATCAAGAGGAAATCCAGCGTATTGCTGCAACATCGTCCTTGCTAAACGAACGTTTCGTATCTCAAAACTGCCCCACAACGTATTCACCTAAAGCCAAAAACAGAGCTCAAGTAATTCAACAGAAATTATACATACACCTTGCATTGCCAGATCTAGGGAATATTCACTTATAAAAGTCGTTTTACCGCAACCTGTAGGTCCAGTTATCACAGTTAGTTCGCCCCTTCGGTGCCCTCGTAATATTTTATTCAAAGTGGGAAACCGTTTCCACTTTACTCCCTCGACCTGGAGTTCAAATTTTAAAAAGTAATTACAAAACGTTGATACAAACCTTGTCAATGTTTTGCAAATCGGAGAAAACATCTTTTCTCAAATTTGAAAAATTTGTTATAGACTTGTGCCATATTGGCTGGGCTGAATTAAGAATAGATTTAAAGTCTTGGCCTTCAACAACATGTGGCAAAAGTTGTTTTTCATTGGGCCTACAAATTTTTATTTAAATTTCAGTATGTTGATATGAATAGAACAAACCTAACAAAAAAGCACCTCCTTTCGCCCAATTTTTTTGCAAAATGTCTTGCTGAATCCCATGATTTTAAATCATTACCAAACCATAGAATTAATTTTTGAAATCTTTCCAAAGTTGGTAAAACATACTGAGATAAACTGTTTACGCCATTTGGTAAACATACAACGTTTAAAGTTACTTTGGAATTTAAAAGTATTAAAAAATCAGGTATATTGGGCACTAAAATGGCAGTTTCTCTATTTTTTAACGCTTTTCCCACGATTAAACCTCCGTACATTATATGAGGAATTATCACATCTTCCCCATTTTGATGACTTATTTTCCTGTATCCTACTGTTTCAGATTCAACATTTTCCAAAGGAAAGAAGAGATTCTGTAGTGGCTTATCTATCCTTACATCTAGGTTTTTAATAGATTCACTTGAAATTATCTAAAAGAGATTAAATTAATTTTGTTCAATTGATAGTAAAATTCTTACTGGAAGCTTAAACTTATTGAGAATTTTTTCAAACTTATCACTATTTATCAATAAATCACTTGATTCCCTGACTTGTTTTAAAGATTCTAGTAGTTTCTCTTGATGATCCAACACGTTGCAAGTTTCTGGACCTTTTTTAGTTTTCTCCTTTTTTGAATTAAAATAATGATCTAGGAAATTCCACTGTCCAGTAAACTTACATAATGAACACATAAACATTCCTAAAATTACTTGAATAGTCAATAACACGACTTGAAAACAAACAAACCTGTGGCCTTATTAATGTATAACTTGTGTATATTACTTTTTGCTCGTTTAGTACAAAAAGGACACGCAATTATAAAGCACGTAAAACCCTCATCGAAACTTATTTTTTTGCTATTGAGGACCCTTTTTATCAAGGTGGAAGATACTTCTGGTATGTCTTCAAACGGAACATCAGTAAATTTTCTGGTTTGTACACTTAAATTCAACACTTTTTTACTCAAAAGAGCAACCCTATTTAACTTTAATAACTTTACAAAAAACATTATTTAAATATGATATAAAAAACTTGTAAACAAAACATTTGCGCCATCTTACTCAAACGTCAAAAAATCAAGTATGCAACATAACATAAATGTTACTAAATTTTTAAAATAATATTCTAAGAACGTCTATTACATCAAAATTACAACTAACATGCAAATGATTTCGGCAAATACTTTTATCTCACAACTGAGGTAAAAAAATTAAATAAGGTACAAAATTTATTTGAAATTAAGGGCTTTAAATTTTGTTATGTTGGTAGACAATTTTTTAGGTTAAGGTGTTGTAACCTCAATTGCACGTGTTATTTTTTTTATCCAGTTGTCTTTCTAATTGCGAAAATGGTACGAAGACACAATAACCAGTTGCCGGAGAACCTGCCACAATTGCAAAATCTTATAAAACGTGACCCAGCCTCATATCATGAAGAATTCATGCAACAATATCAACATTTCCAAAACACAATTCAAGTTTTTGAGTTAAGCCCTGATCAAACTAACAAGACTTTGGATGATTTGGTCATGTTTATGGCACAAGTTTCCCATTGTTATCCCAAGGAACTTATGAACTTTCCTCAACAACTGATTGATTTATTAGAAAAAAATAGTACAGTTCTGAACAGTACCATGAGAATGACCTTCTGCCGAGCTCTTATCCTTCTACGGAATAAGAATTTATTGGCCCCCACGGACCTATTGGAGTTATTTTTCAAGCTTCTGAGATGCCAAGACAAGGCGCTGAGGTCGTTTTTGGAAACTCATATAATCACAGATATAAAAAATTTAAACGCTAAACATAAAAATGCCAAATTGAACACAACTTTACAGAATTTTATGTTTACAATGTTGAAGGATACAAACTCAAGAGCGGCAAAAATGTCTGTTGATATCATGATTGAACTATACAAGAAGAATGTTTGGAATGATGCAAAAACCGTGAATGTCATTGCTTCTGGCTGCTTCTCCAAGTTTACAAAAGTAAGTGAATTAATTAGTTATAACTGTTATAAAGTTGGACCTTAAGGTAATGGTAGCTTCAATGAAGTTTTTCTTGGGGAAAGACACTGAAGAAAAGGAATCTGATTCTGATTCTGATGAAGAAATAGACCCCAAAGAAGTGATGATGGCCAACAAAGTCAATAAAAAGACCAGAAAAAGAGAAAAACAATTGAGTAAAGTTAAAAAAATGGCGTCAAAGGCATACAAGAAGAAATCTGCAGCACCTGTTTTTAATTTTTCTGCTTTACATTTGATCCATGACCCACAAGGTAAGTAAATCATTATATAATTTCTCATTAATTTACCAAAAAAATTCAAGGCATGGCTGAAAAACTCTTTAACCAAATAGAAACAACAAATAAGAGATTTGAAATTAAAATTTTAACACTTGATGTTATATCACGGCTTATTGGATTACATCAACTCTTCTTATTCAGTTATTATCCTTATATTCAACGATTTCTACAGCCGCATCAACGCGAAGTAACGAGAATATTACAATTTGCTGCACAAGCAAGCCATGAGCTGGTCCCTCCAGATGTTATTGAACCTGTATTAAAAACTTTAGCCAACAATTTTATTACTGAGAGAAACTCATCAGATGTTATGGCTATAGGACTGAATGCAGTGCGTGAGATATGCTCAAGATGTCCTCTTGCCATGAATGAAGATTTATTACGTGATTTAGCAATGTATAAAAACTACAAAGATCGAGCTGTAATGATGGCGGCTAAATCTCTTATCCACTTATTTAGAAACACAAGGCCTGAGTTACTTCATAAGAAAGATAGAGGGCGTCCTACTGAAGCAACTGAAGAACTTGGCTCAATAAATTATGGGCAAGTTGATGCTAAAGATTATGTACCAGGGGCTGAAGTACTTTTAAAAGAAGATGACGAGGAAGTTGAGATTGATTCAGAATCGGGCTCCGATGATGAGCAGTGGATTGATATAAAACACTCTTCTGATGAGGAGGAAGAAAGTGGTGACAATAGCAGTGAACAGGAAGCAGAAGAAGAGGAACAGGAAGAAGAAAATGAAACACAGGAACGCAAAATACTGAGAGCGAAAAAATCGTCGGAAGATAAATCTAAAAGAGACTTGGCACACAAAATAACCATCGACCGCATTTTAACTGATGAAGACTTCAAGAAAATTGATATGGCCAACATTAGAAAACAGGTTCAGGGCCCTAAAAAAGGAACAAAGCGGAAAATCGAAGAAATTAACCGAAGTGAGCCGTCTGAACTTGTCAAATTGGGAGATATAGAAAACATATACAAGAAACGAAAGCATGATAAACAAACAAGAGTTGAAAGTGTTAAGGCGGGACAAGTGGATCGAGAGAAATTTGGATACAAAGATGGGAGATTGAACATTCACTGCTCAAAAACGAACCGGGAAAAAAGGAAAACGAAAAATTACCAAATGGTGAAACACAAAATGCAAAGAAAGGGAAAACGGAGTTTCAAAGACAAGCAAATTGCGTTAAGAAATCACTTGTTAAAGTTGAAAAAAATGAAATAATTTTGTATTTTTCTTGTTATTTAACAAATTATAAATAAATTAAATAAAAAATATTTTTGATGAAGCAATCACCCGAATGAAATGTCAAACTTTTGACACGTGACGGGTCACATAACCTAAATGCGTTCCATAACCGCAATCCCTTTATAGTGTCACTTTACCAGTTACTCATGTAACACAAGTGAATGCATGTTAATGTAAATGTTTTTGTGATAAAACACTCACTTTGGTAATTGTATTAATTTTGTATTCAAACCGCCTGTACAAAAATACATTAATTAATGTTTGGATCTTGAAAAAAAAAAAAAGAAGCAATTATAGGTATTTTTAATTTTACATATTAACAATTATTTATTGTCCTCTTTTAGGTTGAGAAAAAACAAGTATTGAAAAATGATGGACCGCGTGAATAAAGATTTGCTTCCTATGAAAGCACATTATTTTCTATTTAATGCAGGTAGGTGTCTTATTTTTTGTTTTAATGGGGAGCTTCAAAGTTACGTTACCCCTTGCAAACCCAAAATTAATAAACTAGACACTATTGAACTTTGGTACTCACAGTAATTTCAGTTTTTTAATTACATTGTCATTTTTTATTAGAGAGTAACATTTATGCTACTATTGTTATACAACGTTATCTCTTATTGTATGATTACAATAATATAACGATCACATAATTGGAACATCAACAATTATTGCCATATAAGTAGTCATCTTTTAATATTTAGTTAATGTGTTGCAATATTGCGGATTTTGACTCGAAAGGTCTTATTTCTTTAAACTCCATAAAAATATGTAAATTGCAGTTTTACATAATAATTAAGTGATGTGAAAATTATCATGTTTTACAGACACAATGACTGATTTTTGTTCGTAATTAAATACAAATTTAAAATGCGTTAGTAGATACTTTTATTGCAGAATTTGCATGTTAAAGGAATAAACTATGTGTTTTCTTGGTTCTGCAATTAAACTACATACTGATATTATGTTTAGATTACACATTATAAAAGGCTTATTAAAGTAATAAAAATGAGCTAAAAGATGATTTATTTTGAATTTTTTATAAAGTCGTAAGGTTTCAAAATAGTTATTATTAACTTGTTTTAATGTTCTGCAGTTAAATGAGGAATATTCGAGAGAGAGGAAGATTCGAGAGAAACAAATAGTTATAAAACAATGTAAAAATGGTATTTTGTTACGAATTTATTACATTTTTTAAATGATAAGTACACAAATGCATGTATAAGTTTTGATTTCAATAATGTAAATAATGAAATAGATCATACGACTCTGGCCATATGGTGTTATCACAACATTGATATTTGCCATACTGTTTATTAAACCTTTAATTATTCAAAATGCTATCGGTTACATGTCTAACTTTTATTAGTTTTTTTGGGTAAATAAAAATTTAAACAATATGTATTTTTTTAAACAGACGTAAAATATACGTAGTGCATATAAAATAAGAATAGTTAAAATAATGATAGCAGACAAACGTTTTACTTTTTATTATTTAGATTTTTAGAAGGCTAAATTTTATTTATTGCCTATTCAATTCCATTGCCTGATTCGTGATTAGGGATTACCTCAGAAGATTGAGGAATGTCATAAAAATCTTTTAGCAAATCATAAAATAATTTTTACCCTATTTCTGCTAATGATTATTACAGCTATTTCTCTAAATTAAAGTAAATTTTAATGTGTTTAAGGTACCGGGCCTGTTCAACCGTTCCTCTCCACATATGCAAGACAGCTAGGGTTTTCCGCTACAATCGTAGGAGTAATTTACACAATTTTGCCTATAAGTGGCATGCTTGCGAAACCGATCGTCGGTGCCATAGCTGACCGTTTCAGGTGCCAAAAACTGATGTTTTTGGCTGCACAGCTATTAACGGCAGCTGCCTTTTTAGCAATCAATTTTTCACCTGAAATCCCGAAAGACCAAAAAGTCCACTTTGCGTGTGACGGTGATGCAGTTTTTGATACTTCACCGCTCACAAAAGTCGAAATTGATGACTGTCTCGTCGACCAGTTCCAGAAAATACCGGGAAATGTTACTTGTCGAGTAATTCTGAATCAAGCGATTTGATCGTTTTCACATTATTATGATTGTAGTTAAGTTGTCCAATGGAGGAGCAGTTTTGGAAAGTGGTAACCCAGTACTGGAACGCGTCGGAATACCAGAATTACCATCCAGATAAATTCGAATTCACTGCGTTTGTTGTTCGGGAAAAAACTGTGAGAATTAACAACGCCACCTATTTTGGTTTTAAATATGTGGAACTGAACAGTGGTAAAACCACCAAAGCTTTATGTCCATGTGGTAAAGAGTGTCACATTTCGACTGTTTGTGACATCACTTGTGATGACTATAATTTGAACAATATGGTCACTCAGACAGCAGTGAGTGATGAAGATGTTTACAGTAAATCACAATTTTGGATCTTCCTCGTACTCATGATATTCGGTTGGGTGGGACAAGCCGTGGTTGTCAGTGTCGGAGACGCCATCTGTTTTCAGTTACTGGGTAAAAAATATAATTTTGTGAACACTGAACAGTAAAAATTTTAGGCGACAAACACAACCGGTATGGCTACCAACGTCTCTTTGGAGCCTTAGGCTGGGGAATCTTCAGCGTCATTGCGGGCGTTATGGTGGACTCTCTGAGTGAAGGTTCTTCGAAGAAGAACTTTGAATCTGCCTTTTACCTCTCCTTTGCCTTTTTACTCCTAGATTTTGCAATTTCTAGTAATATAAAAGTGAGTTTATTAAGAATGTGAGATATTTTATTGAAACGAATTTTTCAGAATGCTCAAACAAATCAGTCTACCAGTATTCTCAAGGACGTGGGCCGATTACTGGTCGAATTTCGCATTGTAGTTTTCCTAATTTGGTGCATAGCAGTGGGCATGTGTACGGCTCTAATGTGGCAGTTCCTATTCTTCCTGATCGAAGATCTTGCCAAAAATCAGGGTTGCGATTCCCAAGAGTGGATCAAGACTCTCGAAGGGATCGTTCAGGCTATTCAGACACTCGCGGGAGAAATGCCGTTTTTCTTCTGGTCGGGGAAGATTTTGAAGCGTATTGGACATATAAATGCAATGTCGCTGGTTCTTTTGGTCATAGGGATAAGATTTACACTGTATTCAGTTATAACCAATCCTTGGTGGTTTTTACCCATTGAGTTTCTCAACGGGTTGACTTTTGGCCTGTTTTATGCCTGCATGACGAGCTATGCAAGTGTCGCAGCGCCGCCGGGGACTGAAGCAACAATGCAGGTAGGTTTTAAAATTTATAACAATAATAAACACGAAAATGAGAAACACACAAACTGTTAGAAGAAAGATTTTATCACTATCGAAGCTGATATTTTCTATTTAATTTGTTGTGTTGAAAAGAGTGTGGAGTTTGTCGCAAAAAGACACTCTACATTCACAGTCTTTTAAACACATCAAATTAAATAGAAATTATCAGCTCCCATAGTGATAACACTTTTAACCAAAATAGGAAAACTAATATTTTTAGACAATTCATTTTGTAGTCACTTTTTTATCGCTTCAATTGCAATTTATTTTTTAACTTAACTTTTTAACAAAACTTGTTAAATCGTTTAGATACTGATTTCTTTAATTTAATTAACTAATTTACTTTTGTCTTTATTTCTTTCGAAAAATATTTCATATTGTTTCATTTAGGGTCGGTTTGCAAAATATTTGACTACAACTATCTTCGCGATAAATTTAACATAATTTTAATAAGTTCAATTCTTAATTAAATATTTATTTTGTTTACTATGAATCACTCTTTATTGAATTTTTAAATGTACCTATAACGAAATTACAAGGCGTCCTAAACTAGAGAGTTTCTATTATTAGCTTAATAGACCAAAATGCATTAAGCATATTCAACTTAAAATAAAAGAAATGATAAAAAATAGAATAACACTATTGCCAGTACCTTTTTTTCTTATATTTAATTAATTACTATAAATATCAATCCTCTTTTTATTCTTCTAATAATAAGTTCTTAGGAACTACGCTTTTTTAATAAAAAACAAATTTAAATTAAATTTAATAACAAATTACATTATATTGATTTTATTTATTTATTTTATTCGAGAATTTTAACAATATGAATTTATTGTAACATTTTTTCTATAGCAAACTCATAATAATGTCAAATATCTCAACATATTTAGGACAATTTATATAAATTTATATAAAATTTATATGTATAAAAGCGACAGGTGACAAATTGACAAATTAATTGACAAGAGCAAAACCTGTTTCAATCTAAAGAAAATTGTATTTTCTGTTTTTATTGCAACCAACTGTATAACCTATACTTGAAAATTATATTAAAAGAGGTTTTACAACTAGATTCGTTTTGTAATCAATTTTCTAATATTGCTTTTAGTTTATTATTAACATATATATTACCGAAAAGGTCTTATCTGAAATATCCTGTAATATTTTGATCTAGAAATTTTTTAAATTTAAACTGTTGTCTAGCTAAGCAACAAAGCAGTTGAAAAATGAAAACATAAGTAGCAGCTTAAAAAGAAAAAATCGGTTTACGTACTGTAATAATAAGGTTGATGTTGCACTAGATAAACAAAGACAAAAAATATGTGTAAAATGAAATAACATGTAATAAGGGTTCCAGAAATTAAACACATATTTTGCATCTTTGTAACTTCTTGTTTTTGAAGAACTGGAAAATAAATGCTTACAAGTACCTAAATTAATGAAAAGCAAATTATTTTTTACAGTTCTGGTAAAAAATTAAATTCTGCAGATTTCATAAATGATTGTTATTATTTAACATTTCCAAAAGACTAAAACTTCTAGTGATGATTTTTGAACGAAATGAATATTTCATCAAAGTATAGAAAAGGTGAAAAATTATTGTTATCCTTATTTTGTTTATGTTATGTTCAATTATGTGCTGAGCCATTTTTTTCTGTCTATATTTTCAATCTAGAATATGAAGAATTATAAGAAACGATAAACAATTATTATAATTTTGTTACTCTTATTGGGGTTATTTTTTCTGTTTAAATTTTATTATAGCATTGCTCGTAACATTGTTATGCTACAATTAATGACACATGTGGTTTAAGCTCTTCCGATAATAATTGCTTTGATAACATGATAATCAGAGGTGTCCTCCACAAGGTACTTGATTGGCTTTTGTTATTTAAACTAAAAACTCAAATGGTTGATGACTACTTATATCCGTTAATCAATAATAAATTTGTCTAACAATACTGACACTCAAAACTTTTAATCTAACAAACTTTTCCTAATGCAATATTGCACTACACTTATTGAACTTTAAATTTAATTGTCAAGAAATTACATAAGACGTTTTTTGTTGTGAAGGGCCTCGTGGGTGCCATTTTCGAGGGCGTCGGCGTATCATTGGGCAGTTTCGTAGGTGGACTCATATACGACGCATACAACGGCCCTTGGACCTTTAGATTGTTTGGCATCGGGGCACTTATAACATGCTTGTTGCATGCTGGTGTTCAATACCTGATTAAACGATCAGGTAATAAGGGTTCAGGTGGGTTAAAATGAACAAATCGAGTTTTTATTGGCTCATTTACTTAGAACAAAATGGTAACAATCGCAAGTATTAAATTACAAATAATAATTTTTATTGTCAATGACGTAAATAAAACTAAAGTTGTACATTATTTTATTTTTTATTTATTTTATTAGATTATGAGGCTCGATATACGTCGCCTTCCGAGGCCTTTAATGCTCTCTATGACGATCAACAAGAAATGACATTAGTCGAATGACAACACGTGGATAAAACGCTTTTGCAACGACATTCAACTTTAAGCAATGAAAAATACGATTTTTGCTATGGTAGAGCATTACTTAACGGTGAATTTTGTCGAAGCAAACCTAATGTGATAGCTACGTAATCCCTGCCTTAATCTGAAACATCAGTGGCAAATTCCACAAAATTATCATCGTCCTTGACCCACATTTAAATAAACACTGATGTTTCATTACTTGAATATTAGAATTGTATCTGATTTAGGATTAGGTACCATTTTTATAAGATTTTTGTCTCAAATAATTATTGAAATTTAGTTATGTTACGCTCAGGGATCATAAAAAACTTAAGCCGGCTTAAGTTACAGACGAATTTATTAAATCCTTTTATTACTTAAGTATTATATTGTTTCTCGACTGTCCTCGAGTTAACCTTCATTAATCACGAAAGGTTATTTTGCTTACGTAGATTTCTTGTTGTTAGCTTAGGAATATTTTATTTATAATCAAGCAGAGGGCATTAAAAAAAGTAGAAGAATTTTTTATAAAAATTATGAAATTATTGTGATATCTTGTGAAAGTTATTTATTAGTGCAATTTACTAACAAGTTATCAGTATTTTGGTTCCTTTAATTAACTTTGTAATTATATGTATTATGGTCTCTTTCTACATTTTTTAAGTTATTAATTTGTTACTTACCTTTGTTATCTTATTTCTACTTACCTGTTATAAACTAGTAGTATTGTAACATTAATTTTACTTGTTTTTGTAATTGTATATTTTGTCTCGTGGTTTTGTGCATAGGAAGTGAATAAATTTGTTATTATTAAAACGGTATGTTTTTTTCTTTCCACAAAGGATCACAAACAACTATAAATCAGTGAAGAAATAGTTCGACGTGAATACAGGGGAGATGAAATGCTAGTCTACCCACAAAGTTCCTATTAAACACATGATTACAAAATCATCGATATTTTTAATACAGTATCGATACTTACTCTGTGAAGGCTACAAACGGACTGACGAAAGTGTTAAAAAATTAAACAACGGTATTTATCAACTATGCGCTTGTCTTAGATAAGATTTAATAATGTAATCGTTTCAATTATGTAAATTAAATGACGCTTTTATTGTGCGACTTTCAAAAACAAATATTTTATTGTACGCTTTCCATGTAGTTTCAGAGATAACAAAAACAATAATTTTATAATAATTAGAACACAAAATGTAAAATAAAAATTACCCATTATTTAAAACGTAAAAAAAATTGAAAACAATCATCAAGATCTAAATTTAAAAAATGTATCACCCCCAACTTTACCCACAAAATATAACTATAAAATGAGAATTAAAAGACGCATGCGTTGAGTATCAGCTCGACTTAGCGGTTCATTATATTTCAAAACGAGACCACCACTATTTAATTATTCAGAAATCGTAACTAGTTTGTTGAATGAACTAAATCGAGACGAAAGTGCGTATCAGTTTGATAAATTGTGTGAACATTTTCCAGCCATGTGGAACATAAAACAGCAGGTAAGTGTGGGTAGTTAATGAATTCATTATTATTTTTATAACGTATTTATTGTGATAATAATTGATACTGAAAGGTCAGATTCAGATTTATTTTATCTTTGTTTAAATAAGAATTTGAAGTTGGTGTTTCTAACAAAGTAATAGTTTTGAACGATGTGTAATTGCATCTTAAAATATCTGCAGTGTTGAAACTACGTGGGAGGTGCATCAGGTAAATAAAATTCTCGGACGCCACGTATTTCTAAAAAAATTCTCTGTTTCAAAAGTAATTTGATTTGATTAAAAATAAACTTTATCTGACCTCTTGTATATCATATTAATATAAAAATAATATGTCAAAAATGTTTGAAACTCATTTTTTTCTTAACTTCTCCTATTAATTTATCTGTTTGTTTTAGTTGGCACAGGACGGTTATGTTGTTCTTGAAGATTTCTTATCAGAGACTGAAGTTAACGAACTGAAGGCAGAATGTGATAATTTGATAAAAAATATGCCCGAGGAGTCCAAAAGGGCGGTTTTTAGCTCGGCTGATTCCAATATCTTACAGGTAAAAATATTATTTCGAAAATTGTAGCCGCTTTCATGCATATATTGATGAGCGTCTGATTCACCCACCCGTAATAAATGCCGGTTGTTAACACCAACTAATGACTAATAAATGTAGCAATTAATCAAAACAACCAAAGTAATACGGCTTTAATTGTTTCAGGATAAAGATAAATATTTTTTAGACAGTGCGGATAAAATAAGTTACTTTTACGAAGCAGATGCTTTAGGACCAAACGGAGAATTGAAAGTTAAACCTGAACTGTCTCTAAACAAAATTGGTCATGCGTTACATGAACTGAATCCCGTTTTTAGAAAAATTACTTTGGATGAGAGAGTGAAAGAATGCTGTTTCCAGTTAGGATTTGAAGATCCCGTGGTAGTCCAAAGCATGTACATATTCAAAAATCCTGGCTTAGGCAGTGAAGGTGATTAACACAATTTTTGGCATAAAATTAGGCAATTTTTTAAAAGCAAAATTTGGAAGTTTTCCAAATATGAATCATTTTTTGTTTGCATGATTTAAATTTAACCACTTTTATTTTTTAGTTATTGCTCATCAAGATGCGTCTTACTTGCACACAGAGCCAGTTAAAGTTATTGGATTTTGGATAGCACTAGAAGACGCCACGCTTGAAAATGGGTGTCTTTGGTTTTCCAAAGGGTCACATAAAAGCGGTGTTCATAGACGGTATATTAGGAATCCTGATAAAAATTCCAACGATTTGTTAATCTACACATCGCCACCACCTTATTATCAGAAAAGTGGGTTTACAGCGGTGCCAGTCAAGAAAGGTTTTGTCACATTAAATAAATTATTAATTAACTGTTTATTTGATATGTTTTAGGTACTTGTGTTGTCATACATGGCCAAGTTGTCCACTATAGTGAATCAAACAAGTCACAAAAATCTAGACACGCCTACACTTTCCATATTATTGAACAGAAAAACACAAAATATTCTGAAGATAATTGGTTGCAACTGCCCCAAGATAAACAGTTTTTAAGTTTATACAAAAATTAACATTTGAAACAAAAATATACTCTCTGATTTTTCATTTTATATTTTATTTTTAATAAACGGTGTACATATAAGAGTAATACAACATTGTTTTAATAATAATAATATTGAATATTTTTTAAACGGTATTAAACTTTTTACTCATCCCTTGTACATTTATTTCAACTTAGGGACTTTCAATCCGTCAAAATCCTACTAGACCAAATTCAAATTTCTAACCTACAAACACTATCAAGTTAAAGAACTTCTCGTTTTTAAAAAGTAATGATGAAAAGAATTTGTTCACCATGGTGGCTGTTCTTATTGCATTAAAGGCGGCAGTTGCATACACGTTTTACATCAGTGTTAAAACAGGGCAGTTTATTGTCACAAGTTTAGCCTTTCTTCTGACGACTGCTGGATCCTTCCTCAGTAGATTATATTTTTTGCTGTCTGTAATTCTAGAAGACTTTACAATATTTCTACAAGATGTGATATATCGCCTTCATGGTATAACAGAAGGAATTGTCTACATTTTTGAATGGGTGGCTGAAAAACTCAAATATTGTCAACAAGTAACTTATGTTTTAAAGTGGCTTTGTGAGGCCTTCACCGTTCCACTCAATGCAGTATACGGTATTGTGAATACAGTTAAACATGTGTTTGTTTTTCTGAAACACATTGGTATATTGTTTGGGGATGGAGTGTGGTTTATTATAGTCTTTATACCAAAAACTGTAATGTCCTTAGGGCCACTCACATACTACTACTTAAAAAATTTGTATGTTAATGTCTTAGATAGCATTTGTAGCAATGTTACAGTAGTTTATAAATTTGTTTTACACTCGATTTACAATTGTTACACCTTTGTCACAGATGTACCACTAGAATCTCTGATAGGTTTAATAATTGGACTATGTTTCTTGTACATTCTTCTCCAGTTCTATTCTGTTTTATTTCTGTACATTAAAAACAAAGTATCATCATTTTTTATAGCTTCAAGACTGAAGTACAATCATGTAAAAAGGGTAACTAGACGTGTTTTGTCTCGGTATACTTTAAGATATAGTTCTAAACAAATAATTGAATGTAAACCAAGTACAAATAATGATGAAAAAAATGAGGGTTATTGTGTAGTCTGTCAGGACAATTCAAAATGTGTTTTAGTCTTGCCTTGTAGACACCTATGTTTATGTGATGATTGTGCTCCAAGACTGATGCGGTATAGTGGGCAGTGTCCCATTTGCAGAAAACGCATTCGCTCCTCTATGAAGGTTTATACATAAAGGAAAATAATCCAGTCATGTTGAAAAAATTTGTTTTGAATGTTTTAGAGAATAAATTTTTTGTATGTTTGGGAAATGTGTTGTTTTATTTGTTGTAACACTTGACTACATTGAGTAAGGTAAAGAAGACATCAATTTTTGGCAATTTTTAATAACGTTAAAAACGAGGTAAAAAGTTAAAAAAAAATAAACACATGATCATCTGCTCCCACTTTTATCCTTCTGTAAAAACACAGTGAAGGTATTTTTTGTAATTTCTGTGACATAATTTTTGTCCATAACACTTCTCAAAGCCTTTGCACAAGCATCCATGTTCCACGTTGGTTTGAATTTTTTATCTTCCGACTACAAAAAAATCAAATTATTGTACTCCTAATACTCCTGAGGTATTATACCTTTATTAAACCTAAATGTACTAAAATTGTATTATTAACCAAACAAGAATTGTTAGTCTTTTCTGACCATGAAAACAATTCTTTATATAATCTTTCTGAACAAGAGAGTGCCAATGTTGAGACATTTTCTTTACTACTATTGGCAAGAGATGCTACTTTCATTAAAACTGGAATGAATATATTGACATCAATATCATCACCTTTCTGAAATTAAGAATGAGTAAAAATATTAAAACCCTGTTGAGAAAATACTTTCGCCTCTCTTAAAATCAGCTCATTTCTTGCATCGCCAAGTGCGATAAAAATTTCTTCAGTTGGCGAATTCAGAAAATCGCTGGCTGTTTTAGACTGAATAATTTCTTCTTCCATGTCACTTTCAGTGTGAGACACTTCTTCACTGCTTTCCTCCTCACTGTCTTCAGACTCATCTTCACTCAAACTGCCCAGAGAGTTAAGTTTTCCTAAAATTATATAATTTCGTTAATTAATAAAAATTCCCCAAACGGCGTACCAATTTGTTTAATTTCATTCTCAATCTGTTTTCTGCCTTCCTCCCCGAACTGATTGCCGTTCAAATTTAAAACTTTCAATTTACTTTTATTCGCCATAGCCTTAACCAACTGAAGCCCCCCTTTCAAACGAATCTCATTGTGGCCAAGAGTCAATTCCTCTAAGTTAGCATGGTCAGTTTTTAAAGCATCTGCGAGAGAAATAGCTCCTGCAGTCTTCAACAAACAATCACCAAAATTGATTTCTTTCAATTGTTGCAAATGTGGTAAAGCTTTAGCTATTGCCTCTGCCCCCTTTTCACCGATAGTATTGTCATTCAAGTTTAAAATTTGTAAATTTTTATTTTGGGTAAAAGCCTCAGATAGAGCTGATATGCCTATGTGGTAGATTCCATTCTGGGGCATTGCGATTTCTTCAAGTGTGCCAATCATCTATGAATAAATGTTACAAAACTGTATTTTTAGAACAAAAAATACCTTGAAAACTTCAGCAAGGGCTTTGGCTCCATCATTCTCAAGTCGGTTTCTGCCAGCGATAAAAACCTTCAGTTGTAGTGGTTTTCCGGTTTCTTTACTTGAGTTGTAGCAATCTGTTAGAGCTGATGCTAATAATTTACCACCTGTGATACCTAAGCCATTGTTGTTTAACTTAAGTTCTTCCAAAGCATAACATGAAGAGCTCCTCAAAAGAGCAGCAAGTCCTTCAACGCCAATAGGGCCAAATGCATTGTCACTCATGTCAAGTTCAGTCAAGCGTGCACCTGCTGTTACTAAACCACTTCCAAGAAATTCCTGAAATTTTACATTAATTTTCTTCTCTCAAATCAAAATTAAGTCGTACCAAAGCCTTTGGTATTTCTGTTTTCATTCTTCCTGTGAACATATCCTTCCATAGTGCTCTCTTAAATTCCGGATGTTTCTCCAATGTTTTCGCAATGCCTTTGGAAGCTTCTACTCCCAAAGTATTGCCTTCCAAGTTCAAGAACTGAAGGTTGGTACATTTTTCAATTTCTTCAATTACACTTTTCGCTGGGAATTTAATAAATATATTTATAATTCATGTAATGATAATGGATATAACCTTACCATCTTCCACTGTGTCAAGTTTCAAAGATTGGCCGGCAAAAGTGACGCCACTAGGGCTCACACGCGTGCCTTGTAAAGCATTGGTGAGGTCGTCTACATTAGTATTAGTCATTTTAATTCTTTAAGCAATACAGTTATTATTCAATAAGTTAAAATCGTTCACGCGTGTGAAACCGTTAGGATTTTTTGAAGTTGAACACAAATTCGGAAATTTTGACCTCTATATCCGTCATTAATAAATGTCATTTCCGTCATTACTCGTACACACTACACAGTTTAGCCATGCAAAAATACGAAAGTTCCTAAAATAACTGTATTTTCAGTATACGTGGAGGAATTGAAAATTTTTAGGAAATACAGTAGAACCTCAATTAAACAACAAAGTTTTTACTGAATCTAAAATTCTCATCCTTAAATAAAAACATTTATGACTATCATTCAAATTTACATCAAATTCATTTATAGTAATGTTAAAAATATTGGTGAGGATTATAGAATTTTTTTTAATAAATTCTCTTACGAAGTCAAGTTAAAAATTAACAATGAGAATTTACCAAATCTCAAAGAAGCACAATAACTATTAATATGTTTATAGGTACCTTTATTAGCATTTTTTTATTTTATGTAAGTAGGTACTCAATGGCTAAGAAACAAACCGAGACATAAAATCCATAAGTATAATAGGTATTTTCAATTATATTGGATTAAGCACAATGAAATATTGATGAAATTTAATTATTTTTACTTTAATTATGATTAATAATTGAATAATAAAATAATTAAAATTCATCACTGAAACAATAATAATTATTCTATTCAGTCTTCATAATATATGGCACTAAAACTCAGTTTTGTTTACAGTTATTTGTAAGATTGTAAAATCACTTTTTTTACTACAAACACTTAATTTGTATACCTACTCTAGAAAATTTGGCTTAGATGACAGAAATGAGAATACCTGGATATAGTATCTTTACTGATTATACAAAGGTGGGTTATAAAAACTAAAAATGCCCCAAGCCATAATAACTGACTCATTACTTTTAAAGATAGGAGAATACTTCTTTTATTGTGAGCAATTTCGGTTAATTAAGTTTCTATTCTAAAACGGATAACAATAAACTGTGCAACTTTTGTTCCAAGAAGTATTGTCAAATTGTCACATATCTTTAAAAATAACGCAGTCATGGTTTTTATAATCTAACGTGTATAAGGAATTGAATATTTTCGTTCTTACAATAAAATTTTAGACAATAATTTTTAGGCAATATTTTTTTTTGGGAATGACACAACCAACTTTTAATTCCTATTACAGTTCCAAAAATTTTTTAGATAATAAGTACCTACCTACCACATTTTGGTAACAATTAGTAAAAGCACTCAAGTGTTTCACTACTACCTAGTTAACAGAAAAGTCTACAAACCTATCTTCTACAGCTTCGCGGATGTTGCCTTAGTGGAATAATCATTAGTATATAAATTGTTACTTCTGGGCCAGGACATTTGGCGTCTTAAAAAACAAGACAAAATCTTACAAATTTAGCTGTTTGCCCAAAAGCAAACAACCAAAAAGGGCCCAAAACCTCTCAAAAATCATTAATTTTTATCCACCCCAAAAGTTCCAAAATATGTATAGACCACCAAAAATTGGGCACATGAAAAAACCGTTAAAATCTCCCAAAATAATGGAAAATTACCTCAAGAATGCCCTAAAAAACTAACAAAATACCTTGTTTTTACACATCCCAAAATGGCTTTTTACTTCTGGACCAGGACATTTGGCGTCTTCAAAAAACAAGGCAGAATCTTACAAATTCAGCTCTTCTCCCCAAAAGTACAAAATATCTGTAGACCACCAAAAATTGGGCACACGAAAAAAACTTTAAAACTACTTTAAGAACGCCCTAAAAAAACTAACAAAATGCCGTGTTTTTACATACTCCAAAATAGCTTTTTATTTCTGGACCAAGCCATTTGGCGCATGCATAAAAAAGTAAAAACAACACTAAATCAAGGAGGGTACTACGATATTTGACATCTTAAAAATCTAGACAGAATCTTAAAAAATTATGATTTCCAAAAAGTACCTAAACAACCGAAAAAGACATAAAATTCTTCAAAAATCATAATTTGTGCTTATTTTTTCATTACTTTGTCTTCTTTGTCTACATCGATTCTGAAAGCTTTATCTGTTTTTTCATAAATAAATCCCTCGGTTTGCAACACCCCAATATTCGACTATGCCTTCATGATAATTCTTGGATTCAGAATTAATAAAAATAAGTACAAAACATTCCCCGTTTTCATTCCGACTACAATCCGATCTATTCTTACAGCATCTCCTCTTTCACGACAGCTTATACCGTTTATAGGTATGTGTCTATCGAGAAAAATCATCGGCACGACCATCAATCCTGAATTCGTCTTCGACGCATGAGCCTTTGGCGAATCAACTTTTGGGGTGGATAAAAATTAATGATTTTTGAGAGGTTTTGGGCCCTTTTCGGTTGTTTGCTTTTGGGCAAACAGCTAAATTTGTAAGATTTTGCCTTGTTTTTTAAGACGCCAAATGTCCTGGCCCAGAAGTAACAATTTATATACTACTATCATTGTTTAGATTATCATAAAATATGATCATAAGTTAAAAGTAAAATTCAAATCAACGAAAAAATCATGTTCTCCACTATACGACAATAAAGCCGCCTTTGCCGGCCGCAGAAATAAATCATATTATGCTTTATTGCCTAATTAAATAAATTAAATACAAGTATAATTTTTGATAGTTTTGTATTTGTATTTTTACTATTATTCTGAACATTTCAATTAAATTTTAAATTTTTATAATGTTAATAACCATATTTTTAAACCAATCAAAGAAGTAAAAAAAAATATGTCTCGTTTTTATCGTAAGACAAACAAACAATTCGTAATAATTGAGTATAATTTAAACAATTGGGTAGTAAATAATTAGGTAATGTTAAACTAAAAAACATATTTAATATTCCATTGTGTATCAAATATTCATCAAATCATTGTAACTTGCCAAAAACTTGAAGAAACAAGTATTGATATATCATCATTTCCTATCTATCTAAACATTCTAAACTTTTTATACTGTAAATATTTGAAAGTCATTTATCTTATGATGATAGGTATGTTTCACAAATGCAGCTATCATTTTGTATTTATGCTTTAAAATACTTTTAAAAGTCGGAGTCATAGTTCAAACTTCAGTATTGTGTTATCGTTCCAAGCGGTGCGGTCTCATCGTTTGTACAGCCGGCAGTCGACGTGTGAAACATGGGCCTAATTTTAAAACTAGTTTTTGTGATTGGAACAGTTTTAATAGCTTACCAAGTCAGCAAATTATTTGAAACCCCACCTTTTCCAAAAATAGAAAACACTTGGTGGGGCCCCCGCGACCCATCGAAAGAAGACACATCAATTAAGCCTTTTAAAATCAATGTCTCTGACGAGGTAAGTGCAAACATAAAAACAACAATCCAATTAATGTTAAAAAGAAACATAGACAAAAAATATCATTCAATCAAGTTCTAGGTCACTGATTATTGTCGCGAACGAGACGGTACCCTCGATTACATAATCTCATATAATGTTTTATTAGGTTCTCAAGGACCTTCAGCATCGCTTAGCCAACGCGCGCCCATTCGTGCCCCCACTAGAAGGGGCCCAGCAGCACTACGGCATCAACACCAAACTTTTGAGTAAAATCGTCGAACACTGGAGGACCAAATACAATTGGAGAGAACGCGAAAAGTTCCTCAATCAGTATCCTCAATTTACGGTCAGCGTCCAAGGACTGCGACTCCACTACATTCACGTCAAACCCGCTAATCCTGGAAAACTCAAAGTCGTTCCTCTTCTTCTCCTCCATGGATGGCCCGGATCTGTCCGAGAATTCTACGACATAATCCCGCTTTTGACAAAACCCAGACAGGGCCACGATTTCGTCTTCGAAGTCATTATCCCATCTCTCCCCGGTTATGGATTTTCGGAAGCAGCTGTTCGTCCGGGTCTAGGTCCAATTGAAATGTCCGTCGTTTTTAAAAACCTCATGAGACGGATTGGTTTTGAGAAATTTTACATTCAAGGGGGCGACTGGGGTGCTCTTATTGTCCAAAACATGGCCACTTTATTCCCAGAACATGTTCTCGGAGTTCATTCCAATATGTGTTTTGTTAATACTCCTTTATCTAACTTGAAACTGTTTTTGGGTAGTCTTTACCCTCGTCTAATCGTATCAAAGGAGATGGAGCATACTATTTACCCCTTGTCAACTTTTTATTCAAATATGTTGCTGGAAATGGGGTACATGCATTTGCAAGCCACCAAACCCGATACCGTGGGGGTGGCTTTAAATGATTCTCCGGTAGGTCTGGCGGCTTATATTTTGGAAAAGTTTACTACTTGGACTAATCCTGAATGGAAAAATTTAGAAGACGGGGGATTAACAAAGAAATACAACTATAACGACCTTTTGGATAATGTTATGATCTACTGGGTCACTAACTCTATAACAACCTCAGTGCGACTTTACTCTGAAGCTTTCAATAAAGCTCAAATGAGTCTAGGAGTCGAAAGGTAAATTTGCTAGTAATGCTTACTGTGGATAAGTGTCATTATTTTTGCAGAATTCCGGTAAAAGTACCTAGTGCTTGTGCAGTATTTCCCAATGAAATTGCCCACCAGCCGCCTCCGCTTTTGAGTGAGAAATACCATAATCTGGTCCATTACAGTGAAAAGTCTGATGGTGGACATTTTGCTGCTTTTGAAGTACCGAAGATATTAGCCGAAGATATTTTTGTTGGTGTTGAGAAAATAATTGCTGCTAATTTACCAAAGAAATAATTTGTATATTTACCTTTTTTGTTATCTTTTTTATAAAAGGGTGTTGTGGAAAAGTGATTTTATTTTTATCAATCATTCAATCCCTACAAAAATACAAAGAATATTAAAAATTTTAAAACACAACAGGGTAAAAAAAAATAATAAAGAAAAACAAGTTAAGGTATTGCACAGAAACTTATTATTACTTTTTTTCTTTCAAATTTCTGTACATTCTGTATGTTTTTATTCTAACGAAACACACATTGATAATATCTGAGTCTAAATGGGTACTTATTACTTTATTAGTTATTATATTATTAACTTGAATAAAGCAGGGCTGCACTTGAAAAAATAATTACCCATTATATGTGATTATAAAAATTTAAATAAGCTAAACGTAGATTTCATTTTATTACAAAAGATTAACTTCTTGTCAAATATTGATTCTTAGAATATGAATTTGATTTTTGTTGTTTTTTTGTTTTTTACTTTTGCAACAGCAAAAAGTACTCACAAATTTGTGAAATTTAAAACTTCAAAATTCCCGTAGCTGTGAATCAGAAACGTTTAATGTTAATAGTTTAAAACTGTACAAAAAGCAAATTTTGTCTTAAATACACATTTTGTGGAAATTAAAAGTATATATATTATGTTTTTCAGTTTTTGATAATAACAAAACCAACAAATTGAACTTTTTAAGCCAAATGCATAATCTAACTTTCAGTACAACTTTAACGTTCACACCAGAACGGTCACGCACTTAAATTTAAACAATTTGAACAATTTAAAACATGAAGCTTGGTACAAAAATTGGTTTTATAACTGCCACAATTATAACAGCGTACCTAATTGGAAAATATTTACTAACCCCGACAATTCCTACATTAGAAAACACCTGGTGGGGTTCACGTGACCCAACAACAGAAGATACATCAATTAAACCGTTTAAAATTAACATTTCTGAAGAGGTAAGTGTAGAAAACACAATAAAAAAATACACAAAATGTAATTTTCTATAAAGGTGCTACAAGACCTTCAACACCGACTAACAAACGCAAAACTGACACCTCCGTTAGAAGGCATTCAACACCAATACGGGCTAAACACCAAACTTTTGAGCAAAATTGTGACTTATTGGCGCACGAAATATGACTGGAAAGCCCGTGAAAAATTCTTAAATCAGTATCCCCAATTCATAGTGAGTGTCCAAGGCTTGCGACTCCACTACATTCACGTAAAACCCAAAAAAACTGAAAATGTCAAAATCCTCCCTATTCTTTTACTCCATGGTTGGCCTGGTTCAGTTCGCGAGTTTTATTCCACAATCCAACTTTTGACAAAACCCACAAAAGGGGGCAACTTCATTTTTGAAGTGATTGTTCCATCTCTTCCCGGGTATGGATTTTCGGAAGCAGCAATTCGCCCGGGTTTAGGTCCAATTGAAATGGCTGTGATTTTCAAAAATTTCATGAAACGATTGGGACATGAGAAATATTTTGTCCAAGGAGGTGATTGGGGGGCTCTTATTGCCCAACAAATGGCAGTTTTATTCCCAGAGCAAGTCCTCGGGATTCACTCCAATCTGTGTTTTGATACTTCACTTTTATCGGCTTTGAAATTAGGATTGGGTAGTCTGTATCCGCCTTGGGTAGTGCGCAAAAAATTCGAACACAAATTATACCCTCTGATGTCATTCGTCATGAATTTGCTAGAAGAAACAGGCTACCTGGATATACAAGTCAGTAAACCTGACACGGTTGGAGTAGCTTTAAATGATTCTCCGGTAGGTTTAGCCGCATACATTTTAGAAAAATTTATTACTTGGACCAACCCTGATTGGAAAAATTTGGAAGATGGTGGACTGCTGAAAAAGTACACCTATGATGATCTTTTGGATAATATTATGATTTACTGGGTTAGTGGGTCTATTACGACTTCAATGAGACTTTATTCTCATGCTCTGGATAATGTAATGACAATTATAAATGTTCAAAGGTAAATTTAAAATAACATTTAATGTTGATTTAAGCGAGTATTTTTAGGATTCCTGTAAACGTCCCGAGTGCTTGTGCAATATTTCCTAATGAAATTTTCCCACAACCTGGTGAATTGTTGAGAGGAAAGTATCCCAATCTTGTTCATGTTAGTGAAAATTTCGATGGGGGGCATTTTCCAGCATTTGAACTGCCTCATGTTTTCGCTAAAGACATTTTTGTCGCAACAGAAAAGATATTGCAAGCTAATGTTCAACGAAAATAAAATGTTAATATTTCAATGATAAAAATGTTGTTTCCTTATAAAATTTATATCATTATTATAAACACAACTACTACAAAATGATTTTTAAGTCTCTAAATCAATGGTTTGTAAAATCGCTAAAATTAATTGTACCTACTTAATATATTAAACAAAATTGTAGACAAAATTTAACTATTCAAGTGAAAACAAAATTTGTTTAATTTTTATTTATTTTAAATAATAGTATATTATAATACTAGTTTATAAGCAAGCCTTTAACACACGCACGACGGGTTTAAAAGCACGACGCGTCAGCGTAAGTGTTTTAAAGGCGCTTATAAACGAGTGTTATAGGCTATTTTTTATTATACTTGCCCATTTACGATCTTTTATGAGCATTGAAAAAATGTGAATTTACACAATAAAATTATCAAAGGTTGTTTGTGAATCGTTTTCGTAGAGACGGTTACTAGTTTATGTTGTTAAGCACATTTTTTCACGTTGTAATTGGTCCATACATTTCACTATTTCTTGTTACCTAGACAACTTTAAAATTTCAGCGTGCTATAAAGGCCAAATAACGCACGCTGCAGCGTGGTTTAATTTAGGATTATGATGCAGGTATAATAAAAAATGATATTTTATAACAAATTTATTTTGAGTTTGTGGTGACACCAGTGGCTTTTAAAAAAAATACAGAAGCATACTTTACTTTATCAAAAATGATATGATCAAGCAAAATAATAAAATGAATTATGCAAATCAGTTTGTTTTAATCATTCCTTATAAAAATGGTGATTATTTTTATGGAATTCATTAAATTTTCAAGTTATATATGTGATTATAATGATATATTCGAATATACCAGAAGACATCCATCATTCAAGCAAGAAACTGAAATTCTAAAACGAATGATTTTTTTCTATTTTGCGCTTATATGCAGTTTTTAAAGAAAACAAAAACTTCTAGAAATTGTGCTATTTGATGCCACGTGGCAGTGTTATTCATAAAGAAGTTCAACTCGAACTGTAATTTTTGTCATTGTGCGTAATCTGAAGTCTCAAGACTGTTTCATGTTCGATATGAATATTCTGGAAATTGGTAATTTTATTGAAAGCATAAAAACATAAAATACACTAGGCTGTCAACGCACTATGAAAAGCTATCCACGCACCTAAACCGTTATTAAAGACCAAAATAGAAAAAATAAAATTTTCACACACACGTCGTTAAAACATAAAATTATGTCAATCTTTATGTTGTGTAATTGTAAAATTAAAACCGTGATAAGCAACGTATCACCCTACGGTTGATTTGTTTGAAATTTCTGCTATTACAACTTATAAAGAATTGTTTAATTAACTTTTCGTGATACTTGTTGATTGTTGGCATATTTGTAGGTACTGTCTGCATACTTTAAAATCTTTACTGTCGATGTGGTCTCGATTTTACAACATTCAACCGCGCCTGTTATTTGCATTATATCGGCCTAGTTTCTTACATCCATATTTACAATAAAATAAACTTTATAATATTATTATTATTAAAAAAAAAACTGTGCAAAATTATGCAAAAATATTATTATTAGGTACAGCAAGAATTTTTAAAGGTTTGAATATTGACATTTGTTATATCCCAATTTTAATTGAAGGAAAATTAATTTTGGTACTACAGTACGAGGGTTGTTTGATGAATAACTTGGTTTGATATTAAAGACATTGATTTGAATTTTGCAAAGGACTTTATTTTTCGACGTAGTCTCCTCGAAGTTCAACGCACTTGCCCCAACGTTTCTCAAGTTTCTTTATCCCTTCGCGGAAGTGATTTTCTTCGAGCCCTTCAAAATAGTCGTTTACGCACTTTATAACTTCTTCGTTTGATTGAAATTTTTGCCCAGCCAAGAATGTTTTAAGTTTTGGGAACAGATGATAATCGGAGGGAGCCAAATCCGGCGAATAAGGTGGGTGGGGAAGAACTTGAAACTTTAAATCGGACAATTTTTGATTCGCAACACGACTTGAATGCACCGGTGCATTGTCGTGGTGGAACAACACTTTCTTTTTTGCCATTCCGGGACGTTTCTCTCCAATGACCGTCTTTAACTTGTCCAAAAGGGCTGCATAGTAGTCTCCAGTAATAGTTTTTCCCTTTTCGAGATAATCTATTAACAGAATTCCTTTTGCGTCCCAAAAAACTGACGCCATGACTTTTCCTGCGGACGGGACAGTTTTTGCCTTTTTCGGGGTTGGTTCACCAGGTGCAGTCCATTGTTTGGACTGCTGTTTTGTTTCTGGGGTGTAGTGGTGAATCCAAGTTTCATCCATGGTTACAAAACGACGCAAGAAGTCCGTTGAATCTTTCTTAAAAATTTCCAAACACTCGGCTGATGTTGTCATTCGAATTCGTTTTTGCTCAGGTGTAAGCAAGCGCGGCACCCACCTTGCACAAATTTTTTTCATATGTAATTCATGGTGCAAAATAAAATGAACTCGCTCGGTTGAGATGCCTATAGCTTCTCCTAACTCACGCACTTTCACCCGTCTGTCAGCCAAAACCATATCATGGACTTTGTCGATTATTTTCGGTACGACTGCAGTTTTTGGCCCACCAGAACGTGGTGCGTCTTCGATGCTTGTTCTGCCACGCTTGAATTCATTAACCCAAAGACGAACGGCTTCATAAGAAGGACATGAGTCGCCCAACGTTCGAAAAATTCTTTCATGGATTTCCTTTGCTGTTTTTCCTTCCAAAAAAAAGAACTGGATCACACCACGAATTGCAATTTTATCCATTTTTCACAATAACTCGACAATCTAAACTTAAAATAATTCTACAACAACAAATTACTCACAGAATTCGTTGAGATTTTACAAGTGTCATTTATAGGAAGGCTACTTGATGTTTACATATAAAGTTATGGTTGTCACTTTTTAAAACTATGCGAACCAAGTTATTCATCAAACTACCCTCGTAGATTATCCGAACCCACGGTAATTCAATTCTACAGTAATACAAACCACTTTCTAGTTCCAATAATTCGGACATAAATCGGATCCTTAACTTTTCCAGTAAAAGTTGTCTTTCAAAAGTTTATATTTACAACTCTGCATTTATTATTTTATTTCAGCCTTAGCCTTAGTCTTTGTTTATTAAACAATTCACACCTTATATTTAGATACAGCCAAGATGTAATTACATGATCTGAAAAAAAAAAACACACTTTGGATATTTTCCAAAGACCAGATATTTTATTGAAAAAACTAAATCAAGGTAGTAATCAGCCCCAGCCTTAGCAAAGATTATGGGAATTGCACAGTACGAATCTTCGAATTTTCGATATAAAAACACAACAAAGAAAAAATTAGGAGATTTGTTTTTTTAAAGCGAATTACAATAGCAGAACGTAAAAAAAAACTGTGAAGCCGCTCACGAGCAGTAGAAAAAGTCTTATTTTCAAGATTATTCCCCAACAAAAAAATTAAAAGTAACAAAAATATACGTTTTTTTTTCTCAAAATTTTATACACATTAAGTAGGAGTTTTCTAGTTTATTTTTATATGTATTATTGAAATAAATAATTAATTCTATAAGCTGTTTCTTATAAAAAAAGAAATTCTATAATCCGAATAATGCATACTTCGGATTATCGAGGTCGCACTGTACTTAATTTTATATACCTAAATAAGGAACAAAACTGAGTTTTAACAGTTTTTTTTGTAGACGCTCCCCCACTATGTTGGCCATTTTTTTTATTAATAAGAGGTGTGAATTCATATTTTGAGAGTTTTAACAAAAAAATGTTGTTTGTAACATGTATCTAAAACGTTTTTGCGAACCTATCTCTTATTCCAGAGCAATTATTTGTATGCAAAAACTGTATTTTAGGTACTTGTAACAAAAATAAGTATATTGCTATATGTATTTATTTATTTTAATTAATTTAGCGGAAGAAAATTGGATATTAAAAATGCATTTTTCATTAGTTAAGTAAGTTAAACATTGATGTGTTTTGCCCTGATAATGCCAACATGTTTGAAGAAACACGTATTGACAATATTACAAAGTTGGTGTTTTCGCTTGTTGTTTAGCATCCAAAAAATGAATTTTATACAAATTAGCAGTTCTAATAGTAAGTAATAGGTCGAAGACAAAGTATTACGTATGTGATGTCAACATAAATTTCGTAAATTCAAAGTCTTATTTATTTTAGACTTAGATAAATTCTGTTGTTAACTTTTCCTGTTTTTATTTTGTTATTTGACATTTACATTAAATACTACTCCTAAAATAATAACTCATACCGCTTCCATTATCAAAAATTTTAGACTTCTGGAAGAAGTGTGACTAGCAAATTGTTATCATGCAGACAACAAACAATAAATCTCGAATAATCATCATGAAATATAAATTTAGTTTTGTTTCGTAACCAAACTGCTTAGTCATATCAGTTTTATCTAATTTATCTGTTTATTTGCAGGTCACTAAAAGAAGTTACGAGTAGGATTCATACACGCACACCTGAATGTTATTGTATTGTACTATCTATACGAGTATGTGACAAAACTACGTCCCTAATTAAAAGTTAAAGTTTGAACAATATATATTTAACATGGGTTGTGGTTGTGTTATTCTAACAGCTATTGCTGTTATTTTCATATTAAAGTTTGTAAATAAAATAAAGCGGTTTTTCAAAATACCTACTGTGCCGTATTTAGAAGAAACCTGGTGGGGACCTAGAGACAAATCAGAAGAAGATACTTCAATTCAGCCATTCACTGTTAAAGTACCCGACGAGGTAATTAATTAAATTATTAAATATTTTTTGTTTGTATATATAGTTTTTAGAGAATCAAAATCCGACGTAGTCCTTGTTTGCACTTTGATAAAAAATAATAATTTTCTTATCTAAGTTGCCTATTTTATGTTTTGCTGTATGCGCATTTTGACAATTTTCTATTTATAGAATACGTAATAATACTTTATTTCAAGGTAATAACAGATCTTCAACAAAGGCTACAAAACGCGAGGTCACTAACTCCGCCTTTGGAAGGCATTCAACAGCAATACGGCATCAACACAAACCTTCTAAAAAAAATTGTTGATTTTTGGCGCAATGAATACAACTGGAAAGAACGTGAAACCTTCCTCAACAAATTCCCCCAATTTACGGTCAGCGTTCAAGGATTACGAATACACTACATCCACGTAAAACCCGAAAAAACCGACGGTTTAAAAGTTCTGCCCTTACTAATGTTGCATGGATGGCCTGGATCCGTTCGGGAATTCTACGAAATCATTCCTCTTTTGACCAAACCGCAACCAGGTCGCAACTTTGTCTTCGAAGTTATAGCACCATCACTTCCCGGTTATGGGTTTTCTGAAGCTGCAGTACGACCTGGTCTTGGGGCCGTCCAAGTGGCAGTGTTGTTCAAAAATTTCATGAATAGACTTGGTTTCGAGAAATATTACATTCAAGGAGGAGATTGGGGGGCTGTTATAATACAGCATATGGCCACTTTATTCCCTGAAAAAATTCTGGGACTTCACTCAAATATGTGTTTTATCAATACGTTAATGTCGAATATCAAACTGTTTTTGTTCAGTTTTTATCCAACTTTGATTGTGAAGCAGGAGCACGTCCACAAGGTGTATCCCATGTCGTCAAAATTTGCACAAAGATTGCTTGAATCTGGTTATATGCATTTACAGGCTACGAAACCTGATACTGTGGGTAAGATTGCTTCAATTTTACCACTGTTTGAAAAATATTAACTAATTTCTTGTTAGGTGTGGCTCTTAATGATTCTCCAATAGGCCTTGCCGCTTATATTTTGGAAAAATTCATAACATGGACAAATCCAGCTTGGAGGGACTTGGAAGATGGTGGTTTAACCAAAAAATATACTTATACTAATTTGCTAGATAACGTAATGATTTATTGGGTTACCAATTCGATAACAACTTCTATGAGATTATACGCGGAAACTTTGAACAAAAACCAGACCAAACTCGGAGTTGCAACGTAACTTTTTTGGATAATTTTTCTTTTTTTGATTTTTTGTTTTAGTATTCCGACCACAGTTCCAACAGCTTGTGCAAGATTTACTTACGATATATCATACAGTCCAACTGCTCTTTTAAAAGAAAAATACAAGAATATCGTGTATGAAGCTGATTATGATGCAGGTCATTTTCCAGCTTTCGAAGAGCCAGAGCTGTTGGCTAAAGATATCTACCAAGGGATTGAGAAAATTGAATTGTTCCACAAAAACAGTGATCACTTGAATTAGAAAAGAGTTTGATGGTGATGAAAATATTATATGGTTCTAATAATAATAATAAATATTGTTGTATAAAGTTTTTAGTTCGTTGTACAGAAAATACTTTTACTTCTTTTCGATCTCAAATTTGGAAAATAAATCATTTTCAGTGTAACAACATGCCGGTAATTTGATTCAATCTTTTTCAGTAGCCATGAGAATTGATAAATCACATAAAAGGCTTTCGCTTTGGATTTACGACTAAAATCATTATAATTTAGTGAATTTGCCGTCTGGAAATTATTCTGAGGAAGACTCTGTAAGTTTTACAGAAATGCGCTAAAGTCTGTATATAATAAGTAATAAGAATAGTAACAAATTTCACTAATTTTTATTCAAAAATAAATGAGTTTTTTTATAATGTCTTCTAAGAGTCATGGTTGTTATATTTTGAGTTAGTTAAGAATTTTTTTCTATTATTTCTGAAACATCTGTCTTTATTTTAAACGTACAACATACCTACTGGTATATGAAGTGGTGCAAAACTAGAAATCGCCTGCTTTTTTGATTAAATAAAAAAATCAACACAACTTTATGTAAAATGAAATTTTTATAACTTACTCGTAAATACAACAAATTAAGTTTGTTTGGCATGATAATTTTCAAATTTTTCAACTGCCATAAACACATCTTTACTGAAAATTTCAGGTAACTGGAATGCTGCAAAATGTCCTCCATCGTAATCTGATAGATGAAGTAATTTGGGGTAGAGTTCATTTAAAACTCCGTCAGCGGCGTAAAAATCATTTTTAAACCTAGCACATGCACTAGGAACTTGTATTGGCATTCTAAAATACCAACAGTGTTACATATAAATAAAATACTTATTTTATGCAAATACCTGGTAATTCCCAAACCCATGTGTTTTTTATTAAATGTTTCAGAATACAGTCTCATAGCAGTCGGCATTGATCCCTTAATCCAATAAACCATCACATTATCCAAAAGATCAGCATAATTATAATACTCTTTCAAGCCTCCGTCTTCACGTTTTTGATGAGTTACATTGGTCCCAGTGGTAAATTTCTCAAGAATATAGGCTGCCAGCCCTACTGGAGAATCTCTCAAAGCCACACCTAGAAAAAAATATAAATCTTGTATTAAAACAAGATTTTTTCCCACCAATAGTGTCAGGTTTTGTAGCTTGAATATGAAGATATCCAGTCTCAAGTGCCCTCTGGCTTAGAAAATCCGGCACTGAATAGATTCGGTCCACATGTTCAGGTCTCGTAACTAAAGAGGGAAAAATCGTACCGAACAATAATTTCAAAGCCGCCAAAGGAGTGAACACCACACACATATTCGAGTGAAATCCGGCAACAACCTCAGGATACAAAACCGCCAAATGGTGCAAAACAATATGCCCAAAATCCCCGCCTTGAACGTAATACTTCTCAAACCCTAACCGTTTCATTAAATTTTTGAAAACTCCAGCCATTTGGGCCGCACCCAAACCTGGCCGAACTGCGCCTTGGGAAAATCCGTACCCAGGAAGCGATGCTACAATGACCTCAAAAACAAAATTTTTGTCTTTTTGAGGCGTTGTGAGTAAAGGAATGGCTTCGTAGAACTCGCGGACGGATCCGGGCCATCCGTGGAGAAGCAAAAGTGGCAAGACTTTGAGATTGGTGGGTTTGGGTTTAACATGGATGTAGTGAATATCGATGCCTTGAATATTCGTGAGATATTGGGGGTATTTGTTAAAGAGTTTTTCACGCTCTCTCCAGTTGTATTTTGTTCGCCAAAATGTCACAATTTCATTTAATAAATTGGTGTTCATCCCGTATTGTTGTTGGGTTCCTTCAAGGGGAGGAGTGAATGGGCGGGCATGGTCCAAACGATATTGCAAGTCACGTAGATCCTTAAAACAACTGCGTTTTGATATCATATCTAATATTTTTTTTAAACAATTGTCTGCACTATTCACAGACGGTGCAAAGTTTAAACAAAAATCGCAAAATTATAAAAGTAAAAGTGTTTGTTTCTTTTACAAAAAATAAATATAATTTTTAAACTGATTTTTTAAATTACCCAAGGTATTTTTTTATAGTGAAACCCAAGGTTTTCTTATAAATAATACGAACCTGTTCAGAAACATTAACTGTAAAAGGACGAATTGATTTATCTTCCTTGGAAGGATCCCCGCTCCCCCACCACGGCTCTTCTAATTTTGGTGGCAGCGGCGGTTTTAATAAATTATTAATTTTATAACCACCAAAAGCAATAATAACTGCAAAAATCGCTAAAACTTTCCACCGAATTCCCATTTTTTTATCATAAAATTGGCGTGCAACAGAACTCTCTAAAAACTTTAAACTAAATTATAATTCGGATCTATTATCAACTACGACTGAAGTCGGAACAAGGCGAAGTTTAATATAGTTACCGAAAACTTAAACACACATGCTGATAAACCTGAAAAATCAAGATAAGATAATTGACTAATAAAATTTTGATTTCTATAATTAAATACCCCATGTTTTAATTCCGCTTGAACTTTTTTAAATTTTGTGAATAGGTCTACAATTTAATATATTACTGCAACAGTTTTGTGTTTTTCTGATTTTGTACTGACAATAAATTTTAAAAACAGTTCAAAAATGTTTCATTGCTTTTTCTATGTCAATATAAACGATAACGTTGTTTCTTTATGATTTCTACGTATAATGTGTTGCATTTTGTTGGCCATTACCAAATTGGTAGACCCTGAATCTAATCATCGGATTGGCAGGAAAACTATCATTTTATCGTGCCACTCTTCGCCTCATGTGAGCTACCTAAACTTCCATCATAGATAAAACTTGACTTTTGCCGAATCACCAACTCGATTTCGTTGATTATAACAGCCAGTGATGAGTGAAATCCATAAGTGATAACCGAATTAAAGATGAATGCGTTAATTAAATTTGTTGTTCTGTTAATCGCGTTGGCAGTAGGTAACGTAATTTATAAAATAAATATTAATGAGCCGGTAAAAGTGCCTCCGGAAACGTGGTGGGGGTCGGGAGATCCTTCGAAAGAAGATAGAAGTATTGTTCCATTCAAAATTCAAGTGCCCAATCAGGTAATGACTTGCAAAAATATGAAGAAAAAGTTTTCAGAGTACGAGAATAACACCATGTTTAGTTACAAAGTCCGCATTATTAAGATTCATTATTTTTGTAATCACCAAGTAAAACAAGGACAAATAGACGATTAAGTATAAAAATACATATACCTGATTACCTACCTAAATAAATACAACTTATCAAAGCTACTAGTATTCAATATTTACTAACTTTTATATTAACTATATTTGTAATGTGGGCTTTATTTTAATTTAAAAATGACTTAGGCAAATTTTTATTTTAACACTAATTTACACACCTATTTACAAAAAAAAGAATATTTTCTTTCTTCGCTGGAAGAATTGCTTTGTTTCAGGTTTTGGAAGACTTGAGACAAAGACTGAAAAATGCTCGTGAATTCGCGCCTCCTCTCGAAGGGGTTCACCAGCACTACGGCATAAATACAAACCTATTAAAAGAAATAGTCAATTATTGGCTCACGAAATATGACTGGAGAGAACGGGAGAAATTCCTCAACCAATACCCTCAGTTCAAAACAAACATACAAGGCTTGGACATCCATTTTATCCACGTTAAACCTAAAAATATACCCAATGGGGTTAAAATACAGCCTTTACTTCTTGTCCATGGCTGGCCCGGTTCTGTTCGGGAGTTCTACGAGATAATTCCGCTCCTCACCACCGCCCAAAAAGACAAAAAAATCGTTTTTGAAGTCATTATTCCATCTTTGCCTGGGTATGGATTTTCACAAGCGACAGTTAGACCGGGTCTAGGAGCACATCAAACGGCTGTGATTTTTAAAAATTTGATGAAACGGCTAGGTTTTGATAGCTACTATGCCCAGGGGGGTGATTGGGGTTCAGCCGTCGTGTCCGCAATGGCGTAGTATTACCCAGATAGAGTCAAAGGGATTCATTTGAATATGTGTGTCTCGAACAGTCACTTGTCCAAGTTGAAGTTGCTTGCTGGAAGTGTGTGGCCAAGTTTGGTTGTCGAAGAGAAGCATAAACACAAGTTATATCCACTGTCTAAATATTTCTCCAATGTGTTGTTGGAATTTGGTTATATGCATCTTCAAGCCACTAAACCTGATACTATTGGTAGGTAAAGCAGAAAAAAATTAGAAATATAGTAACACAACATTCCGGAGTAATAATAACTTCACAGTCTTTGCGATATACTCGAAAATAAATAAAAACTTATTGTTTTCAGGTGTCGCTCTGAACGATTCTCCTGTTGGATTATCAGCGTATATTTTTGAAAAGTTCACCACTTGGACTAATCCGGAATGGAAAAATCGAGCCGATGGAGGGTTATTAGAAAGGTTCACTTATGACAAAATTCTAGACAACATTATGATTTATTGGGTAACCAATTCGATAACAACGTCTATGCGATTTTATGCAGAATCACTTAACAAAGAAAACAATGTCTTTGATGATAGGTAAAATTTAAAGTTTCTTAAAACTTGTTGCTATAACTTCGATTTTGCAGAGCGGTAATCACTGTTCCTTCAGCTTGTGCTCTTTTTGACCATGAAGTTATTTATCAACCTGTATCCATCTTCAAAGATAGATTTGCCAAACTGGTGCAAGTTAATGAATATGATGGTGGGCATTTTGCCGCCTTTGAAGTTCCTAAATCGCTAGCAAAAGATATATGGTTAGCTGTTTCAAAGTTTGAAGAACCTCCAAAATCAAACAAATAATAAGAATTTTGTTTTTTGATATTTGAATAAATTTTGTACGAAAATTTGTTTTACGATTGAAATTTGTTAAAAAAGCCAGAAATAATAAATTTGTATTTTTTGGACTTGCATTTTATTTGTGATAATTTTGCAACAAATTGTGTTTTGGTATTTATACATTCGCTCTGTAATCTGCGTCAAAAGATTACTGTAAATTACAGTAAATTCGATAAAAATTTCATTTGAATTTGGTTACAAATGACTACATTTTTTATATCAACTGTTACAAATTTGATTAATGAATAATCATTATTATTTTTATGACATAAATAATTTTAATTTTTTTTTAATACTCAACAGGGCTATTAATTTTATCTGTTATTGCAATAGTTTTGTGTTGTTAATAAAGATATCACGCGTTTTTAGAGATAAAATATTTTAAATAAAACGTGTAACAACCTAATAACATACCTGAAATGCATAAAATCACGACTAAAGTAGGTAATCTACTTAGCAAGACATGATTGTATGTACATATAGGTACATTACATAAAAAATGCTTGTTATAAAAATTTAAAGATTTTAATTCCGATGAATAAATGTTTGAATCTTTTAAAAAATGTTTAATAATAAGTATTTATGCAACAAGTTGCAAAAAACAGCCATTTTGCATCGTTCTTCATTCCAATTTGGTTGTGAAAAGCATACAGGGTGCGCCAGAACTCGCGCCCCAGAGAAAAATGCCATATAAGGTAAGATACCAGGAAATGGAAAAAATGTTTAAAAAATTTTATCTATAAAAATTTCGAAGTTACGAGTATGACGGTTTAAAGTTTGCACTTTGACTCTATTTATTTCTGTTAGAACAATAATTTTCTAAGTTTTTTTGCTATAGGCTATTAAAAGAGGAAACAAGGAAGCTGTATCCTAAATTGTAACTATGTTCAATGTTATTTGTGGCTTTTATTGTCAAAAGTTTCGTCCCTTTACTAAATAATTGTAAAAAAAAACATATACAAGATCATCATTATCATTAAATAGATATAAAAAAATGTCAAATGTCAAAAAATAAATATCAAAATGTTTTGACAGATAGAATTTTTTAAACATTTTCTTCATGTTCCTGATATCTTAGCTTACTTAAAAATGTTCTCTGGGGCGCGAGTTCTGGCGCAGCCTGTATAGGCAGGTATCAATTTCGAATTTTAAATCTGTGATTTCAATAATTTTCCAAAATCATACTAGTGTTGCTATGAAAATAGTGTTGCTACCCCAAACTCATCGTCGATAAGTATTTTGTTTATTGTTGCTAAGTCGGTAAGTATTCAAAAATGTTCTAGAACGCCAAAATACTTTGGCGTTCTAGAACATTTTTTAAAAATACTTTGGCGTTCTAGAACATTTTTTAGATATTTTATTAAAAAAAAACTAACAAAAATCAATCGCACAAAAAATGTCATAAGCATCACGAACGTGGACTTACCGATCCCAGACAATAATTGAAGTCGTCGCTTCGCTCCTGCAAACAAATGTATTCGATCGGTAAAATGTCCTTACCGTTCTTGATGCTTTAATATACTATTATTACTCTCCAACTCAAAACAGAAGCAATGCTGCGTAAAAATATTACGGTATTATTACGGTAGGTATATATATATATTTCACTAGGTATTAGAAATCACAAAATATACCACAAAAGTCTTCATAAACATGTTCGTAACTCGCACCGTTATCGAGAAAAAAAATACAATTAATTATTAACTAGCTGTCACAAAGTTTCTGATTGGAACTGCGTTTATTTTAAGGAACCTTTTTTACAATATGAATAAAAATACGTGTGGAAAACGTTTTTTATTTTATTTTTTTAGTATGAATCAAGAAGGTCAAGAAGATGCAGTACGATGTGGATAGCGAGTTAACTGAAAGTTATATTTTATCCCAACTACGGTGCGAGTTACAAAAAAGGTTATTAAAACCTTTTTGTTCGGTACTAATACCATGTAAAATGTTGACTATTATTATTTCAAAACCTGCCTGTACATTGCATTATTTGCATTCCCCTGCTTTTACAAAAACACGCATATTGTCAAGCAATAATAAACAACAATAAGTACCACACAAGGTACCAAACCTAGTTAACTGGTTGTATAATATCGAACTTACCTAATTATAAAAAAAATATGTAAGTGTACCATTTGTAAATCAACTAACCGTTAAAATATTGAAATAAAAAGTTCAAACTTAAAAAAGGCGGTTAGCAGGTCAAAGCTCTTTTTCTTTTATAAAACTAGTAACCAGCAAAAAATCTCAAATAGTTGAGAAATTATTAATAAACGATAAGTGCAGCAATTGTTAAAACCTTCAAAACAAAGAACAGATTATTTGCACAATGCACAATCAGCACTACGACGTGTGAAACTTTACGAATTGGTAAATCATATTTGAAGCGTAATCATCGACCGTTTGTCTCAAAATTTGCACAGGTTCCCGCCTTTTTAAAGTAAACCGGACCAGCATACCGGAACTAGGGATCCAGCAGGTAAAAGCCACGATCCAAATAAATAACGACAAAAAATGTCACCACATCCCACATCAATTCACGTCCTGTATTTGTGCAATATTCAGCACAATACCGTTTCAGATGAGGTGTTTGTTGGTTATGCAATGCAATAACAACGTTCATGGTTCTTTTTCTTGAAGCGAGTTCAAATTACAAACTACGTCATTCAGTAGAAAATTGCGGTGTTAGCGAGAGTGAGAGTGGGCATCCATGATGTTCGTAACCACCTGTTAAAATCAAAGAAACAAAAGTGGCTGGAAGACACAAAAATAACCGTGGCCTTCGGGTCTTATGGATTCCAAAATCACACAAGAAGAAAAAGAATAAATATTACGTGTCACACGTAGACTCCGATTCACCTACACGGTAAGTTATAATTAAATCACCTACCTAATTTTACTATTCAATCGACAATACCGGTCATTGTCCAATATGTGCGTCATATAAGCAGTTATTCTTATGTACTATTTATTTGTCTGACGATAAAGAAATTGATGTCTTTCCCCTATTGACTGCCATTATTAATTCCTATTATTTATTATGACTGTAGCCTTCGAGTTAAATGATTGTGTACTGAATCTGTTTTAAAAAAAATCTTTAAATAAACATTTATTAACATGCAAATCATACTCCCAATTTACAAGATAAGAATTAAAAAATAAACGTGATGGATTGATGAAAATGATAGTTTAAATTGCAGAATTAATTACTTAATCATGAACCAAAAATAGTACCTAATACTGTATAACATTAATAGGTACTTATTATTAATTATTTTCTATGATAACGAAATAACATAACCTCAAATTCAGACAACTACATGTTCCATAAAGTAATGTATTATTAGTAAGTAAGTAATTGATTTATTATAGCACCTTATAGATAAAGGAAAGATAACAATATTATGTAATTCTACTCTCCAATGCCCATTTTAAACCATAGTTTACGTTTTAAGAAGTTTTAAATAAATAACATGCCACTTATTTGTTTTTCAAAATTTTGAGAAGTTTATATTATGCAACAGGTGTCTATAGTTGTAGGAACCTACTTACTTTTTGTACTTATATTTCGTAAAAAATTTTCGTCATTTAATACTACTAAGTTACGGACCACCTGTAAATTAGACTAACACTGAAGAACAATAAAAATTATCGGAAATAGTTTTTACCAAAATAAAGGATGTCTGTAAAAAACGTTTACAGGTTTCAAGGAGTGATTCTTTAGGTCAAATAGGAAAAAAATGTTCCTATGCTTCCTAAAGGAACAAAAGTTTAGGATTAAAAGGTTGACCCCCATCTAATACCGAAAAAATTGTAAAAAAAACCTTTTACATACATAATGTCCGTCTATGGGAATTTTTTTTCCTATTTTGTTCTACGGAATCACTCCCTAAAATATTTTTTCCGAACACCTTATCTACATGTGTATTTTTGGTCGCAAAATTCAAACACAATTGTAATTCGACATTCCGTGATAATAATACGTAATAATATTACGTTTGTGACTGTACTTACGAATTGTATAAATTTGATCGTTTAAATCTTTTTTAATTAATTTTTTAAACAGAATAAATAATAAATATTGCATTTGACAAAATGTCAATTGTGCTCTAAAAAAACTTTTGATTTTTAGAAGTGTATGCTACAGTGCGATCAAAAGGTCTTTCTATCAAATAGGCGTACTAGTTGAGGACGTATGTCGCTTGGAAGTTTGTATGTCAGTTAGATGTCAAAAAATTATTTTATAAAAATTAAACTATTGATCGAAACAAATTGAATTACTGTATGAAACGTCTTAAAACACCCTAAAATGAGATGTAGTTGGAGTTTATTCATACAAATCGTTCACCACGATTTGTTGTTACAATTTATAAAAAAAATATTTTGACATTTCTTATTTACCATTGTGACATTTTATCTTCCGCAGACACACGTTTTAAATTTCTAGGCTTGCTTGATAGATAAACTTTTTGATCGCACTGGCTTATGTTTTAGACGATTTTGATAATTTATGTTTAGTTTAGTTTCTTACCTTCTTAATTGGCCAAATATGTATTGATATGTGAATTTTTGAACAAGTCAAAATTCAAAATCAATGGGGAAATTAATAAGGATGTAGCAAGGCTTTTTGAGTCGAGCTAAAAGTTGCAAAGAAGTCTACGATTTGGATAAGTTATTTTTATGCTTTCAATTTACGTTTATCTTGCCAACGTAATTTCAAAATTACAGGCCAGTGTGATCGCAAATTTCGTTCAAAAAAATACTATTTTTAAGAAACGGGGGTTGTATCTCTCAACAGATCTTTGTAATAAGGCATTCTCATTGCTGTAATTAGAAATGTTATCATACCTATGCAACGAAGATTAAAAAAATAAAGAACATTTCAAGCATTTTGATGATTACATTAATTTGTAATGTGCAAAAAAGTTATGAAATCATCACAGGTTTTCTTAAATACAAAGTGAAAATTAATTCTTTGGCACTTTTTTATTGAAAGTAGATAATTTTGCTCTTGTACTGCTCTTTTCCTTATCTTAAAATTGATCTAGTTAAATAAAATAAATAATAGTGCCTATTTACGAGTATAATAGCATTGAAAACAAAAAAGTGTGTCTTATTTTAGAAACCCTCATCCTAATAGACTGATGCAAAAAAATAATCCAGAAAAGTAACAGAATTTTTATGAAATTCTTAAATGTTAAGTTTAATTAAATTAATTGTGTACATAATTTTAAAATAGGTTGATGATATGCTTGTCAGAAAATGTTAAGCACAATTTGTGATATATTAATGTTATCATCAGACAAATATTGTCATAGTAAGACTACACATTTTACTAATAAATTACAGTAGTCGTAATATAGTGCAGTTCCTGCAAGGATTATAATTATTAATGAATACATAGTACAAGTACATAACCAGCAAAGTGAGTTTTAGGTATTTGATTTGATATTTTTTTAACAAAGTAAACCATTTTTATTTGAATACTTTTCATAATTCTATGATCAGATAAAAAAATCATTGTTTAGTGTTAACAGATAGGTAATGAATTTTCCAAGGGGAAATTAAAAAAAAATAAATAAAGATTACAATAATACATATTGTGTGTAATAAAGTAAACAATTTTTATTCATGGATAAGCAAAACGCTTAGGAAGAAATAATGATAATTAATTACTTTTGTATTTTGCAATTATATTTTTATGTACCATAAATTATATTACTTCTCATCTTCTAAATTTAGATTTCGCAATAATTTACACATGATTTACTTACAATTTACGGTGCATATACTCTTACAAAATGATTAGATTCTTATAAAAACTTCATTTCTGTTTTTACCCTCGTACGTTACCTATTTTGTGGTGTAAATTTATCTAAGTTAAACCTAAAAATGACAAGGACACCATAGTTTTAAAAGTAACAAACGAAATGTTTACCAATCAAATCAGTGTCATATTGGTTATGCTTGAGCAGTGCAGGAAGTTTTTGTTAAGCAGTTATAATAATTGTTGTGTTGTTAAGTGTGAAGAATTTTGTTACAAATCATGTGTCCTCTTAAAAATTTAATTAGCATATTTCCTTGAACTATAACTCTACATATAAAAAAGCTGGACGTTTAAGGATCAACATCTTATCCATCAATCAAAATCGTAAGTCAAAAATTTCCATTTTTAAAAATGCTGTGCTTACGAAAGCCGAAAATTAAAGTAGCGAAGTGTCCGTACCTTCCGAAATTTGTGTGGTATGTGGACATTTCCAATATTTTTCTTTTAATTAACAATAAGAAGTCAAGCTCAAAGACCCTAAAATTCATTCGTCGTCGAATTTTTATGTTAGATCTATAGGATTGAATGCACTGTTTTGCATTCAGGGTGTTATAAATGAATTCTTAATTTTACAAGAGAAGTGTTTATGATTTTTATAACCCCTAATAACCTAAATGAAACTGAAAAATGTGTTTTAAAAATTGGTTGTTTAAATTACAAAATTGTGCACTCGAAGACAATTTTACTCAACAATTTGGAATACATTTTTTTATTAGAGACCTAAGGTTTATCAAAAAGTGAAGAAAAGAACATTAGACTAAGTAGTTCATCTAAAAAGATCTTCAAATAGACCCGAAAAGGCGAAAAATATTACAATTCTTCATAAATAAAAATACTAGAGATATTTATACCACTTTTATCAGAATTTTGTTTATTTATCGGATTTTTTTATTATCCAGTAATAATGTAGGTCGATAATAATGTATTTTTTTAAATTTAAAAATATATGGAAATAAAGCAAGAATGTGGTCGTACCTACTGGTTTATTTATGGCAATTTTAAACCCAAAAACGCCCTTCAGGACATTGGTCCTAATGGATGTATAATGATGAGTTATCACTATAGTAGATATGTGCAGATTTTGAAATCCGAGATACCTCCGAAGCTTGTTATAAAAAATTCAACACAGCGTGCTTATTCAATTCTATTGATAATTGAAAAAGAGCTTCATTGCTTAATAGCAGCAATGCGTAGTTGTGTACCTCCAAGGTTTGCAGCGATAAATACTAAAGTGTGTGCGAATCTGCAATGCAAATCAACCATAAATTTTAATTAATAAAAATGTTTGATTGGATAGAATCTTGTCTTGTCGAAATTTTGTTAGTGTTATATCTACTTCAATATTTCTTGTAAGTCTTAAGAATGAAAACATTTTCATAATAATAATCGTTGATATTTTCACAAGAAAAATGCAAAACGATTAATGGGAATTTAATCTTCATTAGTCATTACGTCATTGAGAGCGGTCAAAACACTTGTACATTTCGTTTCACTTAATTAATATTTGGTTTTCAAGCTTCAAGTAACGAACAAAATTGATAATAGAGCTATTGTTTCTTATAGTAAGTTTCAAGATTTTAGTGTTTGAGTGATGGTGACCAATTTGAGCGTCAAAGGAAGTTTTTGTAGTTTTCGCAAGAGGTGAACAAACTATTTTTATCCTCGTATTTAAAAAAAATCGTAATAGACACTTTACTGTACTTTAAGTTTTAATTCGATAACTAATAGTTATTTATTGGCAAATTATGATTGTGAAGGTTACATTAGATCTCATTGCAAGACGGTCACGTCTGTCACCTGATGCAATTTCCTCTGTAATCAAAAAAATAACATTTTGTGTTCTTGTTTCAGTTCAATTATGTCCGGAGATTCACCCAACGCTTTCACAAATGAAAACGTCTTCGATTTTAAAGAAGGCCGCTCCTCGCCGGCCCCAACCACCTCAAAAGATCACAATCAAAGCGGTGTGGTAACAGCGTCGGTGCTTGTCGAACCGCAAAAAGAAAAAGAAAAAAGTAAAGACAAAGACAAGGAAGAGGAGGATGAGCCTGATTTTTCATCGCCAACACTCAATCCTGAAGATAAGGAAAACCGGCGTCGGTCGGATGCCGATAAAACGCTGGAGTTAAACGATCCGAAATACGACGACGATAAAGGCAAAAAAGAGGAACAAAACCTACTCAACGGTGGATTGGACCGACTGCCGAATCCCTACGCCAGGTCCAAAGAGCTGGGCGAAGAGGACAGTGAGGACGACACGTGCATTGTGAATTGTATATATTACACAATGGAATGTTGTAAATGTTCCATAGTTTAATGGAGTGTAGGTAATAATATTGTGATATTGTATTCGTCGATTTCATCGTGCCTCATTCCTAATTAAGAAAAATGTTGGAGTTGTTAGGTATGTCTGGTGCAGTACCTTGAGAAATAAATCTTATTGTACAATTTGTGGCACTGTGAGCGTTCCATTACATAAAATAAAATGTAAACATACCTATTTTACTAGTAAATTGAAATTATAAATGAGTGATAACTTGTAAATTTCAAGACTGACAATCTTTTAATCATATCAAATTGTGAACAAATTTTTTCACATCGTCTCCCTTGAGCTAATTGCAAGCCAACACATTTGTATCTTCCTTCAGCTTATATTAATTTGGAATATGTATCAGTATTGCTTTTTTATTAACTTTTAAGTATAAAACACTCATTTTCATTTAAGACCTTAAAAGTCATTAAAATAAAAAAAAACTAATGAGATAATTCTCATTAAGGTCCTAAATGAAGCTTTTAAATATTAGTAATATTATGCTAATTTATCAAGTATATTGCCAGGATTAATAAATAAAGTTATTTTTTGAAACTATATGCCATACAACAATGTGTATTTATTTGTATAAAATTGTATTTCCTGCATTTGTAATAGCGAAGCAGACAAGTGCAATAAATTGATTTGTACGATATTTTGAATATTTTTCTTTGTAAAATTTACACTAGAAAAGCACTCAATTTTGAACCAGAAGACACATTACATTACAGATTTAATTATGAAACCATTGAAATGTGAGTAAAAATTTAATAATCGTCTCTACAAAGTGTAATACTTTACTCACAAAAATCGGTGTTACAAATTAATGTAATTTCTAAACAAGCTACTGAGTTGAATGTTTGTGTATAAAAACCGAAAAAAACAAAATCTTTTAAGCACGTCCAATAAACAAACACACTCAGAAGCGTGCAATTCTACCATCGAATTCCTATGTCATATCCAACAGTGAAATTAACATTCTTGCCCTAATAAACTAAATAACACAATGTACAACAATGAACTATTCTTCATGTTACATTTCCTATCAACAAGTTTTTAAATTACACTGCGAAACAAATACATCAAAACGGTAATACTTTGTCAAGTCAAATTTAAACAAAAGTATAAAAATAAAATTTACCACTTAATATTAGGAAGTCAATTTTTGTAATATCAAACCCAATTTTACTCAGTCTTAGAGTGGAAAATGACACATTTCTACTTGACAAATGTTTAAACGATATCAATTTTTACTTAATCATAAGTACATCCTTGTGATAAAGGAACAAATAGCCCGAAATACTGGCCCATTTATACTACACAGGTGATAATCCAAACAAAACAGAACCTTGTTTTCCAAGTTTTTATATGGAATTTAAAATCTCACTAACAAAATAAAGTTTACACTAATAAATCCCCTCCTCAAAAAACAGCAATTTTTAATCAAGACATGTAATAAACATGTCCATTGTAAAATCGACTAGATGAATTGCATGTACCTACACAAAAAAATCACGATGAGTATATAGGCAAAGGGTGCGCTTCCGAATTAATAACATATGTATCCAAGTCTATCAATTTCGGATCATCACTAAATAACAAATATAAATACTTTAAGGTTTCACTAAGAAAGAATGATTCCATCATATCCTTTGGTCTAACATTTAGAGGGTTTTTCACATTTCCAATGGAAGTGTAGCCGTTTTTCACTTTAGTATAATTCTCAAATCCTTGAAATATCTGCCATCCCCAATCCTGATACGTCTTATTACCAGTAAGCTGGTAGACATACCAAAGACTTTCCAAATACTCAGGCCTTAGTAAATTATGCGCATCGTTGGTTTTCACGTACATATCGTTGGAGTTTTCACCCTAAAACCAACATGAACATAAAACAAAAACAATGCATGAAACTCACCTGGATATTAAAATACGTGATTTCAGGTGCTAGAAATGTGGGTTGTTGGGCGTATGTTTGATAACAAGTGCTAAGCAATTCTTCTGCTAGTTTCATATGACTTTCTGGAAGACCATTGTGTACCCCAAGGGCCAAAGTTCCTGGCAAATAACACGTTAGGTGGTCCATTTTCGGTTTAAAATCTTTTCCACCAACTAGCAATTCACCAATGAAGAGAAAACCGTTAGGGACGGTTCTTTTTGTTAAGTGTTTCTCAACACCCATTATACTCGTCACATAATCATCCCTTAAACTATCTCAACTTTATAAAAATTGAAAATTAGTGTTCCAACTTACTAATCGATTGTTTTCCCAGTCTGTAACCACTGTTTCAGTAAATATTCGTAATAGCTGTCCCCGCGGGCTCCTAGAGTAATTGTTGCATAAGATCTGAATTGACCAGTATTGGCATTGATAAAAATAGGAACCAGACCATCTTTCTTTTCCAAATTGTGGATATGAAATGACACTTTAGAGACAGCGTTCTGTAAAAATATTTTAAAAAAACGTTGAAAAAAAAAGTGATATTACTTCATATTTCGGATTTCCAGTAATTCTACTTAAATCCCGAAATTCCAACTGAATGGTGGTAACTTCAGATGTGCTACTGTCAGGTGACCATTTGGGTGCATGAGCTTTCCTTGTAAATAAATTAACATCAGAATAGGGAATCCCCGATTCTGATTCAAAACTTGGCAGTAATCGGTCAGCTAAATCAACCTAAAAGTCACTCTTAGGGACGTAAAATTTTATAAAAGTAATCAATATTACAGCTTTAGTGATAAACATCCTATCCTGAGTAAGGTGATATATGCTAAGTAGGCCTCCTAAGACTCGTATTGTTACTTCAAATAAGTTTACGTCTCGGTTCACATCAAAATGTAGGTGTTTTTCTATCCACTCACGTGCTTCTTTATATTCTAAAATTCTTGGTTAAATAAAAAACATGCAAACGTAATACACAAACCTTTTGTTAAGCCCATTATGTAAATGGTGTCGATTGCGTCAACAATGCTTAAACCAAGCCCAAACCAGTCACTGTAACCCTCAGTTATGGGTTTTAAGTGGTCATGACCCCATGCAAATTGTTTATATCCTTGCCAAGCATGCTTAAACGCTTTCACCACGGCTTCCTGGCGCGCCGTTGTGGGGCCTGTAAATTTTTTCAAAACTTTGGGCGGCAACAAAACCTGGTTTCTGTTATTTTCAGCCTCCAAACCCCCAGGCTCTTCTAATACTTGACCCTCACTGTCATTATCATGGAATACTGTATCAACGTCTCTGGGGTCGTTTCTGATGTTATTTAGTACCTCCTTTTTGTTTTCATTTGTGTTCTCTGCTATGCTTATTTGTGTTTTCTCGGATTCAGTTGAAACTAAGTAAAATACAGTGAGGGTTAACACTATGACTATTGTGTAAATACAGCTCCTTTGACATTTTGATAACTGATTCCAGAGCTAAAAGAACACGAGGCTGTTATTCTGATTCATGAATTTGTCGAGTTAATTTACCCTTTTTAAGCTTTTCGTTCTTTTTCTATCATGAATGTTTTCATTGGTACCAGATACATCAAGAGCGACATGGTCCATTGTTACGGTGATTTTAACACACCAACATTGTTAAAGAGGAACTACTTACTTATAAAACTCGCACAGGACGAGAAACAAATTTATTCTAACTCACTTACACATCACACAAAACAGAAATTGAAAGTTATGGCAGAACTGTCAAAAAAAATTTAACACCTGTCATGAGGTACCAACACGAAACAAAAATTAAACGAAAACCACTAGTAGATGTTTACGCCTTTTAGAAGAAGTGTTTCTAACCTCCAATTTGTAACGTTGAAACGTTGAAAAATAAGCATAATGTTGGCCGTTCAGGGTATGAATCAGTCCGGAATTCCAGACAAAATGTGGCAACCCCCATTCGTGGCATTTGAGACAACGTAAGCTTTTGAATTCCATTTTTCTTAAAACTAACCTAATTTCTTATAGAATGGGTGAAATCACAATTGAGCTTTACTGGAAACATGCCCCTCAAACGTGTCGAAACTTTGCAGAATTGACCAGGAGAGGTTATTACAATAACACAATTTTTCATCGGGTTATAAGGGATTTTATGATACAGGGTGGGGACCCCACTGGGACAGGTAAAGGAGGACTTTCGATTTACGGACAGACGTTTAAGGATGAAATACACCCGGAATTGAAACACAGCGGAGCTGGAATCTTATCGATGGCGAATTCTGGCCCTGATACTAACGGTTCACAGTTTTTTATCACTTTGGCTCCTACGCAATGGTTGGATGGAAAACATGCTATTTTTGGGAGGATTCAATCAGGAATGAATGTCGTGAAGAGGATAGGATTGGTAGAAACTGATAAAAATGATAGACCTGTTGACGAAGTGAAGATAATAAGAGGAAAAGTAATTAAGAATTAATTGGTTTTTATATTGTGAAAATATTAATAAAAAATCCAAACAAACAATTGTTTTTATTTCTTAAAACACGACAAAAAACATTTCTTTTTTGAATTTTTTAATGCTTAGAAATACATTTTAGAACATAAACTTAAAAAAAAACAAAGTCACTAGACAGTAGACACCTTACCTGTCAAAATCCATATGGCAGATTGTCAATAAAATGCTTGTAAAAATTTAAACTGGGTTTTACAAGAAATTAAGCTTATAATAATCGTATTATGCCCAATTACATTTGCAAAATGTTTTCTGACGACGACTCATAGGCACTAACAGTAAAATCACACCCTAGATAATTAGTTTAAGCCTGATATTTATAACCAGTCCTTGGAACTTGTGTAATTTTGTGCTTCGAAAAAGTAACAAAGCGATGGAGAACGGCAGTATTCCAGTCCATAAGCTAACAAATAATCCTACTGCAGCGTGGAGGGAAATATCAAAGAACCAAAAAATTATCAAGCTTAATGTTAAGACACCATCAAAACCTGTTGAGCCAAATAAAGTAAGATTTGTTTGCATGAGTGACACTCATTCTCTTATAAGAAACGTGGTATTTGACGTACCTGACGGTGATGTGTTCATACACGCAGGAGACTTTACGAAATGTGGACAAAAAGAGGAAGTTATACAGTTTAATAAATGGCTAGGTGAGTTTTTCTGAATAAAGAAATTTATCATTTTATTTGCTTACTTTTTAGTGTCGTTGCCCCACAAACACAAGATTGTAATCAGCGGCAATCACGAGTTGAGTTTTGATAAAAAATTCTCAGATTATTTCAAAAAAACGGTAAGTTCAAGACACACTGGATCACTTGAAGATGAAGTCCCCAATTATGGCAATACTAAAGATAACATAAGTGATGCAGTAAATACTGATAACATCAGGCAGTATTTAACAAATTGCACCTATTTGGAAGATTCAAGTATCGATATTTACGGTATCAAACTGTATGGTACTCCTTGGTAATTTCATAAATATCGTAAATGGATAAAAATTGATCAAAACAATTTCAGGCAACCAGAATTTGGTGGTTGGGCTTTTAATTTAGAGAGAGGTGAAGAGTGTCTCTCTAAGTGGAATTTGATTCCAAATGATGTAGATGTACTAATTACTCATACACCTCCTCTAGGGTTTGGGGACCTGGTTTGCTCAGGAGTCAGGGCCGGCTGTGTAGAATTGTTAACAACAGTGCAACAAAGGGTCAAACCCAAATATCACGTTTTTGGGCACATACATGAAGGCAAGTTATTTTTATTGTCAGTCAGTTGTTGTTGCGTAATACATAAAACTGCTTAACTATTTATTTGATTTACAACTGTTGATACTAATTTAAAGAAGTTTTCTCCGACATTTTGATTTATTAATAAATCTTGTCTTATTTTTTTCTTACACAAATTTCATGATTAAAGCTGTTACCGTTATTAATATTCATAATTGGGTTATCCGGTAATATAGTTACGAATAAACCGAAAACCTTAGCAATAACTTCTTTGATTTAGTATAGTAACTAGATAAATTTCAAGTTCATCTTTACTTTGTGATACCAAGAAAAGAGACTATTGCTGCGTTTTATTTCCCCAGATTATGGAGTATTCTCTGATGGAAAAATCATCTATATCAACGCTTCAACATGTGATATTAATTATATTCCGAAAAATTTACCTATAGTTTTTGACGTTCCTTTACCTGAAGGCCACTGTAAAGACTAGATTAGGATCAATTGAAAACAGCTTTTATATCTATTTATTGTGTATATTTAAGTTTTTTATACAAAATAATTTGCAAAAAAAGCGTATAGAGAAAGCTCCTGTCTTTTATTTCTTATACAAGTATAAGCCAAAATTGTATAAACTACAAGATCGTTTTAAAATAATTAAAAATAAAATTTTATTGCAAAGAAGGAACCTAATGTAATTAGTGTAAAATGTTTTAAAACATAATATGGCATGCAACCACAAAGGTCCAAATTAGGATTTTTTAGAAATAAAATAAGTTATCTCTAACAAATTAATTGTTTCAAATTCGATTATTATAATGAAAAAAGAACAATAAAATTTCTCTACTTCTGAGGATTTGCAGTACAACCTATAATTTTTATTATTGAAAATAATAAAAATCGGTTAATAAGGAACATTCGAGAATAGATACGATACTGATTCGCCATTGTGTGTCCTCCTCACCGCCTCGGCGAACATCATAGACACATCAATGCACTAAAAAGAAATTGTCAAAATGGTAAATAATTATTATTCAAGTGTGACACTCACCTGGATTTTTGAACAATCCTTCATATGTCCATCCTGAGGAATAGTATTTGTGACAACCACGGCTTCGAAGCACGCATTATTAATCCTAGTAATGGCAGGTCCGGAGAATATTCCATGAGTCAAAATTGCGTAGACTTTCGTAGCCCCAGCTTCGGTCAACTTTTCAGCTGCGTGACAAATCGTGCCGCAAGTATCGGCCATATCGTCAACCAAAATAGCAACCCTGTCTTTTACGTCTCCTACGAGAACCATCGAGGCCACTTCGTTGGCCTTTTTTCTCTCTTTGTGTATAAGTGCGAACTCCACATTCAATCTATCGGCGATAGACGTGACTCTTTTAGCGCCTCCGGCATCAGGTGACACTATTATACTGTTTCGCCACTCGACGATGTTTTCTTTGATCCATTTCAACACTGCCGGTTCGGCGTACAAGTTATCCACCGGGATGTCGAAGAAACCTTGAATTTGTGATGCGTGCAAGTCCATAGTGATGATGTGATCGGCTCCGGCCACTGAGAGCATGTTTGCCACCAATTTGGCCGAGATTGGAGCCCGACTCTGTTGAGGACAAAGTTTCAAATTGGCATGCATTGGGTTCATTTGCAAGGGACAAACGCTAATACCTAGTTGCAAATGCACCAATATGTTAGAAGCTAGACGAAAATTTCCCAAGCAAACTAGCTAGTTTTACAATTAGTAAAATGTCATGTCGGGTTAGTCAGACTTGGGTATTATTATTTGCCCCTTATCGTGTGATTTCAATATGCAAAAATTAATTAATAACAAATTTCAAGATCATAGATTACATCATTTTTCAGATGATAAGTTTTTACTCAACAATCATCGAAAAACAATAAACAGATAAACAAAAGTTGACTTTTGACTCCCTGAATGTTTGTTACAAGAAAAATGATAATAATAATGACTATTTCGTCAATGTAATTGTAAAGATAGTTTCATAATAGTATGTTTCCCCTTCATATTGTAATCCTCGCATGCAGTTCCAAAAACTCGTATTTTAGGCCTCTGAACATTGTTACATACAGCGTTTCTTCTAATAGGATGTTGTAATTACTTCCAGGAAACATTGTTCCCTTTTTGGTAATATCAGTTTTTAGTTACTATTAATTACGACATCTGTAACGCTGTATTAATGTGAGATAACTTTTTTGTATATCAGTGTAACCAATTAGTATTATTAACGACGTACAAATAAGGAAAGCTATTCTAATTTTGGAGACACTGCTATTTGGCTTAAAAAACATGATATTCAGACGACACTTTCCCAATAAGCCCCTGCAACATTCACAAAATTTAACAATTTTTACCCTGAATTTCCATTCGATAGACTTCCATTTTTCCACGTTGCGTTCGACGTCATTTTTATTCGCAGGCTAAAATAATTTCGTATCAGGTAAGTGTGTATGAAAATGTAATTCTACTTTATTCTAATCAAAATGCAGTTTTTTTGAAATCTGATTCAAATTAAAATTAGTTTCTATTTTCGTAACGAATAAATAATTACATAAAAAAAATGGAAAATTGTCGACAGAAAAAACGGAATTCTTTCAAAAATAATCTATAATGAAAAACAGGTGTTTGGAGAGTGAAGAGTTTTGAATAAATTTGATATAAGTTCTACCAAAATAGTCGTTATTTAGAATTCGTTAAAAAAACTCATAAAATGTTTTGAGCTTCATAAACACTGAACTAAATTTATTTTTGTAGTAAAAAATTGAATCTTTTCCAACTGCTCTCTCACCTTTTGTTAGACAATATTTTTATATTAATTACAGCTAATCTTGAAATACAAAACAACCTAAAGCAATGCAGTTCGCTAAACATTCCGATGTTATCAATTTATAAACTGACATGAACCTGAACTTACTGACGTATTTCTGACCATTTCAACTATTTTTAAGTTATACTAATTAGGTAATAAAATATATTCTTAATTAATTTGAGGAAACTGTTAGTTCGTCGACTGAACAAGATCAAAAGCAAAAGTAGTTTTGCTGTACGAGTAAGGCAAAAATTACTAAATCATAAAAACAACTGCATGTTTTTTACCAAGAATATTTTTTTATTTATTAAGCATTTATTTTTGTGGTAACTTAAACAAAAATAGTGACTTATTTCATCAAAAAAAGCATTACTAAAAGCAAAAAGTACGTAATAATTGTGGTTATAAAAAGGTATTAAAAAAATTAAAAAGTTAATGTTGATGAATGACGTCTACTTTGACCAAATTGCTCTTGAATACAGCTGTTTTATGGCATTTATAGGGTATTTGTAAGTTTGCTAATATTCCAATAAAAGACCTTTATGATTTATTTAACAAATCATAAATCATATTTTTTAAGTACAAGCAAACTTGTATTGAAAATACTTAAGTAGCGGAGGTGGTGCCCTCTTAACCACGTGTTACTTTAGATGACGTATGACAACTTAACGGTATATAAATTGATATAAATTAATAAGTTACATGGTCGGATTAAGCTTGTCCAACTATCAAACTAGGTGCTCCATTATTTGCCAATCCAATAGGAAAAACCAAAACCCTAATTTACTGAAAAACCAAAACTACAGTCTCTATAAACCCGCTTGCAGATGTATACAAAGTCACGTGGTTTCTAGGTTATCTACACATGTGCAGGTACACAATTGCTTAAATTGTGTACTTACCTTGTCCTTTTTGTCTTGTCGGGCATAAGGGAAGCATGGAATGACTGCAGTGACTCTACTTGCGGATGCAATTTTGCATGCGTTTATCATAATAAGAAGTTCCATCAGGTTGTCGTTAACTTCCCCGCTTCCTGACTGGACGATGTATACATCTTCGCCACGGACGGATTCCCCAATTTCAACACTAAAAATTAAATCGCAATTTAAGTCATGTTTTAACTGTTCTTAAGGGCTGTTAATTAGTTAAGTTCCTTACTGTCACCGGTAAATAACTGTACAATCCCAAAGCCTACTCACCATGTTTCCAAGTTACTGAATTTCTTCGTTACCACTTTGCCCAAGTCGATCCCCAGTCGGTCCACAATCCTCTGGGCAAGATCAGGATGAGAAGTCCCGCTGAAGACTTTAATGTTCGGCATTCTGCTCTGGAGTATCAACGAAGACTTTTCCAACTTTGCCCGCAACAAGCTTTTAGCACGTACGGGCTGGGAAACGGGCATAACTGCAAAACGCTCAGCCAATCAGAACCGGGGTCTAATGTTATCGGCAAACAACGCTCCAGAATGATAAACCTTCTGACGAAATACTCCCTGCTTATCGAAGATTTCCGTTGAAAATATCTGCGAAATTGTCAACAAAAATCGCGAGGGGAGGTCGCTTACGTCATTATTGTTACGGTGGAAGATAAAATCCTTGAATATTTGCGAAGATTTTAGCCGATTTGGCAGGTGCATAACTTTCGTAAAGTTGGCTATAATGCTATTGAAAACAAGTGACATTTCTTCATTTAGCATTTCATAATTTGCCTAACTTCAGTGAGAAATTAAAAGTGTGAAAGTCGATCTTTAGTCAGTGTATTTTTTACTTTTGTCAACAAATTATTATTTTTTAGAGTTACGGTTTTATCTGTTATGTTGATTTACTCGTTATCCTGCATTTAGGAACTTCCCCATCAGAATGGCTAACATAGCAGCACAAAGAATAAGGCGAGAGTTTAAAGAGGTTATTAAAAGTGAAGAGGTAGGAACTTCTCAAACACAACTATTTTTCTGTTATGTCATTGTTTGTTACTTTCGCTATTTCCGATATATAAACGGTACTTACCATCTTCGTTTTCCTCAGACATATCTAATTTTCACACTGAAATTGTCAGTACTCGAAAGTAAAATTATTGATTAAGTACTGAAAATTGCCCCCTGACATAAATTAAATCTGAAGGGGTTATCACACAATAACGTCATTTCGTAACAAATAACAAACTCGGCTAACATGATGATGTTTGTTCAAAATTTAGGTAGCAAAATGTGCCATCAAAGTGGAACTTTTAAATGATAGTTATACAGAACTCAAAGGAGAAATTACAGGACCCCCAGATACAGCATATGAAGGGGGCACTTTTGTATTAGAGATTAAAGTACCTGAAACATACCCTTTCAATCCACCCAAGGTAAGTTACAATATTTACCAAAAAATTTACTAAGTTTGTAACAGGTCAGGTTCATTACTAAAATATGGCATCCCAATATATCATCTGTAACAGGCGCAATCTGCTTAGACATTTTAAAGGACCAATGGTAATCTTATATTTAACAAATTTCAATGATTGAAACTTGCTTAAAAATTGTAGGGCTGCAGCTATGACATTGAGAACAGTGTTATTATCACTGCAAGCTTTACTTTCAGCCGCAGAACCAGATGACCCACAAGACGCTGTGGTAGCGAAACAGTTTAAAGAAAATATAGAAATGTTTCAAATGACAGCCAGACATTGGACAAATGTTTATGCAGGCGGTATATTTATGTAATTCGCAATTAGGACGGCGTGACGTTTTGTTTGCAGGTCCTCACGTAAATAAAGAATGTGACGATAAAATTAAAAGGCTAGTTGATATGGGAGTGGAAGAACATCAAGCGCGGGTCGCATTATCTTCGTATAATTGGGATATAGAAAGAGCAACTGAACAGTTATTTAGTTAGTGAACTATTTTTAATCCGCCATTTTACTATATTCTCTCTACACTTTTCCTACAGTTTATTATGATACGCAGTTATAATTTTTTATTCAATAGATTACCGACTCAAATTACTTTGAAGGTGTACAAATGAGGCGCGTTTAAATTTTGAATAAAAAAGGAATGTTTGCACTTAATTATGTCTCAATAATTATGTAAAATGTTTATTTTGGCTCTTACAAAACTAATTTTGTCATTGGTGTTTGAAATTTAATGATGTTACTGCTTACCGTTTCTTATTACAAAGCCTTTCATTTAATTACGTTTTATTCTTGCTAGTGAAAACCAGATTAGTTTTTAGCACTTTAAGTATGGTAATTGAATGAAATGCTTTGTATAACCACTTTCCAATGAGTTACTGTTTTAATTTGTAAATCGGCGATTGAATATACTGTTAAATAAAATTTTAATCTTGAATATACAAGAACAAAGATAAGTTTACAACCCTCAAGAGCAATTCACATCTTTGAAGATAGTTCCCTGGGATCCTCAAATATTTAATAAAAATAGAAATCGCGTTTTAATACTCAATAATACATTTATTATGCAACAGATTATTAACATAAGTAACAATTATGGAAGGTCATTTTTCATATTTTAAAATTCAATGCTCTACTTTAAATTTGATTTTCAAATTCAATAATTGTAACAATCGTTTACCTATTTTTGATTTCAACAAGTTTAAAATAGTGAATTATTTTAATTGTATCAAAGATCAATTTTCATTTGTCTTTATTTTTTGTGGTTACAAAAAATATTTAATTCTCTTAAAACATTGTTTTCTGATACGTTTTGTTTTTTTTTGTGGTTCTATTATGAGAAATGTGCAAAAGTTCAGATTACGCAAAGACGTGAAGGTCGTTGACGTTGAAACGTCCTTGAGTTTGACGCCGCCATTTGACAGTTGATAGTTTTTTGAGGTTATGTCGGAAATTTTTATTTGAAAAAACGACAAAAAAGTAATGAACCTGGATGACTACAATCACGGAGGTAAACAAAAAATACTTATTTTATTCTCAGTACATAAAAAATATCATTATTTCAATTTTAACAAGTATTAATATACGTTTCAGAAAATGAGATGGATGTTGAAGGCTCTGAGGAATTTCCCATGCAAATAATATCGCAACCACCGTTGGAGGAAATTCATCCTTTAGCTTTAGTAGCAATAAATGTTGATAATAATGTAAGAACTAACAACCACAATGTAGTAGAGTTCCCGATTGTGCCACAAAACATAGTTGAAGTCAACGAAATCGAAAGGCTGTCTCCTGCAGAATCAGTGCAGAATTTTGACGAAGAAAGTAACCAAAATAACGATTCCAACGAACCCATTCAAACCTCCAGAAAGCGCACATATGAGGTTGAGGAACGCGAAGAGGACGGCTCTGTGTGCCCCATTTGTTTGGACGAGTGGACGAACACTGGCTCGCACAGGATATGTGCCCTCAAATGCGGGCATTTGTTCGGTTTCCAGTGTATATCTCGGTGGCTAGACCAGAATACGAAGAAGTCGTGTCCAACTTGCAAGGAAAAGGCGCGCCAGCATGATATTCGCTTTATATACGCCAAAAAACTAACCGCCATAGACACCACGGAATTAGACAATATTAAACAACAATTAGATACAGTAATAGAACAAAGGAATAAATTCCAGACTGAACTGGCAACGTGCGTCTACCGCGAGCAGTTGCTGAAGCACGAAATAGCACAACTTAAGACTCAGTTGAGTAGTTTTACGAGACAAAATAATGTTCCTACTTTTAACCAACCGATGATGGAACGCGTAAAATTGTACATGGATAAGGCGATGGAAATTTGCAAATTCGGGGGCAGTCGAGTCTTCGACGCACGCTGCGAATTGGACTTACTCATGGCTTCAATGAAGTCGCCTACTAACTTATTCGCCGGTTTTGGTTTGAAGAAAATTAATATTTCCGATTACAGAACAATCGCATTTATTCCAGTTCACACTTTGCAAATTAGGGACATTTGTTTCCATAAAGAACAAAACTGGGTTCTTACGGCTTCCATGGACAAGACTTTTAAAGTCATAAATAACCACGAGAACTCGATTCTTTACCAATTCACCCATCAGATGCCCCTATGGTCGTGCTGCTGGGACGAAAACAACCCTTACGAGTTATACGTGGGGACCCAAGCAGGATCAGTTATTAAATACGACATTCGACAATTGACTGAAGCGGTTTCTACGTTTTCCATTGAGGGGGACATGTCGCCGGTGGTGTCAGTGGCGTCCATCCCGGCGGCCCCGGGGGAGACTTTGGCGCAAGGAGGCGTCGTTTCGTGCAAATTAAACTCTCTGTGGCTTTACGAGAACGTGAATGGAGAGTACAGAAGACATCCAATTTCCTTAGAGGGACCATTCGTTTCAATGAAATATCAAGCAAACACAAAGCAATTGTTAGTGTCTTCTAGGCCCAATAGTCGCATTACGTACGCTAGACATACTTTAAGTTATTTGGAGAAAAATGAAGATAAAATTGACTGTAATATTCTGCATACGTTTCAAGGAGGCGGCATGCAAAAATTGCTATCAAAGTCATGTTTTTTGTCTCATACGAGTGATTATGTTGCTGCACATCAGGAGAATTGTAAAAGTGTGTTTTTATGGAGTATCAATACCGGACAAAAGGTTTGCTCTGTTACCGCTCATGAGAGTGTTCTAGATCTGAAAGGGTTCCAGAATCAAAATGGTAGTTTTTTGGTTTCGTTGACTGATAAGAAACTCGAATTTTTCAAATTTGCCTAGTCGGTTATTAAAGTTTTATTGTTTTAAGTAATTACACTTCTTAATAAAAACTTTGTTATTAATCACATTTCAAACATACTTTTTTCAATAAATTATTTATATTTTTATTATACATCGGAAGTTTTAATTCTCCTTGTGCTTCTTTCAATTTTTGTTTGTTAAGAATATTATTAATAATTAATAAATGTTTTGTTAACGCTCTACACCCTTAAATAAAATTACCATTCATGTTTATTATTCTACAAAAATGTCCGACAACTTAATTTCAAGTACTTTGCTTAAGATAAAGTAAATCGTTCATTATTCTACAACAACAATCAAATTGTACTAAGAATACGTGCTTCATAAAGGCTACTGATAATCTTATCTTGTTACTATCCTTTTTAAAATATATTTTACCGAGAAAATTACATAATTTACGCAAACTTTTAGCGCTATTCCATTTATTTACTTAATTTAAAATATGTAATACACGATATTGTTTGTTAGAGGTAAAAATACCACGAAATATTTTTTTAAAATTTTGCTTAAACACTGCTTATATTTAACTGTTTCTTCTTTTCATCTAAATCATTAATTTTACCTTAAAAATTCTTATTTGTAACGGATTTTTCTTTAAATACGAATATAGTACGAGTATATTAAAAAATAATAAAAACTGAAATTATGTATATCATAAAAAAGAATTAACTGAAGAGGATACGATATATGTAGAACAGTGTAGGTAGGTGAGAAAAACCATTTTTACCGATATAAAAAAATCTGTTTTTCCACTTAATAAAAATGCTAGAAGAGTTTAAGTTTTAAGGCATAATATTCTCTGAGCCATTATCAGTATTAAGTACGAGTATATCTTAATTAACTCCCCTGTGGCCAAATACTCAAGTTATTTCCGAATTAACATTAAACTAATGTAAATATACCTAAATATACTTATTATTTCCACTTTAAATTTAGGGAGGAATATGTGGAGATAAAACTAGGTATAATGGGAAAATCCCCAAACTCTTATCATTTATCTATCTAATCTATAAATAATTGCAGTTAATTACTTGATTTCTGTAATAACCTTGTTTATTACATAGGTTTTTAACTGATGAAAATTTATCTGTGGTGGGTGGGACCCAGCACCAGAGCGCTCAGCTATCTTTCTGATAACAGTGGCTATATTAGTACCATAGTTAATACTTTTTTAGGTAAATATTATATTTTATTACTGATAGCCGCAGTGCCTGACTTTTTCTTCGGAACGGAACAGCTAGTAGGTGAGTAGGTCTTACTTTACACAGGAATCTTAGAATAAATACGTTTTGAAGGTTTTTAATGTTGGTGACACTAAATATTTTACTCTGTCTTCCTATTTTCAGAAATAAAAACTTTTACTTTTTACCATATTTTGACGAAAAAATCCAAAACTTAAAATAGTAGGTACTTATATGATGGGAGGCCGAATTTATTATGTATTGTAGTCACTTTTATTCTAAAACTGTCGTTAGAGATTCTAAAATTTAAAAAAACCGGGAAATGGTTTTTGTGATATAAATTTGACAGTTTGTTGACTGACATCCGTGACATTACCATTACTGTCAGTTGTACAATTATTTTTGTTTTTTCATTACTTAAAAAGTATTTTGTTCTGCTACTAAAATTTTTTTTTAAACCGCTTCTGTCTCAAATTTTTGAAAAATTGGTACTCTCAAAGTGGACTTCAGAGTAGATTTTAAAAATTAATCAGTAAGTCGTCAACATTTTTATTTTCCTTTTATCTTTTTTGTGTACCTACTGTATTTATTATGTAAATAAGTAATTATTTACCATTTGCCTATCTTCTGTGGTAAAAAAACAACCACAAGTGATATAAAATTGTTGATCTTTCAGACCACTGATTGACACTGACAAGCGAGAATATAAAATCTTTGGTGGTTAAGTGTTAAGTCATCAGAAGAAATCTAGCCTTCGTGGACAATAACATAATAATAACCTCAATTTTAATTTTATTAACAAAGCCAGCAACATGTCTCTTCCGGAGCCATTATCAAAACTTTTTAGGTAAGTGAAAGTCTTCCGAATCCAGATTAACCCCTGTTTCACTTTCACAGTGAAATTGATAAAAATAAGCAAAAGTTCATAACTAACCTCCGCGATGCCGTTGCTATTCAATCCGTGTCGGCATGGCCCCACAAACGGGGCGAAATAAGAAAAATGATCGAATGGGCTAAAGACCGCATGCAGAAACTCAATATTCAAACTGAAATCAAAGAATTGGGAAAACAAACCCTGCCTGATGGAAAAGTCATTGATTTGCCCCCTGTGGTGTTTGGTGCTTTGGGCAATGATCCTAAGAAGAAAACTGTTCTGATTTATGGACATTTGGACGTTCAGCCTGCCCTCAAAGAGGACGGTTGGGATTCCGAACCTTTTGTCTTGACTGAAAGATCTGGAAAGTTGTATGGGAGAGGGTCGTCAGATGACAAGGGGCCGGTCTTGTGCTGGTTACACGCTATTGAGTGTTATCAAAACTTGGGGATTGATATTCCAGTCAATGTCAAGTTTATCTTTGAGGGAATGGAGGAATCGGGGAGTGTGGGTTTGGACGAGTTGGTTCACAGCGAGAAACAGAAATTTTTGTCAAATATTGACTATGTTTGCATCTCTGATAATTATTGGTTGGGGACTAAGAAACCTTGCATCACTTATGGGCTCAGAGGGGTTTGTTATTTCTTCATTGAGGTGCAATGTGCCGCTAAGGACTTGCACAGTGGAGTATTTGGGGGCACTGTGTAAGTCACCGTTATTTGTTAATAGGAAAAAAATCTATTTGGGTTTTTACAGCCATGAAGCGATGACTGATTTAGTTTACCTTATGGGTACTTTAGTCAACAAGGATGGCAGAATTCAAGTAGAAGGAATCTACGATGATGTAGCCCCTCTAATGGAGGGTGAACATGACATTTACAAAAAAATTGATTTTGATGTGAACGATTATCGGGGCGACATTGGTTGCAATCGTCTCTTGCATAATGAGCAGAAAGAGCAAATTTTGATGCACAGATGGCGCTACCCTTCCTTGTCTCTCCACGGCATTGAGGGGGCTTTTGCTGAGCCTGGAGCCAAAACTGTCATTCCAGGAAAAGTAATTGGCAAGTTTTCAATCAGAATTGTTCCCAATCAGAAGCCAGCTCAAGTGGAAAAATGCGTGGTGGCTTATCTGGAGAAGAAGTGGAAAGAATATGGAAGTCCTAACACAATGAAGGTAACACTTTGAACTTTAAAAGTCATTTTAGTTTTTATGTGTTTTATAGGCTTACATGACTGATGGTGGTAACCCCTGGACTGAGGACCCAACCCACCCTCATTACACTGCTGGTCTTAAAGCCACCAAACACGTGTATAAAGTTGAACCCGACTTTACTCGTGAGGGCGGATCGATTCCTGTCACTCTAACATTCCAACAAGCAACAGGAAAGAATGTTATCTTGTTGCCTGTTGGTGCAGGTGACGACGGTGCTCATTCGCAAAATGAGAAAATCGATTTGAGAAATTATATTGAAGGAGTGAGTTGAAGCAACAGGGAGAAATAACAAATGTCAAATTTACTTGTTTTAGACCAAGCTGTTGGGTGCCTATCTTTACGAAGTGGGACAGTTGCAGTAAACTATACAAGGTCAGATTTCTCAGGCATTGCCCTGTTTTTGATAAACTTATATGAAGAACAAAAATAGAGCATATCAATAAGTGAATCCAAGTGGTAACCATTTTATTTGTCTGGGAATTCTGCATTTATTGTTAGTTATAAAAATTTATATTTTTCTATTTTTCAATTGCTACAAATGGAAGTATTAAAGACGCTTAAAGGGTTGCCAATATTAAAAAAATATACTAAGATGCTGATGTTTTTATAAGAACTGATGTATGTAATAATTAAAGCTTAATCAAAATAGCACTGTTTTTAGTTATCGTTAAACTACATTTTTTATTTTTTTGATTCGAAATACATAATATGTACGTAATAGATATTTCAAATATACCTATTATGTTAATATTTATTCAGTTCGTGCTACACCCTCTAAAAGAGATGCGTTCTTTAGTGGGATTTTCCTAATATTGCAAAATAGATAAAATTGCAAAAGTTGGTACAGTTGATAAACCCCTGAACGCATTCAGTTGTCAATTTTTTTAACCACGGGCGTCTTAAACAGTAAAACGAACTTAATTTTGAATTTAATCATCTGTTTAAATTTGTAACAATAAAAACGGAAAACTCTGTATATTATATTTTTTAAAATGAACGGGTGATAAACTTTTAACCTATTTTGGAAGGTAAATTTTGTTTTAATGTTGTTGTTTAAATCTTTTAGCAACCCTTCGGTTGCTTCTATGGACTAAATCGCTAGAAGTGTTTTTATTAAAAAAAATATATCGTCACTTTAAACTTGTGCACACACTTAAAGTTTATTTCTTAATAAAAAACTTCTACATGGATTTATGTTCTAGCACATTTTACTAAATTAAATAAAACTTTAATTCAACAACAAGATTTATAATCAGTTACAAGTTACAAGTGTTATTTACAAAAAAAAGTGTACTTACCGAATTTTTCGAGCTAGTATATGCAGTATGCACCACCACAAGCTAAACGAGAGTAACGAGACATCAAAGACTAAATACAAATATTTGTAATTTCTGCGAAATCGTCAGGTTTATCTTATTTTGTATCATTTTTCACAAATAATTTCAGATAAAGAGTTAAGAACGTGATACGTTTCATTTTACAAATTATGCACACATGTTGAAACCAGTTGTACTCATATGACGGCAGAATAATAAATTGTATAAGTTGTGGTAATTTACAAATTCTACAAACTTAAAATACAAGGAAATCACACATTGAAAAAATAAACTGCTTAGTACCGGATGTGGTTTCGATTTGCTTTCAGATTTAATGTTTTTTTTTCCACTTTACTCTAACAGGTACATAGACACATCAATTAATATTAAAACTAAAGATTTAATTCTTTAGGAATCTGTCATTATTTAAATTATTATTATAATATAATTATTATTTAAGTTATTATTTAAATAAAAAATTAAGCAAGTGACTTCTATAAAAACGTCACCGATGTCTGATTAGAATATTACATAGTCAAAATACTACATATTTATGAAGAATATTTGTCTTGAAATTAAAAAAAAAATTAAACAACATAACTGCTAAAAAACGTTCATTCTTTATTCTAAACAGGAAAGTACTTTTTCAAATTTTTGTTACACTTTGACGATTTTCAAGACCCAAGCCCACTGATTGGTCACCGTCGCTTTATCTGGAAACTGGATGCTCACAGTTTTTGCGTCGATATTCCACTAAAAATTTGAATAAAACACCTTGCAAACACACTTATGAAATAGAAACCTTTAATTCCGATTTGCTGTCCAGCATGGTAACGACTTGTTTAGAATCGGAAAAAAGCTCATGTACTGATTCCAACTCAAGAACATTTTTGTCTGGCCATTGTAAAACAATTGCGTACACAGTATCTAACAATCTATTGGTCGTATACCAAACTCCCGGTGTTAGAGTATCATTTTGCACCGTCCACGGTTTGCTACTGTAGACAGCTTCACCATTTATAGAAAGCCAGTTTCCCAAATCTGTCAATCGTTGTTGAAATATTGGTATAATAGTGCCTTCTTTTGTTGGCCCAACATTTATTAGAAGATTTCCTAGAAATAATTCATTTTTTCATTACAAATCTCCTCTACAGCAATAATATACCTCCGCAACTAATTGTTTCGGCCAAAGTTTGAATCAATTCATGTGTTGTAAGATATGACGTTATGTTAGCATTTCTTCTGTACCCCCATGATTCTTTGTCAAGCGTCATTGCATTTTCCCATTTGTGAGACTGCAAGACTCCCGGATTATACCTATCTTTGCAGGAATAAAAATCGCCGTGTTTGCACGGAATCCCTATTCCCCATCTATCATTAACGAGAATTTCATTTCTGATTGGACTCTCGTTGTAAAGCCAAGCTAAAAACTCGGTGGATCTGAAATAGGTATCATTTGCCTCCCAATCACCATCAGACCAAAGTACTGAAGGCTCATAATTGTTGACAAGTTCATACATCTCCGGCAACATTTTATTGTTGACAAATTCTTGAGTTTGGAACGAATTGTTCTTATCAGAAAGGTATAGAGGATTAAACCATTCGTAAAGCGAGTGGTATAGGCCAAATCTTAAACCTTTATTTCGTACTCCTTTTGCTAAATCACCTGTAAAAAAACAAAAAGCGTTATTGAAAAATTTTGAAATGTGTATGTGGGACCGATTAAATCGCGATGAGGTCCGATGTCTTGGGCATTCCAGCTGAAAGAGTATTTCGAGGGCCACAAGGCGTAGCCTTCGTGGTGTTTACTAGTGAGAACCACGTATCTAGAATTTATATTATTAGCGCAATTTCAAATTTCAAAAATAATCACTTGGCTCCAGCTTTTTTGAACAGTTCCGCCCACTCATCTGGGTCGAAAAATTCCGCTGTGAAATCCTTCGCAAAATCTTGGTACGACCAACCGGGGGGATAATTTTTTTCAATGAAGTCTACATACTCTCCTGAGTCTTCACCTACCAACAAGGTGAATGAATTTGTTGCAATGTTTTAATAAAAGTCTTACTTTTCCAATCTGCCCAAAACCATTCTCCCCCAAAACTCGGAACGGAGAAGACTCCCCAGTGAAGAAAAATTCCGATTTTGACTTCGTCGAACCATGATGGGATAGGGCGGGTGTCCAAACTGTCCCATGTGGGTTGATAGCGGGCATTTCTAGGTACTTCGACAGTTTGGGGGTTGTTTGCTGCTACTATGTTACCGGTGAATATCGTGAGCAATAAACAGTACAACAAATTTTGATTCATGTTAAAACGACTGGCGATTTTAGATAGCAAATGACCTGCAACATGTTAATCACTTTTGTGAACTCAGTGGCTACGTCATGTGTTTCTTTTTTCAACATTATTTACATACAAGAGTTCATGCAGAGCTCAAATTTTCTGGTTTTATTTTGTCTTTATCGTACTAATAACTGAAGTACTTACACGATAAATTGTTAGTATTCTGTTTGCAGTCCTTGACCGTCAATAAACGTAAAGAGATAACACATCTTGAGTATTTTTGTTCTATTAATTAATGCGGTTCTTTGTTGTTGTCACATTGTTTTTCAATAGATCGTATCAATTTATCTCTTATTATTTTATGAAACCTTGTTACATTTGATTGTAACGTTTAAAAAACACAACAGTTTTCAAACAATAACATATTGATGTTTGAATTCTAATCACGTTTGATTATATCTAGTCAGAAATTTTATTCCAAATCTGGTTGACATGTAAAAGTTTGTTTTAATAAATAATTTATAACATCTTCAAACAGTTTTTCGTCTCTATAATTCTCGACAAGTAATTGTTGTAATGTATAAATAATTATACTCGTAGACGGTTTCTATGTTTTAAATTTTTCACGTTTTTTATAATTGTCAAAATATCTATCCACTTAAAGTGATACCGTTTTAGGTTATAAATTTGCAAAATTATAAATATTCTAATTTATTTTTTAAACAGCATTGCAAATATTTGAAGAACAAGTTGTTGTAAAAACTAAAACTTAATAATAATGATAAAAGATATTAAGACGAATTTATAATTTTTCATTTCTAAGAAATAAGAGTAGGAAACGTATTATACTACTCTTTTTTTTTGTTTTCCTATAATTGAACTGCTACTTGCTTAAAAATAAGTTATTCGAAATAAAAAATTAAGCAGAATCTGAAGTTGAACAGTTTGACAGAAAAATGAACCTAGTTAAAAGAATAGATATACCTAGCTATAGTGTTCTTGGGATATAAAATATAAATTTTATTTTATCAGAAATTGAAGTACCTATTATGTATTTTTATATTACTCGGCGTATACACCATAAATGTTATGCTCAACGTAGGTTGTGGTAGATTTAAACGAAAATGGATTATTATAAGATATTAAAATATTTATGCCTTAAATAACTAAAGAAACGAGAACATAACAACTCGAAAAATTTTGCAGTTAAACTAATTTATTTTAGCTATGGATATCAGCTCACTATCCTTTTAACTTTTTACACATAGGAATTCAAAAATGTCGAACCACCAATTGTACATATGGTGATGAAATCTTATTGTTTTTTTTTACTCACTGCGGAAACTTTGTGACGACAATTACTGATCCCGACCGCTGCTGACTTTATATTAAAGTAGCTTTTTTGAAAAAGAAAGAAAAAGAAAATTTTTGTTTGAGTTTTTAAGAACTTAATGGTTCGAAAATGTTTTATTATCCTACATTATTATTGGTACTTCAACTTCTATTTGGACTTTTTGTAATGATGAAATGAGAAGCTCTGAATTTATCCCCGGTTTTAATGTATTGAAAAATACCTAAAGAATATTTTTCACTTTATAGAAATTGAAGTTATCATTACTACATTAAAGTTTCTCTCATCCTGTTATTTAGATAAATCTTGAGACGCAATATTTTATGCCCGATTTTGAGTATTTTTTTTATTTGAAAAATTTATGGCTACTTATATTTATGTTAAGAAGATTTATTAAACATTTATTGTCACATCAACGCAAAAATTATTTAGAACTAGGTGTAATTTTGAGTACCCAAGCCCACTCACTGACAGTGGACGCTCTGTCAGGGAAAGTTACGGTCACTTGGTCATCTTTTACTTCAGCCTAAGAAAAACTTCGTTAAAACAAAATCATGTTTTACAATTTGTCATACTGAAAGCTTGATATCTTCATTTCCAAGAATAGTAACTTCGGTGTTAGCCTTAGCAAACAGAGGAGCTGCTGATCCCAGTTTTAGAACATTATCCTTTGGCCAGTCTAAAACTATTGCATATACCACTGGATCTTTAGCTGTATACCACACTCCAGGAGTCAAAGTATCGTTTTGAACACTCCATGCACTGCTTTCGTATATTGCGTCACCATTAACAGACAACCAAGTTCCAAGATCTAGTAAACGTTCTTGGAAAATTGGGATGATTGTTCCTTCTTTGGTCGGACCAACATTTATTAGAATATTGCCTAAACAGAGTGATGAAAACTTTATAACTCCAAAACTTAGATTTACCTCCACAACTGATTGTTTCTGCAAGAGTGGTAATAAGGTCATGTGTCGTTAGAATTTCATCGAGATCTGCATTTCTTCGATAACCCCAAGATTTTTTATCTACAGTCATGCAATTTTCCCACTTGTGAGGCAACAAATGACCTACAATATTTATTGAGTTGTGAAGTTGTGTAACTTGAGGAAACTAACCAGGGTTGTATCTGTCAGCACAAGTAAAGAAACCCCCATGTTTGCAGTCAACGTTACTCCCCCATCTATCATTTGTCACGACAAAATCTTTCACAGGACTTTCATTATAAAGCCAAGCGAGAAACTCCATTGACTTCCAATACGTATCAGTAGCTTCTCCGTCTCCATCCGACCATAAAACTTCCGGTTTATAAGTGTTAATTAGTTCTTTCATTTCTGGTATTATTTTGTAGTCGACAAATTCCGAAGTTGTGAAATTATTTGCCCGATCATTGTCATAAAGAGGATGGAACCACTCAAACAGAGAGTGGTACAACCCGAAATGGAGGTCTGTTTTATTCCTAATAGCTGTAGCAAGGTCCCCTAAAATTTTCAATAATCAATAAGAAACTATAAGTTAGGAGCAAACCTAGAAGATCTCGATGGGGCCCAACGTCATTAGCATTCCAACTGTATGAATACTTTGAAGGCCACATAGCATAGCCTTCGTGATGTTTACTAGTCAAGATAACATATCTACAAAAATAATTTTAAAATTGATTGTAATCTAGCTTTGTGGTTTTACTTCGCCCCAGATTTGGCAAACAAGTCAGCCCATTCGTCAGGATCGTAAAATTCGGCCGTAAAGCCTTTTGCAAAATCCTGATAGGTGAAATCAGGTGGATAGTTTTCTTTCATAAAATTGATATATTCAATTTTTCCCTCTAGAAATTAGTACAAATTGGTGCACTGTATAATTATGAGAGATTACTTGCCATTCCAAAATTCCCAAAACCATTCGCTTCCAAAACTTGGAACTGAGTAAACTCCCCAATGCAGAAAAATTCCTATTTTTGACTTATCGTACCAGTCGGGTAAGGGGCGACTGTCAAGGCTGTCCCAAGTTGGTTCATATTGACTGAAAACTTGATTCAGTGCACACGAAAGTAGCAAAAACAAGAGCACATTGTACGAGACCATGGCTGTGCATCCCAGTAATCAGCTTGCTTTTGTTGTGTGATTTGTGTGTAATAATAAGATTAGGGTCGTCGACAGCTATCTATACAACCACTTAACTGTTACCAAAAAATACTACTTGATACCTATTGAATATTAATCGACTGTTATCAACAATTTTTCCAAAAAAAATTGATAAGAAACTGCAAAATAATATAAACGTGGAGACGACGGAGCTAATTTGATCATACAAATCGGAACTAATTTTTCTAAAATCATAAAGAAATAGAATACAAACTGGGAATTAAATTAAAGAAGACAGAAAAAAAAACAAAATTATAACTGAATTAATTTTTAAGTTCTTGCTCTCAATGTTATTCGTTCAAAGTTCAATAATTTAGATAAGTAACTTTTAGAAATACATATTATTTTGTTTACGTGAATTGTATTTGTAGAAAAAACAGTTCTAACTCAGGGAATGTTGTGTAGTTAATATTTTACAATTTTAAAAATTATTCTTCGCTCAATATGTGATAGAAAATAGATGTATTTTATTTATTTTTATTAATCACCACTTCAATAATTTTGTCAGTCTTCTTCGTTTCAAAATATTGGTTTTTGTTCTTACAAAATGTGGAAATCAAATTTTGAAGATCTAAAAAAGCATTCGATTTTCAAATTATTTTGTTTAAATTTACTTAAATTTAATTTATTTAAATTCACGTACATTATGACTTGATATTGCCCCTAAGATGATTTTTCTTAATTACCATAGCAAAACTGTAAAAAAAATTTTTGGTAACAGATTCCCGATCGTGCAAACGGGATTTTTTCTGGCTGAACTATACTCTACCAAAGAGTTGCATTCTGCATTGTAAATTTTCATTTTCGCTATTAAAAGCCATAATACACCACCATTTTCTAATAAGTAATAACCCATTTGAAGGTGCTTAAGGTGTTTTGTATTTTTTTATTTTACGAAAGGTTATTCTTATTACAGTATTTACATTACATATTGTATTTGAAATTTGTTGTAATTATTTTTATATAGTATTTGTGGGCACCATTTTAAGGACCCAGCCCCACTCACTTGCAACTGTTGCTTTATCAGGTAAAGTCACAGTTACTTGGGTATCACTAGGATCACTCTAAAAAATTATTCATTTAATTGATGATTCAAATCCGATAACAAAAAACATCAAATTACCAACAGAGTTTCATCATTTCCTAGAAGCGTGACTGATGGTTTTGTTTGTGTAAAAAAATTAATAATATCCGGATGCTGTAAGGTTACAACATTTTTAGTAGGCCATTCCAAGACTATTGCGTATACAGTTTCATTCTTAGCTGTATACCATATAGGAGCTGGTGAGGTGTCATTTTGTGCAGTCCATGGACTACTGTCATAGATTGCGTCTCCATTAATTGATAACCATGTCCCAAGTTGCATTAATCGTTGCTGGAATATTGGAGAAATTGTGCCTTCTTTGGTCGGCCCAACATTGATAAGGATATTTCCACCGCAACTAACGGTCTCCACAAGTGTCGTTATCAGTTCAGAAGGAGTCAGAATGTCAGAAATCATGGCATTCCTTCTGTAACCCCATGAAGGTCCGTCCACAGTCATTGCATTTTCCCATTTGCGTGGTAATAAAAAACCTGGATTGTATCTATCAGAACAAGTGTAAAAACCGCCGTGAGTGCACATCGTGTTACTTCCCCATCTATCGTTAGTCACAATAACGTCTTTCACGGGACTTTCGTTATAAAGCCAGGCAAGGAAGTCTTTGGATTTCCAGTAGGTATCAGGAGCTTCCCATTCTCCGTCAGACCAGAGCACTTCCGGTTCATAAGTGGTGATCAGTTCTTTCATTTCCGGGATTATTTTCAAGTCAACAAAATCAGAAGTGTTCCAATTATTCGTTTTGTCTTGTAGATACAGGGGATGGTACCACTCGAACAAGGAGTGGTAAACCCCGAAATGAAGACCTCTGGCTTTAACTCGCTTCGCGAGATCACCTAGAAGTAAGAATCAACTTTTAATATCTTTTTTCTTCAAGAATAGAAACCTAGAAGATCACGATGGGGGCCAACATCATTGGCGTTCCAACTGAATGAATATTTTGACGGCCACAAGGTATATCCTTCGTGGTGTTTACTTGTCAAGACTATATACCTAATAAAAAAATTTTAAACTTCAGGGAATACACTTTTTAATCTTATACCTACTTGGCCCCAGATTTCAGAAAAAGGTTTACCCACATGAATGGATCGTAAAATTCGGCAGTAAATAGCGGGGCAAAGTCTTGGTAAGTCCAATCTGGTGGGTAATTTTTTTTTATAAACTCGACAGTGTCATTGTCACCCCCTGAAAGTAATTATTGTTGATTCAACATTATTATAAATGGGATTACGTACTTTCCCAGTGATTCCAGAACCATTCGCCTCCAAAACTGGGTACTGAATAGACACCCCAATGGAGAAAAATTCCAACTTTTGCTTTATCGTACCATTCTGGCAAGGGGCGGTCGTCAAGACTTTCCCACGTTGGTTCATATTTCACACTTGAAGCAATTTGTATGCCATATAAAATTAACAACACGTTGAAAAACATGATTTGAGTTTGATGAACGGGTCTGCTGTAAATTTTGTTTGTTATATTATTGTTTGACACCACTTATTAATTGTTATCAAAAATAAAATATTATTTTCTTATCTATAAGAGTATTATTTATTTCATATACACTTGTAAAAACAGACAAGAACTAATTAACCTTTGCATCAGGAAGTAGGGATGAAAATGATTTAAGTGTGTAATAGTGTGTAACAGACTTTTATTTAATAAAAAAAACTACAGTGAGCGGCAAAATTATGGAATAATCATATTAAAACTGAAAATTTTTGTTTTTGCAAAAATGTTCGAACAGGTCAATTTATTTTTAAATGCACATTTTTCAACTTGTTTTGAAATTTTACACCTTTTGGTTTTTGAGTAATGACATTATCGACATTTTTTAAAAATGGAAACCCCTAATTTTTTTCAGCTAATTCTATTAATCTATTTAAAAAAAAATCTTCCAAAAAATGAAATATCAACAAATATGAAAAAGACAAATATACAATTTTAAAGCAAGTTGAGAGTTTTGTATTAAAAAAAAATTGACCTGTTCGAGCATTTTTGGCAAAACAAAATATTTTCAGTTTCAATAAATAAGATTATTCCATAATTTTGTCGCTCACTGTATTTATTTTTCATTATTTATTTTTTCTGACCGTCAAAAAATATTTTTTATTGAATTCGAATAGATTTTGTCTCAAATAAAATAAAATTAAAATTTTCATATGGAAATATAATTCAAAATCATTTAGCACACTTACTTTTTCGAGTAAGACATTCATTCACCTATCATTTCTAATGTAAGTGAGAGGTATACCGAATTAATGATTAGAATAAGTGTACAATCACATTTTTGCACTGAAAATTTAAATGTTTTGTAATTTATGGTAAATCAAAGATTTTTTAAATAACACTGATGTTTATTTATTTGTTTATTTTTTATCTCACATAAAAATTATTTGATATCATTGAAAGGTTTCGAACCATATTTTATCATAAATGTTTACGTGTAGAACAAAAATTTTCTTTTTTTTTTTTAGTTACAGTTGGATTAAGACTTACAGTGAGAAGGCGAATACGTCAATTACCCAACCACTTTAAAAATATTATTACTCTATTTATAGTCTTGTCTAACATGGAAATAAAAAATGCGTTTCATCACTTAAGAGATTTCGCTGTTATACCAAATAGTATCTTCTGTTCTATTCTGAAGTCTCTTTAATATTTTTTTCGTGGTCTAATGAAATGATTTTTACTGACCCAAAAACAAAACAATGTAGATTTTAGATTTTTATTCAAAAAGAATGTGTTTAAACACAAGAAAACTTTCAAGAAACAATCTTTTTGTACTGTTCTTTAACATTGTGGAACATTGTCATTACATATTTGCTAAAGGTGTCATATGCATTTACAAACTTTTCTGAATTTTTAGCATAATTCACAACATTAAGTGTAAGATTCCCAGTCTTGTCATGAGCGAATCTTACATAACTCCCCACGGTTGTTGCATACACTTTCATGTTAGGAGACAAAGAATCTACAGCCTTGTAGTACAAGTCTACACAAGAATTTTCAATACTACGTGTATGTTCATATTTTACAGAAGTTAACACAAACAAAATTGATACAGTAAGAATGAGTAAAGTTAAAAGCAGTTTAATGAAAGAGGACGATTTTTCAGAATTCTTTGCAGAAGGTGGAACTATTTTATTTTTTTTGTTAGATGATTTTGGGAGATTTTCTTTAACAGGTCCGTTTTCTCTTTTCTGTTTAGTTTTTTCTTTCTTTTTATTCTTCTTGATATTATCCATTTGTTTCTGCTGATTTACTTCGAGCTGCTTCTGTCGTTGCTTCTGTCTACTTTCTAAATCATTAGCAATCTGTTCTTGCACCTGAGTGAAGAAACTCACAACATCCCTTGCACAAGTCTGACACTGTTTAGCATCCAAACAAGGTCCTGCGACTTTAGCGACAGCTGGCACCAAGGGGTTGTCTTTTAAATCCAACCACCTCAAAGCTTTTAACTTGTGAAAGCTGAGAGGTAAATATTCTAATTTATTTTGGTAGAGATCAAGATATTTAAGCTTAACTAAATCTCCAAATTCTTCCGGTAATTCCGTTAACTGGTTCTTGCTAAGATCGAGTTTTGTTAGGTGTGTTAGTGTCGTGAAATTGTCCTGAAATACAGAAACATATGCAAAATTGTGCTTCGTGTCGATAACGATTTGGTACTTACAGGCAAAGTTTTTAAATGGTTATTTGACAAATCCAAACTTGTCGCCTTCTTGAACACTGCCTGCAAAGCAAAAAGGGGTTTTTATGTTATAATTAAGTTAAAAACATTGTTACAATTTCTTTAACAGGAACATCTTGTAAATCTGACATGCTAAGGTCAATTTCTCCATCAGATACCCGCTCTTTTACATTTATTTTTTGCGGAGCCATTAGAAATCTTAATAATTTTACAAGTTTATGTTATCAATTAATAGAAAAATGTAAAACTAACCAAGAATTGAAAATCCACGTCACTTCCACTTCCACAAAAATGCAACTGTCAACGTGACAAGCGTGGCAGTGCTACCAAAATCGATAATTGCATGTAACCAGAATCAGGAAGAAAGTAGGGAAACCAGTTTTTTTTTTGTAGAAATTATTATGTAACAATTTATTTTGGGTCAAATCAAAAATTTGTGAGCAATAATTCGAGAGTGAAAATGAAAGCCAATGCATTGTAATTTATTAGCGATGTTTTGGCAATACTGAGTGTGTTGCGTAAACGTGATGCGCATTTTGTCAAAATATTGTCATTTTTACATTTGTCAAAATATTTCCCAAAGATCTGCTCTTCATTAGTGCTTTCTATATATTTTTTATTTTGGGTTGTCTACTCGGTTAAATAACGACATTACATGTTATTATGAAACTGAAGATCTATATATGAAGTGTTGTTACGTTCTTGAATAAAAAAATTCAACCCCTACATTCCATGGGATCTTACACTTCAAGGAGAATGGAAGAAAATGATTTAAACTCAAGATCTGGGTCTGAAGACGATTCCGATTACGAGACTGAACATCAGTATGCAGCCTTGTTGCAGAGTTTGATAAATAGGTGAGGAAATTCTTCCATAAAAGTGTCATTGTACTTGCTTCTAAATATAGTGTAAAAAATTAAAAATTCAAATTGAATAATTTATTTCTGCGACAGTAAACGTTTTCCTGATTTAACGAACATATAATTCGTTATTACAACAAATTACATAAACTAAAATCTTTTTTCTTTGTTAAAAATATTTCTCCCGTTGAGTGTTTTTATCAAATATTTAATAAACATGTAACTTTTCCAGTGGTCAAGTGGAAATTATGGATGCAGATTACTTAACAGATGGTCCCAAAGTGCCAAAAATTAAGTTTAAGCCAAACACTTCCATACTTGATGTGAGTACTTTTTGACACTTTTATTTTAACATTAACAATTTTTGCTAAATTTTTCATGTAATAAGCATTTTGTATGCATGTCTAATAAAGTAGGTATGTAAAAATAATGCTATATTACATTTTTGTTTATACTCTGTTAAGTTACGAGACAGCTCTGATTTCCTCATTTTGTACCTTAATTGGTATCAGACATAAATGTTAGCAGCATTACTTTACGGTTGTAAGTATTATTTAAGAAGCTTTTTGATATATTTATGAAAACGTTGTTTTGCATTCTTAATTAAATAAACAGCGAAATTATTTTGATTAATTAATTAAAAGAAATTGATTTATTTTTTTATTTAAATTTGGCTATTTAAACCTAACTATCACCAGAAACAATATTGAATTTGAATTTCAATGAAATTGTTGTTGGAATCTAGCTAAAATACTCTGTACATGTTTCATCATTAAAAGTGGATTGGCTTAAAAATTGCATTATAATGTGTAAAAGTGAATAATTATACTATTATGTTGGAGAATTGAATGAAATTCTTAGAATGAAATTTTAGTACACAGGCAAATGATTTGGAACTTGAAAATTGCTGACTAATGTAATGTTGTTTAATCATTTATTTTTTATCAATAATTGAATGATACGGAAGAAGACAAAAATAAATAGAAAAATTTGATTGTGCATATTTTGCTTTTTCAGTGTTATCTAATTCTAAAAATGTAAACTGATTTTTTTTTCAGAAAAGCGAATTTTCATTATCGACGAAAATGGCTTCGGGTTTAGGAGAACAAAGTCGAAAAATCCCGTCTTCGCAGAATATATCAAATATGGTTTTAAATAGAGAAGTAAGTTTTTAGGAAATTTTCAGTGCCTCGATTGTCATAATTTTATTTTAGAAAGGCGTGTGTCCATATAGGAGTTTTTCATATGCCGAAAAGTGTAGATTAAGCAATAGATTTTTACCAAATAGTATGTCGGTGTTATCTTTTTACAACGGAAAAGTGTTTTGTGGTATTTTTTCGAAAGATGGTAAAATGTTCATAACCGCGTCTCAAGGTATAACAACAAAATTATCTCTTTTATGAAATCAATATGAAATATTGTAGACCGACAAATTCGATTGTACAAGTCCGACGATGCGTCCTACAAATTATTCAATACTCTAAGTGCAAGAGACATAGGTTGGAGTATAATAGACGTTGCAATAAGTCCTGATCAAAATCAGTTTGTTTATTCGACTTGGTCGTCTTCGTGTAAGTTTTTCTACGAGGAAAAGCAGTGATTGAGTTTGTTTTTTTTAGTACATTTATGTTCCGTAAACGAGAGCAGCCATCAGGAGCCTCTTTGTCTCACCAACACTAGTCGTCGTTTTTGCGTTTTTTCCGTTGTATTTTCATCCGATGGTAGAGAGTTTCTGGGTGGTGCGAACGATGGTTCTTTGTACATTTACGATCTCCAAAGACGTGGCCGTACTTTAAAGGTGAATAAAGTCTATACTTGTGTAAAAATCTCCGACTTGATATTTGTATATAGATCCCAGCTCATGAATATGACGTTAATAGTGTTGCTTTCGCTGACGATTCTTCCCATATAATTTATAGCGGTGGAGATGACGGTTTGATTAAAGTATGGGACAGGAGGACGTTGGATGAGTCGTCAGTGAAACCGGTGGGAAAACTGGCTGGACACATGGATGGGATTACCTTCATCGACTCGAGAGGGGACGGAAGACATTTGATTTCCAACAGCAAAGACCAGAGCATTAAGTTGTGGGACGTTAGGATTTTTTCCGGGGAAAGGGCGGCGGAAAAGTCACTCAAGGCTGTGCACGAGCAGACGTGGGATTACAGGTGGCAGCAAGTTCCTAAAAGACGTAAGTTATTTATTTTCCATTTTTGAAAAATAAATCGAGTTAATTCTTTTGACCTCACGGTTTCTTCGTTCAAAAATTTTTTTTGGCACATTTCGCTCGGACATTTGACGGGTTATTTCGAAAATACAACCGCCACAACCAGAAACGAAATGAATAAGTTATTAACTTAAAAATCTTTGAAATATGTTGCTTTTAATAGTGAATTATTTATTAAGTGTCTTATCACTTGAGATCATTAAAAAAGTTTATCAATGATTTTGAATGAACTTTTTTTATCGTACATGTGTAAAACGAAACATGAATTGCATTTTTAACAAAAACAGATAATTATATCAAACAAAGGAAATTGTATGTTTATGTTTAGATTAGTTTTATCGCATAATCATATTTGTTTCACACTTACAAAATAATGCATTATGCCAGACTGTTGAATAAAAATATGATCTATGATTTTGAACAATTTGGTTAATTATTTTTTTCTAAAAAAATTAAAATCTCACTTCGCACTATTTACTATTCCTTTATATTTCCATCTACTGGTGAGGTAGTTAAATTTATGTAGTATAAAAGTTATATTAAAAAAAAATAGGAAATGCAAGAATCATCTATCTACAAAAAATAATGTACAGGGTGCTGCATTTTTGATGTCCGAATAGGAAATCTCCGAAACTAAGATGTTTTTCCAAAAACGAGTGATACATTCTGGGGCTTATTTTTGAGAAAATAATATTGGTTAAAACCGCATCCCGCTAACGTCTTTTGTTTTTGACTTACAGACAAAAGTTGACATTTTGGTGAAATCTAAAAAAAATCATATCTTCTTTATTATAGAAGATACGGATTTGAAATAAAGACATTATACAGGCAGTTTTTTACGAGGAATTTAATAATGTAATTAACAATTTTTTTCAGTTATTGGTTTAGCCGTAATAAGATAAACTTTTTTTTTTTAATGGAAATCATAGGCGGCTATGGCAATTTTGAAAAGCTTATTTTTTTCTGATCTAAAAATATATATTTGTAACAGAATATTTTTTTATAATTATACTTAACAAATGAAATACATATTTTGTTTGATAATAGTTGGCCATGGAAAAACTATTTCATTCCAAATGTGTAAATAATCAATAAGAGTTTTATGAACTGTAAAATAGATGAAAAAATTGATAAAATTATATAAATTAAAAAAATACGATATATTAGAAGTATTGAATAAATATGCGAGCGCCTCAGAACAAAATTATTACATATTTTAAAAAAATTCAAAAATAGGAAAAACAAATGTGTCAACAGTCAACACAATTTGAAAAAACGTTTTTTTGATGATCTAATGGGGGTAGGATAACGTTTCACATAGACGAAATTTGGGTATTTAAATAGCCATATCGTCATTTTTGTGTCATATAAAATATATTTTATTGAAGAATTAAAGCGGCTTTTCTTTACAACACTATCACTATCACTAGAAGTTACAATGGTAATGTTAGCTTGTTTAAAAACAAAGAAATGTTATTAGTCGCCAATAAGTTGATTTGCGATTTATTTTGCATTTTTTTCATTACTTAGTACTTAGAAAACTCTTTTATTAATGACACTGGTTGAATAATATAGTTTAAATCCTTTTAGTTGAAGATGCAACATTTTTTTCATGGCCAACTGCGAACAAAAATCAAAGATAATTTTTTACTGAAAATGTATTATAATAATTTGTTACAAATATATATTTTTTAGATAAGAAAAAAAACAAGCTTTTTAAAAATGACAGCCATCTATGATTCCCATATAAAAAAATACAAGTTTATTTTATTACGGCTAAACAAACAACAGAAACAACAACAGAATTCTACGTAAAAAAAGTGCCTCTATAATGTCTTTATTTCAAATCTGTGTCTTCTATAATAACGAAGATATGAATTTTTTATATTTCGCTAAAATGTCAATTTTTGTCTATAAGTCGAAAACAAAAGACGATAGCGGGATGCGGTTTTAACCAATATTATTTCCTCAAAAAATGAGCCCCAGAATGTATTACTTGTTTTTGGCTAAACCTCTTAGTTTCGAAGATTCCCTATTCGGACATCCAAAATGCAGCACCCTGTACACTTATCTATAAAAAATAATGTACACTTTACCTTCCTTGTCGGTTTTCTTGATTCTTTTGGGTGTTTTCTTTATTTCCAGTGTTTACTTCCAAAGACAAACTAGAAGGCGATACATCAATTATGACCTACCGAGGTCACGTCGTAATAAAAACCCTCGTGAGGTGCAGATTTTCACCAGTGGAGACGACGGGCCAAAGATTTATTTACACAGGATCTGGGACAGGAGATCTTATAAGTACTTTTTTCAAAAATCTGCTACCATTATTACGTTGGATTAATTTCAGTTTACGATTCTCTTACTGGCAAAATAGAAGAATTCGTCCACGGACACAAGGCCTGCGTAAGGGATGTGGCTTGGCACCCTTACAGAAACGAAATACTCACGTCTGCTGTAAGCCCGGTGGATCGTAGGAAGTCTTATTCTGTATTCTGTTGTTTCAGTGGGATGGGCGAGTCGGCCGATGGACATACGTAGATAAAGACGCTTTACATCAAAACGCTTGTGAAAAAAATCGGCGTTCCAATTATGGGTCAAAGACGCAGACTGCTCAGAACCCGCCAAGACGGAGCGAACGACTTGCTTTAAAAAAGCAGTTGATGGGTGTGGAGCTATAGTTTATGCATGCTTAATTAAAATCAAATTTTTTAAATATATTTTTATGGAGTAATCTAAGATTTGTAAGAGTACAACTAAAAATACAATAAAAACAAGTAAAACTTTGTCAAAAACCTATTTATGGAAAGCGGATTACAACTTTGATTCAGAATTGAACTCATAATTTCACGTCAAAAAATCAATTAATTTGTAAACCTAACCTAAAACTATGAATTTAAAAAAAATCACAGTTTATAATGGTAACATGTAAAATGTTGGTTTATAAAACAGATTCTTCCTCCAATTATTAAGACCAGGTTAAAACGAATTTTCGAGGTATCTGTAAGGCCGTAAATCACACGGCTTAGAGAGTAGGAAGAGTTTCTTTTAACAAATGTGTTTAATATAGTAATAGGTAGAAAAACAGTAAAATTATCAAGCAGTTTAGCAAAAAAAAATGCCTAACGATTGGCCGAATGCTTTTCTCATTCTCGATATTTTTGAAACTTTTATGCTTTTATGCTATTTTTTTACAAACATGTGTTTATTCAGGCAGGCGTAATTTGAAAAGTAATAGATTTTGTAATAAATTTTGTTTTGGCCCTTTGGTAGACATAAAAGAAAATCCCTTTAACCTTGCCTTAAAAAAATAACTTAAAAAATCATATCACAATATAATGGTAAAATATTGCATTATAAAACAGGTTCTTTCTCCAAATATTAAAAGAACAGTTTACTTCAACTGTAAATGCGTCACTAAATTACGGGTCAACACTTCGAAGAAGTCTAGAAATATCTGATTATCACAAGCTTCATCTATGAGGAGAAAACTGCATTTATCATTGGTTTTATAGATATTATCCCTGACATCAAACGGTGAACACAAATTTTCAACCAAACATCTAAAACGTTTTTGGAATTGCGCCCAATTTGATGGGAGACTATAATGAATCACCCAATTGGCGTTTAATACACGTGCTGTTTTCTCAAATAGGGCATCGGTACACAAGAAAACTACAAAACATTTAGTTTAGATTTTATAAAAAATGTTGGAGAATTTTACCTTTATATTGTCCTTTAAGCAAAGACCGCCACATGTCTTCATTTTCAAAAATTTCGTCTTCAATTAGATCATTAGAAATCATGATACACTCCACGCCGTTAATTTCAAGGTGCTCTTTGATATTTGAAATTTCCTCCTCTTCACAAAAAACAACAGCTTTCTGGGTCATGTAGTGCAATTTGAGCACATCTAAAAATAGTATTTTAAAAAGAGTCTTATTTTTTACAGTAGCCTCACCATCTAAATAAAAGAGTTTATGCAAAGACTTTAATTTCTTCTTTTTGAATTCCACTTTAGAATAAACAGCCGCCTCGAGAAAATCTTCAAAGCAGACAATTGGTGTTATATATAACTTCTTTAACAGCAATTCAAGATCAGCTGACCACTTCTCTGAACTTACAACAATTTGAACATTTTTCCTATGTGGCCTGTTTGTTTGTGCAATATTTATAATTTTAAGTAACTTTTCCATACTCTGGTTGTGGTTTTTTAGAAGAAAATATCCATCCTCTATTGCAAGATGACACAGTCGCTTTAAACTCACTTTTCCTGCTTTGAGGCACTCTTCCAAAATTGACGGTACTGTTACTAATATATCACAATTGCTCTAAAACCAAATAAGAATAATGTAAATTTTGTAGAGATGCCCAAACTTGAGAGGGGAGACGAAGCAGTGGCGTAACATAGTAACTTTGCTAATTGGAATAGGATTCCCGACTCCGGAATACAATTTCAGAGAAGTCAAACCGGTAAAATTTAATCGTACCAGAAACTGGGCCTTTCAAACTATCAAAAAATTGCAAATGAAATATAATTTTTTTAATGAGCTTTAAAATTCAACTTGCACGCCACTGATTTATGTCAACATTAAAATCCTTTCAATATATGTACACATAAACACACGCCTAGGTGGGTACTTATAGCTTTTACCCCAGTCTACACTAATTTACCTGAACCGGAGAATTTTCTGTTAAAACTTCAACTACAGGAGCATCCCAGCAGTCAAGGATGAGTGCCGAAATCAAATTATGCAAATCCAAACAATTTTTACTGTTTGGGCATAAGATGATAATCAGGGGTCCTTCATATTTGGCCAGTTCTGCATATCTGTCATTTTTTTCCATTGCAAATGTGCAGAATACTGGCAAATATGCTAAAGTTTTCCCTGACTTGGGAGCAGCAATCATAAAAGTGCTTAGGCCTCTTTGGATGGCTGGCCACATGTAAGACTGGATGTCTTTAGATGACGTGCAATTTATTCTTACTAGTGCTTTCTGAATGTTGTCGTCAATGTTTGTTTCATCCAAAGAAAACAGTGGTTTTGGGATGACCACCCTAAAATACAGAGTGAGTAAAAACCTTTTTAAATTTGTTAGCTTACCCATGAAGTATAATTTTATTGAAAGTTTTGAGAACTGCAATTTCTTTTTCAGTTGGCTGACTCTTCAGTAAAGGTAACCCTTTTGTCACATTTGTATTGTCTGCTTCGTCAAATGAAACATTGTTTTGTAACCAAAATGAACAAGTAACAAACTTATCACAGTCATTGCACTCGCACTTTTGTTTTTTAAGAGCAGGACTTGTTTTTTCAATTTCCTTTAGTTTTTCTACTTTATTTTTCTTAAATTTATCAAAAATGGTACTTGGACTATTTTCAATTTTATTTTGTTTTGTTTTTTTACTTTTCCTAAGCCTTTCACATATTATATCCTTAAAAGAAACAGGCGTTGCATTTGTTTCCTCCACATGTGGTTCACTTGGTAGCTTCCCAAATAGAACATTTTCATTCACTGTAATGTTGAAATTGTCAATAGTAAGGCCACTATTCTTATGAATAACTTTGCGCAGAGACTGTTTCTGTTGCTCGTTTCGTGCTTCGGGATTATCAGTCAATTTTGTTTTAATTTTCTGTAATTCTTTATTTGGGGGACACACAACATTTTCATTTACTGTAATGTTTAAATTGTCAATAGCAAGGCCACTATTTTTATGAATAACTTTTCGCAGAGACAATTTCTGTTGCTCTTTGCTTTTGTTTCTAACTTCAAGATTATCCCTCAACTTGGTTTTAATTTCCTGTAATTCCTTGCTTGAAGAGTTCTCCTGTTTTGTGTTGCAAGCTTCTTCTGGGAAGCAAATATCGCTTTCACGTATTTGATCAAAGCGTATACCTTTTTTACTTTTTGGTTCTATTTCTCTAATACTGTTAGCAACATTGACGCCAGCGGGTATGTACTTCGTTATTATATTTTGCTTCTCCATAGTGTACCTAACCAAAAACAAATTGTTAATCATCCTTGAGGTGAAGAGGTGCCGTAAAAAATGCTATTATTCAACCAAACTTACATTTACTTACTTTACTTTACTTACATTTAACAAAAATAGTGCCCTTCACACATCGCACCCACAATTATTGGTGAATACACATTAAAATTTTCATTTATACACAGAAAAATAGAGTCACAATAGAGTGAAAACCGAAAATACGGAAAGTGGTATTTTCTAACACAAACATTGACATAACCTCAACCTCTTTGCAGCGGTCGTGTCCGAAGCTCCGAAGTTGCAAATAACCGAATTCAAAAACTGTATAAATCTAGTCCTTTAGAAACACTGCAAAAATCGATTTTTTTAAGTTAACATGACTGCAGACTGCAGGAAACCCAGTCTTACATGTTTTTACAAAACGTTATTTTTTAGTATTTTTCCTAATATCGAAGCAAAAAATAGTTATTATTAGGTACTTTTGGTTCCACGGGAAAGCAAGTAGACAAAACACTGAACCCGGAAAATGAAAACAGACAATTTTTCATTCCCAGAACAATTTCTATAATATCAGAATAAATTATATGTGAAACTCGTTTTCAGCACTCTCGGGAAGAAAAATAGTTATGTTTATGTTTATCACAAGACAAAGAACTAAGTATTATTTTTCAAGTGCAAGTACAAGTAGTCGGACCTGTGATACAATTTTTTTTTCATGAATAACTATTGTTTTTTATTAGAATTTAGTTACGTATTAAAGTTTGTAAATCTTTATAACAAATCTTTTAAAAAATCTTAAGATATATAATGTATTCTTAATGAAAATACAAATAAACTGTTTTCAAATCCTGCCATTTTATGTTTCTCTTTTTTTAATTAATTTATTTAGTCTCAATATATCTTAATCTTAACCAAGTACCGTGCTTTGTAGAAATTTAATTAAAGTCGTAGTAATAGTTACACAAGATAGGTAGTAGTTTTTAAATTTTATCTGCAAAGATTGTTTTAATGTAATTGTAGAGAAAACATGTTTAAATTTAATTTAAGGCAAGTTTTAGATAAAGATATTTTAGTGATACTCTGATCGATATATATTATTGTTTAGAATAATGACACTGATCAAGTGATCAGCATCCCACAAAGCAGTCCACAATTTTTTCTTTAAAAATAAAATATTTATTAAAAAACTTTCACTGTTTCCTGATAACTACAATATAATTATTGTTTAATTTGTAACTCCACTTTGTAACAGTTTGATCAGTTCACTAAACAGCGTAGGTAGTTAATTTATGAAATTAATCAAAATAAAAAAATCTGTGATACTGTTATTTCCTATTATGTATCCTATTTTATTTATAATAATTTACTTTGTGGAAAAAGTATTGGTTTAGTTGTTTTCTCTGTTAGCTATTATATACAATATAAATTGGAGATAAGATTGCGATAACACAAGTTTTGATGAAACCCAAAAGATTTTTAGTAAAAATATCTCATTAATGTGTATGCGCCTTGTTATGAAGCTGAATAATTTACGGAAATCGTAAAGTAGTGGGGGAATTATCAAAGAATTATTTAAGAGCGCGACGATAAGTTGGGGGCGTCTAAACTGTAGTGGTGCTTTACCCAAAACGTTTATAGATTCATACCTGAAATTTCTGAAACCTGAAACTGAAATGCCTGTTATTGAAAGCATCGGTCGTAGGCAATGCATTCCGATTATCTATCCTAGAGGAACTCACTATGAAGTTGGATTCGATGTTGTAAGTTGTTGATTCTTATGTGATTTTTGTTTTTTATTTATTTTATTTATTTATTATTTTATCAGTATCGCTTATGACCTATTTTTTAGCTATTGTAAATAGGGGTCATATTTATGTATTGATATAATGTTCTATATTGTAAAAGTTTGTTTTAACATTTAGACATTTTTATCTTTATTGTTCTCACAATAACGTCAATGTTTCAACAATTATGAAGATCAATATAACAGCGGTATTCCTGAACTTAATAATTTATTGAGTATACTTACTTTAGCTTCTGATTTAGTTCGATCACTAAAGAAATATTCTAATTTTATATTCAATACTTTCAAACAGTGTGCCTTTTATACTTAAATTTAAGATTATTTTACGTAAATATTAGAACAATTAACAGCTGTTTTTAGTAATGATCACACAGACGAGTGTTAGACACATTTTATCCAAGCTAATGACAAAAGAATTAAAAATAATGCTTTTTTTTCAGAGACTTAAGTTTCAATGTTACATTTCTTATCTCAATGTGCACACTCATATTAGCACAGTTGTCATAATATATTTCAGATTTTTTGTTGATGTGGTTAAATATTTGGTGCAGAGAATGTAATCTAAATTTATATTTATTATATTAGTCTTAATAAAATATAACAATTCTTTTTGGTAATCACATTAAACATGTCCTTCGCTAAAAAAATAATTATTTGCATTAATTTGCAAGAATTTTTCAAGTATGTCACAATTAACATGTTAGTGTCTCACGCATTTTGTAAACATGATAATAACCTGCCATGTTTATTGTAAGTATAAAAAGACATTTTAAATTCGGAATGAAAGATGCATCTAAATAGATTATAATTACTTTTAAGTAAGAATTAATTATCGCAAACTTGACTATAAATTGCTTTTTCCGTACAGTAACCTTCATTTATCGGTGGAATTGTAGCAAAACTGCGAGAGACACATTAATAGTAATTGCGATATAAACTGTACTCCAATTCTAAATATCTTTACTTTATAGGTAATTTTATTTGTTTTTAAATTTAAATTGAATGTACATTTTGTAACAGAAATTTGTCAAATGTTTTTGTCAATGAAATAATATGTATACATTTCATGAGTAGAGCGGGTTGTCATTGTATACATTCTAAACATTATGTTAGTGAAAAAAAAGAAATGTACTTTTGGTAGGTATAATAACAATATCGGAATTTGATATTTTTATTATTTTTAATGTTTTATTTTCAGTAATAATTTTTTCGCAAAAATAGCTTCGATTTTATACTAAAAAATTATGTATGTACAGGGTGCTGTATTTTGGATGTCTGAATAGAGAATCTCCAAAAGTAAAAGGTTTATCCAAAAACGAGTGATACATTTTGAGGCTTATTTTTTGAGAAAATAATATTGGTTAAAACCACATCTCGCTACCGTCTTTTGATAAGTTGACATTTTAGCGAAATCTAAAAAAATTCATATCTTCGTTATTATTGAAGATGCAGATTTGAAATTTAGACATTATACATGCACTTTTTTACGTAAAATTTAATAATGTAATTAACATTTTTTCAGTTATTTCTTTACAAGTAATAAAATAAACTTTTTAGTTTCGGAGATTTCCTGTTCGGACATCCAAAATGCAGCACCCTGTATCTACATGTGCAGAGACACAGAGTTTCCATATTAGTGTGGGATCTCAACTAATGTGTTTTTTTAAATTTTTGTCCCTTTGAAATGAAATTTTGTTTACAGGGTCGTAATTTTGCTTCCATTATCCAAAGCTTTTTAGAACAAAGTACAAGTCTTCATGAAGATTTCCTTCCCGCTTACGAGACCCCTGAGGGGCGTAAGGCTTACGAGGACACCCTCAACTGTGTAAAAGCAAATTTTCCTCAATACATCGATGAACTACAAGGAACAGCCGATGGAGCAAAAGTGCCTTTCCACGAAGTAAATTTCAAAAAAATTTAAAATTCAGAATTCAACCACTTTTCTTGTAGTTATTTCTTCTCCATATGGACAATATTATTTTAAATGCTCGACAAGAAGATGGAATAAAACAACCTTATGGGTGTTCAACAATTTGTGTTAATCATGCAGGACAGGTAATAAACATCTTAGCTTAGAAATAATTAATCCGACACATGAGTAAAGGAATTTATGCTAGGATTACGTAAATTTGATTAAGAAAATGCATTTTTATGTTATCCTGAGAGTAATTGGATTGTTTCCGATCGACATAGCATTAATAGGTCACATAGAATGGAATTAATTACTACACAATGAAATCAGAAATCCACTGTGTGTTGCGAAAAAAATTTCTTCTTAAGCATTACATATTTTACGAATTTCATAAAATAAATATATTTCTTACTACATAATACCATGCGATCAAAAAAAAAAAAAATAGAGTAGGTCTTGATTAAATTCTACAGTTGGCAATACATTGACTGGGAAAATTTTCCACACAAACTGAAAGTGAAAATGACCATTTCGTCTTATACAGCATTTTTGTAATAACTTGCAACAATAAAAATTTTCTGCTTTAAAGTAAACATTATTTCACTCAAAATGAATAACTTGTCAAAGTTTCCGCTGACATTTAATGTAATAAATCAGGATTGCCATCTGAAGGACTTTAATCACCGCCTACTCTAATTTATTTATTTTTTGATCGTACGGTATTTCATATTTAAGTTGTACCTTCCGAGTTTAAAATTTTTATTAAAAGTGACAATAAGACTGAAATATATGTTGTATTATATCTATATGTATAGAGGTAAAAAACTTCTCAACCAGAAAACGATATATTATTATTAATGACTAATGAGACAATCAGAAAAAAACAACAAAATTTTTAATTCCTATTCCTGATGACGCAGTATTCATTCCTTCCAAATTATTTCAAATTTATTTAGTGTAGTAGTTTTTTCCACCACACACTGTATATACCATGCCGGACAAAAAATGGGAAATTTTAACACTTTCTGAAAATTCACTGTAAAGCAGGTTTAATGTCAAATTTGACTTTTCAAAACCCACAAAACGTCAAAATGTTAGGAACATCACTGACTATTAATAAGAGCCGTTTCACGTTTAATGACCTTGCTGTCCCATTTTTTTTTGTCCAGGATACCTAGTACATACCTTTATTATTAATAATTTATATTTTTAATCTTACATTCACAAGTTTTTTTTTCTAATTTTAAATCGCTAACACAATAATGCATGGGTGGAACTGTATCACCACCTCGTATTGTTAAATAAATGCACTCTATGAAAGCAAAAAACTTCTCTTGCTTCATTGAAGAAATTAAATCGATTGCTTATTCATGAATGAACATGTCCAATCTGTAAACTGTATCCGTTACATAAATTTATCCTCCTGTTGAAGGAAATCCTTGGCCATACCGAAGACGCTTTGAAGGAGACTTTGAATCACTTTTACTTCGTTTCGGCCCATATCATATCGGATAAACCGCAAGGACGTTGGAATGTTACAGAGGAAAAATTTACTTCTTTGTGTTACGCTGGCCACTTGCCGGGCTATACAATGAGCTACAACCATCATGGTCTAGTCTTTTCCATCAACACTCTGTGCGCAAAAAATCTAAGACCGGGGAAAACACGTAATGACGCTCTTGCTCTTCGCTGAATTTACAAATAACAGATAAATCGTAGCGAGACACTTTCTCACGAGAGCTTTGCTGGCAGCTGAGAATTTTGTTCAAGCCCAACAGATCTTGAGAGATTCCGGAAACGGAGCCGGAGATGGGTGTTCCGTTAATATGACTTTCTTGCAACAGGAGGGAGACCGACTTTTCCATAACGTGGAAATGGGGCCCACGGAGAATGACAATGAGTCACAATTGAATATTCTTACGGCAAGTCCGGGAGAGTATTTGTTGCATTGCAATTCGTAATATTTTTTAATTTCGAATGACATTTTTTATTATGAAACATTTTTTTAGATATTTGCGTCTACCTCTAAAAGAAGTGAATATTGAGATGTTAAGAAGCAGTGAAGAAAGAATGGCAGCTTTTAAAAAATATAGTAAGCCAAAATGCGAAGGTGATGTTATTGAAATGTTGGGAGATGATTCGAACAAAGACTATCCTGTGTTCAGAGACACGGACTACGTGAGAACCATTGCAGTTGGTAATGATTTTTATTACTCTTAAAAATTAATTTCCTATATATTTTAAATTTATTTAGGTATATTTGACTGCATTAAACGAACTTGGAGCTTATATTCCGACAATCCTAGACATAACGAACCGTTGGTAGTCCTCCCTATAGTATTAAAAAGTGATACAAAGTAGGTCGGATATGATAATGTTATCACATCTTAAAAGCTTTAAAATAAATATAAATGTAAAGATTTGCAATATATCTAATAAAAACAAAAACATCTTGAACAGGAAGGCGAAGTGTTTTATTTTAAAATATGCGACCGCACAAATATAAAATTTCTTAAATATTCAAGTATTAAAACCAATTTTTCGTTTTACAAAAAAAGTAAATATACCAATTTAGTGTTATATAACAAGCCACAAGCAATATAAAATTGTCCTCAAGGTGATTTGTTGAAAGGTATTAAAAAAATTAAAACCATAATTTTTTTTTTGATTAAGCTACAGTCTCAAGTTTCAGTCAAAAGTTGTGTTCTAACTTTCAGCCGGGTAGGTATGTACATTGCGTGCAATAAATTTTCCCAAAATGTTTTTGGAATTCACTATAAATTTGACCACACTTTAAAAAGAAATTCTGACGTCAAACAGCAGTATTTCCACGAATACATATTTTTTAACTCCCAAAAATATTGATATGTTTAAAACCCAACTTTACATGTATTTAATGTAGTTCAGGGTTCAGGAATTCTTCAGACGCTAAAAAAGAGAGAAGAAAAATAAGGAAGAAATAAAAAAAGGAAAAAACTCGTTTTTATAATATTTTATTACTTTTTAATTACGAGTAAATTATAATACAAATAACAATTAATCAGGCAATGTTTAGAAAAAGCATATCATATAAATACAAATAATCCTATTTATAAAATAAAACATGTTATCAATTTGCATCGTCTCGTAATTTCTTGAACATAAATTAATAATGTTTGAGATAAACCATAAGAATTATCGTCCGCATGCACCTCCAGGACATCCTCCCATTGATACACTTGGTGGGTTGATATCTTTCATGGTCATTATTCGTTTTGAAGGACCTCCCCCACCAGGTCTGTAAAAACCAGTCATAACTAACACATTTCCAAAAACAACTATGTAAATACCTAAATGGACCTCCACCGCCGCCTCCTCCTCCTCCTCCTCCACCACCGCCGCCACTTCCTCTAAACAGTGAACCACTTGATTTTGAGGTACCAATGCTTGTTGAGGGTCTATCTAAACCAACTAAACTCTTGAAGCTATAAAAAATTAAGAATTAAGTTAAATTCGACCCCAGATTTACAAAATGACTTACAAGAAGATTACAAAATATATTGCTCCATAAAACAGTTTTGTTATACGGTTCAAACTCCAAGGAGGGCTTTGGTGAATAGTTCCGTCTAGAAAATTTTACATTTCGGAATAATTTTAGTGTCAGATTAAGGAATTTAAAATTACTTACCTCCTGCAACGTAAACCATTATGCTTCAATACCTATGGACCTTTATAGATTTTTGTTTATATAAATTCTAGAATGTTTTACACTGCAATTTGACGTTATCAACTTGTCAAAATCAGGTGGTCATACGTAGTACACCACGTCATTGAATAATTTTCATAAACATAGCTAAAAACTTAGATTGACCAAACAATAAAAAAAAGCTTATAACATAATGTTACAATAATAATACATCACTGAATAAGGAAAAAACTATAACGTTTTGATTAAATAATGTATCCTCTTAATACCTGACAATACATTATTTTAATAATAATTCATAATCTATTTCATTTAGCTCTGTGGAGAAATTTTAATTGACACTTTACACACTTGACAGTTGACAGCATTTGTCAACTCTAACCTTAAAACGTATTTTTTAAATTGAAAATGCTTACATTTACTCAAATTACAGCGGTGTGAGAGATTGGATGTAGATATTAAACATTCAGATACAAAACATGGTAGTTAAAAAACCTTGGAGAAAGATTTTGTACGAGAATCAACCCTATCCCGACAACTACACCGATGACAGTTTTTTACGGGACCTCAGGACCAATATTAAGCCCGTCTCAATGAGCGAAGCTTTATGGGGAGCCACCTTATTACTTGAAGAATTTTGTACAGTTGTTGCATTTGTTCTAGTTTATGTATATTTATACAACGAATGGACTCAACCTGAATCAATTTTCACAGTTTCATCAATTTTTACAGCACTTGGATTTATTTTGTATCGATTTGTTTACACGAAAGATGCACAAGTTAATTTAGGACATGATCTCAGAACGTTGTTAATTTTTATGGTTTTTGGTCATTTATTTTCACCAGTATTGCATACATTAACAGACACAGTAAGCACTGATACAATCTATACCATGACGTTTTTTATGATGGTCATTCATTTGATTTTTTTTGATTATGGGGTTAGTGCTGCTATTGTTTCTAATAGTTTGTCACTAAGTGCTGCAATTTTTGCATCAATTTGTTTAGCTTCAAGACTTTCTTCAGCATATCATTCTTTTATTTTGATTACAGTTGCGGTTGAACTGTTTGTCCTGTTCCCTTTCTTTAGGAACAAAATTAAAAAGTCTTTATACGTAATAGGACCGTTATTTCTCTGTGATGTTTACTTTTTGATGAGTAGTTCAGTTTTGTTTATGATTGTTTTTATTCTAACAGGAGTTTTTATCAATATCGGTTGTCCTGTTTTATTTGTAAGATATCAGAAGTACAAGTCCAATATTTATGGCCCTTGGGATGAAGCCATTGTTGATGATGCTGATGTTATTAACAGTGAACATAATAAATGATTTTATGATTATAGCTTTTTTTATGGAATGAGGTACCATTTAAACACAATTTTGCGTTATGTTTTTAATGTCAAAAACTTAAAAATACAATTACTTAGCGTGAGCTTGTGCTTTACGCATTTGTGTAAGAATGTTGGACAATTCTTCACGCTTCCTTTTGGCACGGATGTGAGTGCCAAGACGACGTTTCAAAAACTTGAGGGCTCGCTTGTCTTTCGACACTTTCAACAATTCCATAGCACGTTTCTCATAGGGAGCGTGTCCAACGACCTCACGAATGAGATCGCGAACAAATTTTGAATGTTTAGTTTGGTGCCCCTTCAACCGTGCAGGACGAACCTTATCAGCTTTAGTCTTCCCAGAAGGAATTTTTGTTGTCTTGTGTCCCCTTTGTAGACCGATAGCGAGTTCGTACCTTGGTGCCATGCTGCAAATATTAACAAAATTAGCCGAACTTATTACCAGTCAATAACTAAAGAAGGTTATTTTAAAGCAGATTTTTCTGTTTAAAGATTGAATACTTACATGGTTTATTGGAAATAATTCACCAACAAACGCGTGTTCACCAAATTGACATTTGAGAAGAGAAAGAAAGATGGCGGTGACGGATTTCCCGTTATCGATTGAAACAGTCAGTCACACCAACTGGTTACAGTTATTGGATTAAAATTTATAAGTTATTACAAAAATTATTTTAAAACTGTGTATGTTTTAATATTTCACATTGCATTAGAATTAGAAATTGCAACAGGTTAAATTCTAGTGGTAAAAAATAAATAATCATTTGTCCAAGTACCAATCAATAAAACAAAATGCACTAGATAAGCATTATTCCCCTAAATCATAATTATCTGTCACTATGTAGTATTTTTAAAAAGAAGCGGTCCATTCTTATTTATTTTATTAGTTTAAGTGCGAGTGATATGTTTTAAGTGTTACTTTTACATTATCACTCAGAGTAAGTGGTCCAATTGAAAAATCTATTACTTTTTGATATTTCATGACTTTACTTTAAATTTTTCAGATTTACAAATCATGAAACTCTTCACTCTCTTGTTAACTTTACTTTACATTTCCTCTGAGGTATATTCTTGGAGAATCTTTCGCAATGGCCGCATGGTTGGTGGCAACATCGGTGAACCAAAATCAGACAATTGTAAAGAAAGTAATGTGAAAGAGGTACAAGAGGAATGGTTTACCCAAAACTTGGATCATTTTAACCCCACAGATGAGACAACGTGGAAACAAGTAATTGATGAACTTATCAAGTCACAATTTTTCAAACTCATTTTGTAGAGATATTATAGCAATGATCAATTTTTTGATTCGAAAAATGGGGGCCCTGTTTTTTTAATGATAGGTGGTGAAGGAGAGGCTTCGATTAAATGGATGACTCAAGGAGCTTGGGTCAATTATGCTGAGAAATATGGGGCTCTTATGTTCCAGCTGGAGCATAGATATTATGGGAAGAGTCACCCCACCGAGTAAGTTATTCTCTATTCAGTTGAACAAGAATGTATTGTTTGCTATTGAAAAATTTATTTTAAAACGATGCTAATAACTTCTGATACTGAATTGAACTTTAATCTTTTGACATGGGGCCAGCATATCTAATACCTAAACTTATCTATGCTTATTTTCTCAAAATTTATTGTTGTTTTAGAGTGTTTTTCAGTGATTTTTATAAATTCAATATTTTTTATGAGAGATTTATAATGACTCTAAATGTGTGTGTTTGGAATATATTATTATAAAAAGTATTGCACTGAAATTAGTAGTCATTCATCACAATCAAAAATTATTTATCTTGTTTTTTGATATATTGTTATTGTATTGATTATTTCCGGTGAGTCTTGTCGAAATTGTTTTTCTGTCCTTGGATTTAGAGGACTTTATCTCCTATCTATTGATGGTGCTTAACAAAAAATTAAACCTTTGTAATATGAAATTAAATTTTGTCTTTTAAAATCTTATGATCAAACAAATTTTTTTGTATATTTTTTAAATCATTCACAAGTATTAGTTAGCACTGAAATTCTTAATTAAAAAATATCGTATTCGATCATTTTGAAAATTGAAAAAAATGTGGAGGTGGAGCAGAAATTAAAGAAATAAAATAAATTTTAGCGACTTGAGTACCAAAAACCTGAAGTACCTAACCAGTCAGCAAGCTTTAGCTGACTTGGCAACTTTTATAACTGCAATGAATGAAAAGTACAATTTACCGTCTGATGTAAAATGGATTGCTTTCGGTGGTTCATATCCAGGCTCATTAGCAGCTTGGTTACGATTCAAATACCCTCATTTAGTCCACGGTTCTATGTCCGCTAGTGGCCCTCTATTAGCACAAGTAGACTTTAAAGGTATTTCTGAAAATTTGCAATTTGCAATTCAGATGACACAAAACTGCTTCTTGTAGACTATTTCAGAGTCATTAAGGAATCTTTAGCGACTCACAGCGATGATTGTGTAACTGCTGTACAACAAGGTATCGATCAAATCGGTGTCTTGCTCAAACAAGCCATCGGTCAAGCTAATTTGAACGAACTTTTCAAACTGTGTGACCCCATTCAAAATTCTGTAAACAACGAGAAAGACATATCTAATTTATACGAAACAATCGCTGATGATTTCGCCGGGGTTGTTCAATATAATAAAGATAATCGGGTAGGCAGCCCTGCAGGAGCTAATATTACAATAGACGTAGTTTGCGACATAATGGTGAATCAGACAATAGGACCGCCAGTTAATCGGCTTGCGAAAGTCAACGAGGTGCTATTGAACGCCTACGACCAGAAATGCTTGGATTATAATTACGACAAAATGATAAATAATTTGAGGAATGTAAGTTGGGACAGCGAAGCGTCCGAGGGGGGGCGCCAGTGGACCTACCAAACGTGCACCGAGTTTGGCTTTTACCAAACTTCCGATTACGAGCCACAAATTTTCAGTGATCAATTTTCCGTCGATTTCTTTATCCAGCAATGCACCGATATTTTCGGATCGATTTACGACGAAGATTTTCTTAACGATGTCATCGATCGCACCAATACGTACTATGGGGGTCTTGATATTGAAGTGAGTAATGTGGTCTTTGTGCATGGGTCGATCGACCCGTGGCACGCTTTAGGTATCACCAAAACTATCGACGAAAATGCGCCGGCTATTTATATCGAGGGTAAATTGAAATTAAATAAAATTAAAAAGAGATTATTTGATTGGTTTTCAGGTACTGCACATTGTGCTAATATGTACCCACCGGCTGATACGGATTTGCCCCAGTTGAAAGAAGCTCGTGAACAGATTTTGAGTTTGATCGGTACTTGGTTGGGGCAGTGAAGGGCTTATTGTGATATTTTAATTTAAAAATACGAGTTTGCGTAATTAGTGCCATGTATTGTATAAAAACTGATAAAAAATTACTAAATATATTGTGTGTTTGATTCTTCTATTTTAGTTAAATAAATTTGCTTATTTTGGATCAAGTGTTTTTAAAAAAAATGTGTATTTTACGTCGTAATGTTTATTGATGGTCTATTCTTTTTTACATTGCAAATTAATCTTAGAAAAGTATTTTTATATGTATATGACACCCAAAAACTGAGATTATTCGTTTTCGATAAAAAAAATGAAAACAGTTTTAATTGTAATGTAAAATCAAAATACTGGATGATTTTTTTCTCATATGTTACATGTGGTATAGTTTTGGAAACAGTAAACAGGTTTTGATTTGAATTTACTTGTTATAATGCGGTTCGTTATTTGTAAAAAAAGACGCTCTACTAGTCATAAATATATATTTTAATTTGTATATTATATGATACATTTATCTTACATACGAATTAATCACTAATTATAGGTACTTATTGCTAGCTTTTTGGGTAATGATGCATAAAAACACATGCTGCCATCAAGTACTAGGTATGCTTTTTGCGTAGAATTTTTCAGTTGCCTAATCCAATGGCACTAATAAGTGGTTACCTTCCCTAATAAATTATCTCAAACTAAGTTTAAAATCAGAAATCAGGGAGAACTACATTTTATACACAAATATACGAATCAGTCATCCATTGTTCTTCACTTTTGTACTGTGAATCACATTAGCCTTACTTTAAATAAAACTTTAAGCTAAAATAATTGACTCGTAAAGTAAGGCCAAGGAATTCAACCATCATCCTTCTGCGCTCCTTGCTGCTATATTTATTTACACTAATTATGAATATTGAAACGCCGCTTGAGAAAACCCTCAAATAGCCACTAACGAGTCTCTTCACTCCAAATCCAGCAACATATTTGGTTTAATGGTATCAGAGTTAAAACCATCAGCTTCACATACCAGTTAGCAATAAATAAATAATTTAAAATTTCCTAGTCGTCCAATTGTACTGTTATAATCATACAAGGTTGTCAATATCTCTTTTGGTCCCGGTTCAGGGGCGGTTTAGGGTCACGCCAGTCCCTCCCGTCCTTGTGTTGCTTTCCGTCGTGGTGGTGGTGGTGATGGTGGTGTCGTTTCTTCTCGGCGGCTTTATTACCGTTAAAGGCTTCAGTTACTACCAACTCGGAGCCGTCTCGATGCCGTTCACTGTTTCGATAGGGCTCGTCTAGGGTTTCCTTGCGTCTAAGGGGCGAGTGGTTTGAATTGTTTGCTTTTAGACCAGCTTTGCTACCGGCTGATTCATGGAGGTTTTCCCAAGCTTGGCGGTAGTAGCGATTCAAGCCGTTTCGCGATTCAGAACTGGATGAGTCGAACGAGGCTACGGTGTTGCAGTCTGGAGAGGCACGATGACGGTAATGTTTGGCACTTCGATTTCTAAAAGCAAACACATTTGAGCACCACTATTGTGATTACACAAGCCGACAAAAAAAGTCCTGTCGTGACAACTTGACAAATTTTATATTTCTTTTTTTTTCGTCTCAGTAAGACAAATCAAATGCACTAAAAAAAAATTCAAAAAGTCCACACACTTTCAACTAAATAATTTTTTTCTAACTTAAATGAATTTAAAATACTTTAACTTTAAAAAGTAATTACTCAAAAACTATTAGGCCGATTTCCTTCAAATAAAGACCATTCTAAAGGGATGGAAATTAAATATTGGCAAACTTTTCTTCGAACAGTGTTCGAAGAAGTTCGAAGTAGATCGAAGTAATCTAAGAAAAACTCTACGAGTAATTTTTTTTTCTTCGTCACCATCGTGTAGAGTATTTTTTTATTAGTAAGAATCCAAATTTTAAAAATAATATACCGAGTAGTTTTCAAGATATGATTTGCTATTCAGGTATTGCGCCATATCGGAGAAATGCATGTTAATCTTACTTAAAATTGCATTTTTATAAAAGTATTTGTTTTAAGACTCTTCTTTTGCTTAATAATGGTCAATTGCACCTTCTTTGTTCTAATTAGAATAAACAAAAACTGTTTGTTTACTTGAAACGTACTAATTAAAGCAAATAAAGAGTTTTTTTGTTCTAAAAATGATCACTGATCATTGAGCAAAAAGGATCTACAAGTTTAAGGCACGATCCTTAAATATAAGGGCAAATCTTTTTCTTTTTCCATTCAGATTCCAACCTGTTCACTTTGTTCTAGCTTTCTGAACTTTTTTTTGAAAATATTTTCAGCAAATGCTTTTTCATCACTTTCTAATGATGTTGAATGCAATAAGTCAGTTGCTTCGTGTGCAACTGTTATCACAACAACTACTACCTACAARCTAACTGAAGCTAATCGTAGAATGTACCAACAAAATAAATCAGGTGACTTATTGCATTTAACATCACTCGAAAGTGATGAGAAAGCATTTGCTTAGAACATTTTCAAAAAAAGTTCAGAAAGATAGAACAAAGTGAACAAGTCAAAATCTAAATGGAAAGTGATTTGATTTGAAAAAGATTTGCCCTTATATTTAAGACTCGTGCCTTAAACTTTTAGATTTTCTTTGCTCAATGATCAGTGGCCATTTTCATAACCAGAAAACTCTTTAATTAGTACGCAGGTACTCTTTATTTGTTTTAAGTAAACAAAAAGTTTTTGTTTATTCTAATTAGAACAAAGATGCACCTTCTTTGTTCTAATTAATTGACCATTTTTAAGCAAAAGAAGAGTCTTAAAACAAATACTTTTATAAAAATGCAATTTTAAGTAAGATTAACATGCATTTCTCCTATATGGAGCAATGCTTGAGTAACAAACCATAACTTCAAAAAATCATATCTTGAAAACTATCCCGTATATTTTTTTGAAAATTTGGATTACAACTAATAAAGAGATGCTCTACACGATGGTAATGATGAAAAAACAATTTACTCGTAGGGTATTTCTTAGATTATTTCGATTTACTTCCAACTTCGAACAGTGTTCGAAGAAAAGTTTGCAAATATTCAATTTCAAATTTTATATCATTCTAAAGGGCCATCCCTTTAGAATGGTCTTTATTTGAAGGAAATAGTTATTGAGTAATGATTTTTTAAAGTTAAAGTATTTTAAATTCATTTAAATTAGAAAAAAATTATTTTGTTCAAAGTCCGTGGACTTTTTAAATTTTTTTTAGTGCATTTGATTTGTCTCACTGAGACGAACAAAATGATATAAAATTTGTCAAGTTGTCACGACATGACTTTTTTTTGTGGCCTTGTGTTATTTCATTTTTATAACTAAAATTGAGAAGAACAGAATGAGAGAAGCTAGCAGTGTCGCAGTATCGTCTCCTCGGGCTACCTAAAGACCAGTGTCGATAAAAATACGTGCAGTGAAGTAGTGCCCTTGCGGTACATGCAGTGCAGTGCGGGTCGAGTCGTACCTGGTTCTTCACGAGGCACTGCTAGATGGGATTGGAGAAGTATCCAGCTCTATGCGACCGGTAGTTCCTAGAGAATTCTCTTCTGCCAATCTGCTGATCAGGAAATGGTAGCGCCAGTAGCGTATACCAGCGAGAGGGCATCGCGCTAGCAGAGGGCAATCGGTGCGAGGACCGAGCTGACGCACCCGCACTGCGACCGCAAATCCCACATTAAGACGAAATGAAACGGAAAGACCAGAAGGAAACAGCAAAGAGTTGAGAAAAATCCAGACGCGACTCACTCACCTTCTCACTAAAATCACGATGGTGGTGATGATGGCCGCCAAGAAGACGAAGCCGCCGAACGCGCCGAGGGCGATGACGGCGCCGAGGTTGAGTTTGGCGCCGAAGGTTTCGCGACGCTCACCGTCGACGGAGAGGGGGATGTTGACGTTGGGCACTTCGCCGTGCTGGATGTTGGAGCTTCCGGCGATTTCGTTGTCTTGGGGATGCCCGGCGACGATGATCTGGGGCACGGATGAGGAGCTGGAGGTGCGGCTGGCGGGGGTGGTGGTCGAGCGGGTCTTATTGGAGGTGCCGGTGTCGGCGCGGATGGTTGTGGGGGACGGCCGGGGAGGACGAGTGCGAATGCGGGGGGTTGTTCGGGATGGGGATCGGGAGATCGTTGGGGGCGATGTGGTGGATGCCAGGGCTTCAGCTGCAAGCATACCATTTTCTTATTATAGAATAAATATACACTGTCCTGTTCTTGTGAAAAAGTTAAACTATAAAGAAATTATGATTTTGTTTAAAAAGATAACACAGTACTACGTTTGGCAAAATAAATCTTTATCTTTTTCACAAAAGTGCCACTTTTAACACTCTGTAAAAACTATTTTTTAAAATCACAGTTTGAGTTTTTTGCAAGAATAATCAACGATAAACTTTTGTATAGCTCCAGTTAGCCCAGTCAAATTAGATAAATCGGTGGAAAAAAATCTTAGAGAGTTGGAATTTTTTTTAAACGCTTTTTTTACACTTGGGTAGACATATATCAAAAGTCCCAGAAGGTGGGGGGCGAGCTCGAGGAGGGGGTTAAAGGTGTCTTTTTTTTTGGTTTTTTGCTTATATCTCGGAAATTATCACTCTTATATGTTTTTATCTTCTTATCAAAATTAAAGATTATAAAATTTCCTACAAAAATGGTCCTTTGCATTTTTGTTGTAGGACTAACCGTAAGCGAGTTATAGGGCAGACAAAAAACATCATTTAAAAAAATGTGCTTTATCTGCATTTAAAACACAATTAGTCTTGTAATTTAAAAAAAAAACTGACAGTAAATTGAATTTACTGGGTCCAATACTTCATTAAGGGAAGGGGGAGTCACGAGGGTCTATAAATACAAACTCATCGTTTATGTAATTTATGCAGAATTTACTGTTGAAGTCTATTTTTCTGCATCAAAATTTCCTACAAAAATGGTTCTATTCATTTTTACCGCAGGACTAACCGTAGGCTTCAAAAGTTTGGAATCTACATAAAATTGCATTAAAAATTCTTTGAAACACATTTTATTAGTATATGGTAAGTATTTATATGTGTGAAGCGTTCTCCAACTAAGCTGGTACCGCCTGAAAGGTGACTCGGGTGTAAACATTTAAACGGAGATATAAATAAAAATTTTGGATGAAAGAGATAATTAATCTGTAAGGGGGTTAAATGGGGTGTAAATGATTAAACAAAGATGTAAACATAAAATTCTTTAGAGGTGTAAAGGGGCACTAAAATCAGATTTTTCGAAAATTAGTTTTTTAAGGGAATAAAACGGTGTACACATTTAAAGGGATATAAAAACATTAAAAAACATGATCCTTAGAGAGTGTAGAAGTGCACTTTTCAAATTTCAATGAAATAAAATAGAGTTTAAACGCTTAAAACAAAATTAGAAACATGAAGTTTCGAATTTTGAGAGTGCAGAAGTGCACTGAGACGTCACTTTATGAAAATCAACATTTAATATTTATCCATAAACATAGCCTATGCGAAGAACGACACTATTTATAACTGAATCCTATACATAATATAGGTAATTAATTATCTAGCGTTATAGAGTACCTAAGCTAATGGAATGGTTTTGTGAACGGGCTTTTTCCCATTTTATATCAGAAATACACGCGGACAAAGTCGCAGGGAAATGCTAGTTCAGCATATAAGGATGACTCGGAAGACTTGATAGACCCTCGTGGTTCCTTCTAATAAACTGTTGGATCCAATACATTCAATTTACTGTAAGCTTTATTCAAATCATCGATATTAAATCATCTATTTATTAATATTGTACTGAACAAGATTGTAATTCGGTTTTCAATGTTTAAGTTGAAGACGAAGATGCAGCATATGAGGGCGACTCGGAAGACTCTAATGAAGTGTTGCACCGAATAAATTCAATTTGTTTTCAGTTTTTTCAAATCACAATATTAATTCTGTTTTAAATGCGGATAAAGCACATTTTTTAAATGATGTTTTTTGTCAGCCCTATAACTCGCTTACTAGTCCTACAACAAAAATGCAAAGGACCATTTTTGTAGGAAATTTTGTAGGCTTTAATTTTGATAAGCAGGCAAAAACTGTTAGGAGTAATAGTTTCCGAGATATAAGCAAAAAACAAAAAAGACACCTTTAGCCCCCTCCCCCTTCTCGAGCTCGTCCCCCACCTTCGGGGACTTTTGATATATGTATGTCTACCCAAGAATAAAGAAAGCGTTTAAAAAAAATTCCAACTTTCTAGGATTTTTTTCCACTGATCGCCCTATTTTTGTCTAATTTGACTGGGCTAAGTGATTAATAAGCTCGTTAATAAATTATTATTTTTTTTGTTTCTTTTACAGTACCTTGACATTTAGGAGGAAGAGCATCGTATTGTCCATTAGCCAAACATGTGATTGTTTTCGGCCCGATCAGCTTGTACCCAAATTTACATTTATACTCAATAACAGAACCGAAAAGTGTTTCATTAGTCGGCGATTCAAATTTTCCATTTTCAATTTCGAGAGGTGGTTCGCATTGGACAGCTGAAAGATTTCAGTTAGAAATTGTTTTATTTTATTATTTCTTACATACGTTCACATCGCGGTGGTGGACCATTCCACCGCTCGTCAATATCACAAGCAAGTTGTGCTCTTCCAATCATCTCATAACCTTCATCACAAGTATACACAACTCGGCTTAGATAACCGACACTGTCATTAACCAAAAGGTACTCTCCATTTGCTATATCAGCAGGGTACCCGCACTGAATTCCTAAAAAAGAAAAAACAAAGAGTTTATTAATATGTAAAGAACCAAAATGAGGGAAATACTTTTGCACACAGGGGGGAACTCATTGTAAAATCCAGTATCCAGACAAGTCCTTGTCGTTGGACCAACTAGGAGGTGTCCTTCGTCACAAATGTACTCGATAGTGGTACCAACGTTAAAATTCTGGGCCAACATTGTCGAATTTGGTGGCTGTTCCGGTCTTCCACAAGCTTTAGGTTCTGAAATCAAAACATTTAATCTCAAATTAGTCCATTTTTGTGCAAACTTACGATGTTGGCAAATGTAGTTCAGATGCATATTGCAATCGGTATCCGACCAGAGCCACCCTTTAGTACCATCATATCTTGCACAATCTCCGTTCCCAACAGGGAGATTCCAGAAGGAAACAGTCACTTCTTCCCCTTTCAACCATTGCCAGCCTCCTTGCTGCTTATCCCTGACGGCCCCCATCCAGTACTGGCCACTCGCGTCGCTTCTGTGCCTCCTCCACAACTCCCAACTGATGAAACCCTGCAAAGCTGGATTGCTCTCATCGATCAACGTTCCACCTCGACTTCTGCAAAAAGCCAAAGCGTCCCTGAATTTCATCGGTTGTCTGTTGTAGAAAATGTAACATTTGCCGTTGTAAGTGGCAGTACTGCCTGGGGGTTGGTCTCTGAATTGCGGGCATCGTTCAATGGGGAGGGCTTGGTCGGTGTAAACAAAGGCTTCGCAAATGGATAACTGACTTGCGACAGGCACTTCGAGGTGGACGCTCACGAAGGCTCCGGGCATGGGAGGGTTGCATGGCAGGAAAAGGGGTTGGCCTTCTTCGAGGAAACCGGTGAAGCGGTTGCAGATGGGGTTAGTGCCTAGGTCTGGGCGGTTATTGCCCACACGGACGACGATAGTCGCCGGTTTGTTCGCTCCTAGAAAGAGTGTTAAATTATAATTAATGTGGTAACGCGCTATAAATTTTTTGAAAGAAATAAATCAATCAAGTGATTAAATGTTCAAGCAGGACGATTTTTATCAGTGCGATTATGGTTTTTATGTTGTGAAGAATTTTAGAAAATCATAATTTTTCGGTTTTATTTCTTGATATTTCAGATGAAGTGTAAAAATTTCTCACTAATTCACTAAGAAAATTTGAATTTTTGTTGCTGCTATATACAATGCGTAAATATGGTTTTACAGAGAGCTGCACGCAGTGATCATCACACAAGCACAGACGCAAAATTTGTTTAAAACGTTTTTCCACGAATGACCAAGAGATAACGACAAGAATTTTTTTTATTTGGGATATGTACTATGTACGATATATTGTTTTAATTTTTTTCCCCGTTATTAAATATGAACCACTTGTAATGTTGCAAAAGTTCTAGAATTATATGTAGCTCGCTACGCATATGTATTTTTCTAAGGCCACGCTGGTACATAATGATTATTTGAACTTTCTAGATTAGGTTGCATGATCATGATAAGATAGCAAAATAGGAAATCCTATTGTTGAGCTTTCTTCTCTTCTTTTTAATTATAATTATTGTGCACATAAGTACATTAAGACAAGGTTATTTGAAATATCCTGTAATGCAAACATAAGTATTTTGCAACAAAATAATATGATTTAGATTGAGTAATTAACCGACTTAATGTGGTCAAATTGTTTTAATTTATGATGGACTTTTTTCGAATTCGATACAGTTAAGTGGAGCTTTTTAGTAGAGCATTTTATTATGAAAGTGTCAAATATTCACTGAAGCAGAACTGAAACAGTCGACGATTAGTCAAAACGGACGATTAATTTCCTCTTCACAAAACATGACATCTTGGAACATGTGAACCGTTGAATGTTTGATTACTGTTAATGTAACTCAAAAAATAGAGCCAATTTTGTTAATGGAAATAGAAACTTCTAAAATCCATTTTGATTCATGTTAATAATTCAAGATCGTGACAAAGGCCTCGTTTACTTTCGCTTTATTTGAATATTGTGCAGAAAGTGTGGTTTTTTAACAATCATGATTAAACGGTTTTCCTTCCGTTTATCGTAACGTTACGTGATGATTTGAAGGTATAATTTCCAATTTTCTACTTCGTTACTCATCAAAATAAAACGCTTACCACAACAGGGTTTTCCAAAATCCAGTCGCACCAACTGGACCATGTAGGGCTCCAGAAGGTTAACGTACCACCAAGGAGTACGTTCTGCTTTAGTCAGAGTGCAAGTTTCCGCGTTGAAAAACGCACTTGTACTTCCATCGATGGCCTTCTGTGGGATTCCCCCCGACTCTGTGCTCACTTGCATGGGGGCCTTCCCAGCAGCCACATTCAAAACTGTAACAAAAAGTAATCATTGTAGTGAAACTGGGTTAGCGTTATTAGATATGCAAGCTTTCTATGGGGGAGTAGAAATAAAAAAAGACACCGTGATGGAGTTGTTAGGGAGAAAAGGCAAGTTTTGCAAAAAAATTAATTTAATGTGAGAGTGATTTATGTCGATTTTTGCAAAAACACTTTCACCGGTGGTTTTTGCATGAATTTATTAGTGTGATAAATGAAGCATTAACAGTTGGTTCATCTATTTCGAATTAATTTTAAAGATTTCTATTTCTGAATAGCAGAAATAAACCACAAGAGTAGAATAATTGCAGGCTTCTTCTTTTGGTAAACCTGAACAAAGTTCTCATAAAAGTGCAACAAAGTGAATCACGAAATGTAGGAACCGTGATGACACAAAGACCCACATTATGATATGTGGATTATTATTTTATCATGCCGACAAGAGAAATTTAAATTCGACGTAATATTAATATGTAAAGAGTAAAAACCCAACTTTTGGTTAGATGTTAGATAAAAATTCCTTGAGTAAAAGCAAATGCTTTCATTTACGTTTGGGCATGTGTGAAAGCTGTTGAATCAAAACACTGGAACAATTTAAAAATAATGTACATTTATTACTTTGCAGTTTTATTGTTAAATAATCACAAACCCTTAAATCCATTACACATTTGACCCACTTTTTGACAATTTCGTTGTTTTTTCTTGTGAAATAATATTCTCTAATTTGGGAATCAATCTTTGTGTTTATGATTTCTTTAGAAGTCACTGTACTGGAAGTGTTTGTCGGCAAGGCCAAGGACTGCATAAACAAATTTCTCGGTCGAGGTCGAGTGGGGATTTCTGGACACACCTTATCACAGATATACCGTTTATGTAGGTGTAGGTAAGTATATTTGACATCCGGAAAAATATTTAACATCGATTTTCACCTTAGACAAAATAAAAGAAATCCATAATTTTATGGAAATTTTTTTTAATTGTATTTCATACAGACAGCCGTCATCAGTAGTTACAACTTAACTTGCTTTATTTATGTAACTTTCTGCAACTTTTACTTTATTATTTTTCTCACTTTCATGACATTTGTCATGTATAAATAAGATGTTGTAACATATTTTATTCATCCCGAAATTAGGTTTTTCTAATTTTGTTGTAATTAGTCTGATAGGTTGACTCATTATATAACCTGTCGGAAATAACTAACTATTTTTTCAGTTATTTGTGGTTTGTTGTAATTTCTTGCAGAATTGTTCTACTGACCGAGTAGCTTTAAGTTTTATTCCGGATTTAAAACCTCAGACTTTACTAGCATTCAAATCTCTCTTTAAATCATTAACTTTGTTAGTTAAATCGCACAAAGACTTGAACTTATTTAATTAGTTACAAGTTTAATTAGACAAAATTTAACTGAGAATTAGTTTTAATGGCATATTCGATAAATTGCATTTGCTCATTAGTGATCTAATTAAACGGTGGACTTTTTTGTAAATAAATGGGGTCAAAACTAAATAAATGTTGCTTCAGGTCTGTTGATTTTTTTCTAATAAGAGTTGCACATCTGAAGTTCGAGTATGCTAATTTCAAAGAAAGTGAACATGTTGAGACTTTTTATACTATAGATGGTTCTTGGGATATCTATGTAAATTTCTAGATTTGTATCTTTTCTCCCTTAAGCGGCAGTGAATTATTTTTGATATATTGGTAATAATAGACTCGATACTTTATTTGCGTGAGTGAATCTAGCCAAAGTAGCAACTATACAAACTATAATTATGGAAACTGTTTTATTCATGTTTTTTTTTATTTTTCAGACCGTTAGTTTTTTCAAATTAGAATTGATTTTGGGTGGTCGTGTTGTCTCATGTCTGAAAAGAGCACAAACTTTTGTTTTTTTTTTATCAATTATAATTATAACGAATGTAGGTAGGTAATAAGTTTTAAAAGAACAAAATATTCGAAGAAATTGGAAAGAAATTAAACAAACTGATCCAATTTTGGTTAATTAGACTTTTTAAAGGCCTCAAAGCAAATTCTTTTGCTTGAAGAAATATTCTTAATTGCGAATGATTATCAGTTGATATTTTCGCATTAACTTTTACTAGTTTTTTCGAGATTTCTCTTGATGTAGGTCTATTCTCCCTTTTCATTTGGCAGTCTGTAATCTAAGTTAAATTAGATTTTAAATGAGATTTAAGCTATCATCGTACAAAAACTAGTCCAGACAAAAGTAATTTTCTTATAATTAATAAGCCATGATGGGAAAGTAATAAAACTGGTTATAATAATTTTTATGCACTTGGTATTTTTTGATAATTTAGGTTTAGTGAAATTTTGATCTTTTCATGGTGTTAAGACTAATGAAGTTTAATGATTATTATTCATGCGGTAATTGATATGATATATTCATTAATTCAAGTAATTCTCGGATAAACTTGTTACGTCAAACTTTCTTGCAATTAATTTTAGAAAGCAGTCGTCTTCCAGCACCGATCAATAATTTACATTTGTCGATGGTTTGATAAATGAGTTAAGATTTACTTTTTTGCAATTGTCTCAAGATGGGACAGTAGCAATGATCTTTCTTACATTCCAGGCTATGGTCGATGACCGAGCAACTTGGTACAAATGAAAAGCAACGTGCAAATGTCTCAACATAATACATATGTAATTTAAATAGTCCTTTTTACATCATTTTACTGTAAAAGAGTGGAACTAGTCGAGTGATTTTTTAAAAAACGGTACACTTAATCCCTAGAACAAGAACGTTACTGCGATTTAAAAGACTGAACATGTTCAATATTATTTCCACTATCACTGAAGTTGAATCGTTTATAACAGTAGTATCACATGTGCAATGAATGTGAAGAATTTTAAATAAAACAACTGTGTTTCTAATTGGCTTGGCAATGAAAAGAAAAGGAAGTTCAACTGCAGCACACGTGAATTATTTCAAATCAATTTCAAGATTTACTGCCTTTTATTGTTTCCTAGTAGTTAGCATGCAATTAAGAGGATTTTCATATTTTATTGAAACAAAAAGGATGCGTCTTGCTGATGCATATCCTTCCGTTGCTTTCCACACGCAACTTTTTGAGAAAAAAAATCTATACAATTGTTATTCTTGGAACTAATCAAGCACATGACAAAACCTATTATCTACGCGTTAGTATCTTTGTGGCTTTAGTATCTTTGCCTCTTGCATAACATGGATTCCATATGGCAAAATGAACAATTAATGATTAGTCTAACAACTATTATTTACTTTTAATACCTACACGCTTGCATATGTCACTAAAATTACTGTTACGTGTGGTAAATACTTGAAATAGCGTTATTTAAATCCCAACATCTGCCAATATAGACTCGGAACAAAGTAAAATCAACATTCACACGTTTGGGTTTCTGAGTTTGATTTTTTGCAAATATTTGAAGTCGTAGCATCTGAGGTTGTTTATTTACATTCTTTTGGTGAATGTTTAAAAAGTGTAGAATATTATTTCCATGAAAGTAATGGTCGACGTGTTTTAATTTTTATTTTGAATTTACAATATAATGTTATTATCTTGTTTAAGTAGAAATACCAACCTACTGTTATTCTGATACGCGTGAGAGATTTTACGTTTTTTAAAGATTGCAAGTTACATTAATATCTAACAATTAATTTCTGTTTTTATTGTAAGATTTATGGTACCTACTTACTATTAAATAACAATTTATGAAATTGAATGTGATGGGGAAGTTACAATACATCATTATTATTTAATGCAAAGGGTGTGTTAAATATATTGAGCTTTAGTCCTCAAGATATGTTATATACACATGAAATAATAATCTACTATAATTGAAAAATATTCTACTAATTTTAGTATGTTTTGAAGGATGATTGTGCCTAAGCAAATATAATATGAAAACAAATATTTTGGTTGGTGTATTTGAAAGGTGTTAGTTAATTGTACATTTAACACTTGTTGTTAAAATAATTGCGCATTTCCTCATTTGCAATCATATTGAATTCAATTATCTTCATATGGTTAAGTTAACGATCATTGATTTTATCTTTAAGAAAAAATATTGCGTCAGTAAGGTCATGAAATTTACTGTGTGTAGCCAGTTTTTGGTCACTACAATTATCCATTTAATTTAATGTTGTTTTTTTCTAAACTTAGATTTTGACTTAGTAATTATATGAGACTTTTTACAGTTACCGTCATTGAAATTCAGGCAAATTATGTTTTTCACGTCATAGGTAGACTTTATATGAAATGAATAAAGTAGACATACTTAATTATTTACATCGCTGGTATAAATAATTACTTTCTCTAATTAATAGCATACAGCTTTTAATCAATTTCTCTCAATTTCTTTCAGGGCTTAATGTGGCATTTGATTTTTTTTAATCACTCTTTGTGATTTAATATAAACTATTAACAAAGATAAGTAAAAATTTGAATGTTTGCATTTTTGGAATTAGCTTCCAAAACGACAGAAAAATAATCTACAGTTATATTTTCGTTTAGGACAGTGTTTTTTTTGAGTTCAAAATTAAAATCTTTCGTGTTGGAAAGACAAATTACGACAATTATGTTTTGAAAATTCTCTTATTATTTAGGAGTATACTCTATAATGTTTCTGGTATGATTTTATGATAATGACAAAAACTGACCAAACTTACTTCGCAATTTTTGCAATACAGTTGCGGTACAGCATGTTAAAAGTTACATTATTTACAGTTAATATTAAAAATAAATCACATTGATTAACAATGTGATTTTATGGCTACTTTTCAATGACACAACTCTATACATATTACCTAAGATTTGTAAAATATTTACATTAACAAAAAAATATTAAAAATCTATTTCTTCTTCTTGGATCTTCTTGGTATGGAAACGATGAACAAAAACACGATTAGCCCGTCACACCAAACTTTTCAACTCAAAAGTTTGGTGTGATGGGCTAATCGTGTTTTTGTTTAAAAATCTATGTTAAAAATAGGTTTGAATTTTTTTTTTTAGTTTAAAGAAACAAACCGTCGTTTTAATATTTATTTAAAAATAACCAAAAATTTTTGGTACGTGTTTTATCTGAAAAATTGTATTTTATAAATGAAAGACGGACTTTACACCTTATTTATCTGACTTTTAACGCGAACTTTAATACAATTAACTAGACCAGAGGTTAGTTTACTATTTTTTGTAAACGTGTTTTTTTCTTGTCTTTTGCTAGACTTTCATTGGCCTGTTTCGGAAATCGAATTTAAGAGTGGGTTCAGATAAGTAGTGAAACATATATTCGTATATTCGATTTAATATATTAAAATTCTGTGCAAAGTTCTGGAATGAAACAAAATTTTATTTTATTTTGTTTTTACTTGAAATACAGTAAAAGTTGAGACAATTTCTGCTGTTATACTAAATCGATCCTCAGAAAGTACAAACCGTAATTACAGCACCCAGTAATATGTTTTTCGTGAAATAAATATTGTGTTATTTATTTTATGTTTTGTTATTTAAGCTAGTTGTTATGCATGAAGGCCTCTCCTCTAGTTCTCATTCCAGGCGATTTAAACGCCATGAATTACGTAATAAATGTATCTACTTAATCCCTTTTTTTCAGGAATCCTTCATGAGGTAACAGCTAGAGCAAACTGCTTTTCTGACCTGCACGATCTTCTGATTTGTTACCGCTTGAACACGTGTGGCTTATAACCGACACATACTTAAGAAATTTTTTACCCTTAGAATAATTTACACACAATCTTTACTTTTAAATTTCATAAGCGTAGAAGATAATGCCAATAAATAAATTATTAATAAAGTTGGCATGTGACATCCTGTGAACGGCTTAAGTTTTCATTCGTTTCTTATTAATTTTTAAAAGTTCTTGCATGAATTAGAGTAATCCTGAAAAGGAATTTAAGTGCACAAGTCCGTGCTCTGCAACATCAATTATGTTCACAGCAACACGCCCAACCCAGCGTCCATTTCCTTTCCGCACTGAATGTGGAGGTATCCCAAGAACGCGGAAAGTTTGCACAAAAAATGCTGAAATAGTGCCATAATGACTAATGATTGTTTATACTGTTCTGGTTGCTGTAACCTTAATCAACGGTCAGTCTGTCAAAGGTTAATTTTTCTCAGCGTCTATTTTGAGCGAAACTGTTACAACAACGTGTATTTTAGGCTGGAATTACTGGTGAATGTTAATCACGTATAAATCAATAAACCGTGGACTTTTCTCCCAAATTTACATAACATCAACAGTCAAAAATAACGAAAACTCGAACCGTTATCGTCAGTGGGAATAGCCCACCTGCTTGGACAATATTCATAGAATTATGATGGTTAATTACCATAATCTTAATTTTGGGGGCGTAACTCATCACTTCTTCAGTCGGTTATTAGCTTCTTGGGGCATCTCAAACATGTGATATTTTTCAAGCAATTTACGAGAAACGCCAGGACCATGAAATCATTAATATGGACAAGACCTGGAATGCGTCTGTGAGAATTCATTCACACGGATCTTAATTCTCTCTATTAAATAAACGACATTTTTTGCGATCTTCTTCGGTAGAAAGTTTAACTGTGTCACTAAATTTGTCCGTTAATTTATTTATTGATAATTGGCGAATCGAAAGTCATTGATTTAAACTGGCCTAAAACTCTTCTTTCACTTTTGTGATCTATAATTTGCAAAATGAGGTCGACTTTTTGTGATTGTTTATAGCAGGAGTGATGCAGATCTACTGCCTAATCAGATGGAAATCACTTTCTTTACAGTTCATTCGCTTTGGCGGCTTTACCAATCAAATAAATATTTCAGATGTCAACGGATTCCTTAAATTAATTGTAGAAAGTATTTTAGCTGTTTACAAGGTTTTAATTTATCACGAAAAATATGCTAACTTCTATAAAAGTCAAGTAAATTAGTGTACTAGTGTAAACACTAATTAATATAAAGTGTTTTGCAAAAATAATAAGAGAATTTAATGACATCAGTGGAAAGTAGATAAATCGTTTGATTATGTATGAATTTTTGTAAATATGAATTTAATGAATAAATTTTAATTTTCTCTGAAATTTTATAATACAGCTTAAATACATAATTTGGTTTGGTTCGTCCCGAAATACATAATGAGATAACTGTAATATTTTTGAGCTTTATTTTGTTTATAAAAATAATAATAAAACAATTTAAGTAATTTTGACACAAATAGTAAGAAACAACAATTAGGTTTTCAGACCTTTTAGATAAAAAAACATGTAGGTAGTACATAATATCATTTAGCATCTTGATACTGAATATTAGTTAATAGAAAATTACATAGTTTTAATTTTACTCAAAACTATGCATTTCTAGTTATTATTTAACATTATTTAAATTATTATTTTTCCTATTTAAAAATTCCACGCCAATAGTGCAACCTTGTTTTTTACTACTCATATCAGCAGCAATAACTAATCCTTCATTTGATTAATTTATTTAAGTAAAAATAAGTCGGCATTCTCACATAAGAAATAAAAAAAGATTTTTGTGTAGAAATACAGTCTACAGTCTAGCTTTGTATTAGAATTTTGTGGTTATCATGTCTTTATAATTAATTTTGAGTAATTTGAATGGATTTAGTTGGTTAACAGGAATGTTGATGGGCGGCGGAAGAAGTGATGTCTATAGGTTCTTTAAGATAATGATATGCATCAAAACTAAATTAAATTAGTTTAATTTATAAAACCTGTTTACTTTGATGATTAATAAGAGTTGTAAAAAAGATCCACATCATTACTTACGTAAGTTACTACCGATATTCCCTTTTACATAAAACTAACGGTGTAACGATTACGACATATCAGAAAGAAGTGAATACTGAATATATTAAAATAATTGGAATGCATGTTTTTTTCACATTTGGTTGGTTTGTGGATCTAAATTACTTGCATGGATAAACAAATTGAAGCTTATCCTTTTTATTCTTGTCAAAAATCTCAAAACAGTAAAACGTCAAACGATGTGGGCCTTGACCCGCCTATGTAGAAATGCTTTGCGCGGACTGTGAAGGTCTGGGTCTTGGACATATCATCGGCGGAGTTTACATATGGTGAATTGTGTTACCAACACACGAACAATCATGACACTTTTGTAGGTGTTTCATTATAAATCAACAACAGTTAACTATTACATTTAAATGAAAGGCTATTATGCTTCAATATTTAAGTGCTAGTCATCTGGAATTTTTCTATAGGTAGGTACTTTAAAACTTCTATTCATAGGTCAGTTTGTAGGACGCAAAGAATACCAATTGTTAGACACAATAGCAAGAGACGGATTCTTTCTAGTTTGATTTCATTTTAAATGTTCTATTATTTTTAATATCATCATGAAATGCGTAGGGAGTATAGTACTGCGAGTGATTTCAATGGTAGATTAAGAAGGAAACTAACAATTTTATTGGTATAATTATTATGTTTTATACCATTAAGATTTATGGTGGAACTCAATAGTCTTTGTATAAAATACAGTAAATAATTGATGACCAATACGTATTTTTCCTCAGGCAATTTCACACATCGCTAAACATATACCTACCTACGCTTTAATTTGTCGCTACTCTAGATGCAATCTTTGAACTCAGCCTGTCAGTAATTGTAGATTATCACAACTGGAAGACATAAATATCAACACGAAAACGCGATTCTAATTTAGAAACACTGAAAGGGAACTTCCAATGACTTCTTTAAAATGTTATTTAAAAGACCTAACTATTGTAATTATTGTTGTTTGAATTAATTACTGAAATTTTCTCACGTGAAAAACTTTTACGATAAAAAATGTAACTTTCAAAAACTGGTTTTCACCAATTTGGGAAAAACAAATTCCATTAATTTAAATTTTATTAGAAGCATCAGTCACGTGGTACACATTTTTTTTTATTTTAATTGATTTTTTAGGTGAATTCCTAAGAATAAAATTTTAAAACAAAATTATTACACATTTTTTTATTTTTTATTTTTATTATAATTTTTTTAATGTAAAACTAAAGTAGAATATTGGTGACATTTAAAATTGCAGAAAATCTTCTTTATGATGTGCTTAGTGTGGCACTTTGTGGTTATCTAGTGGAAAATTATTTCCTCAATCACGCATTTGGGCGTCAGAAAGCATAAAGTAAAATGGTTGTGACTTTTAATTTTGCTCATTCAGAAATAGAAATTATCAAAAGTTTTAATATTTGGAAAATCACGACTTTATAATTGAGCAATTTAGAACGCTAATTATAAATAAATAGGACGTCAATTAACACTCAGTTAAAATAGTTTATGACTTTATTCACATTGGTAAAACACAAAGTATTTATATTTCTTCCAACCTTGAACCAAATAATAAATTATAGTTAAATCCCGAAGCTTCTACAAGTTTTTTAAAGGTTATTTCGTTTCATCACTTGAATAGCTTCAATAAGAAAAATGTGTAACTTAACTCTTGCTAATTACTAATTAGTGAGCAAATTTAAATTAATTTGCACGTTCGAGAAACGGAGCTTTGATGAAAACTGGATCAGTCGTTGTTTGTTTCTTTAATTTTGTTGCAATAAAATGCCGGATTTGAATTAAAACCAAAACGGAAAATCTGCGCGAAAAGTAAGCATAATTGCATAAGGACCGGAACTCGTTTGGTATTTAGGCCGACTTCCTGTCTGTGCTGATTATTATTTGCCCATGACTTATGCTTGGCCTACTTGGAGACTCCGGTCCGTTATATTTCGCAGTTTACTCATCGTCATCCTCGTCTTAAGTGAAATTACATTTTACCTCTTTGTTTACTCACAATTCGAGGCTGCTTACCTACTTAACTCTACACAAGCCCATACTGGGATTAAAACAATTGACTCACCACAAAACGGAATTCCCTCAGGCAGCCATTGCCCGTTTTCGCACACGCGTCTTGAGGGGCCCAGGAGTTCAAATCCTCGCTCACAGGAGTAGGTGGCTACGGTTCCGGGGCCGAGGTTCTCGTCGGAAAACACCACCGACGAGTGGGCCGGAGCTCCGGGAAAGCGACATCCGAGTTTCTCTTCGGCGGAAATTCCTGCAAGATTTTTATGAATCATTAGAAGACATTGTGGCACAGGTTGACGAGGGTTAGTCTCTACCGGAAATGCAGCAGGTGGGAAACATGTAGAGCGGAACCATGATTACTGATGCTTGAGTCGATGTAATAACGAATATTTTTGGAATTTCGGGAAACGGTTTTGGCGGTTTTTACATGAAAAATGTCACAAAGTGGTAACCGCAGAAATAAATAAAACGGTTCTTTGGGTGTCCAGGAAGAGCGACTTGTTGGGTTTGTTATGTCGAGTTGGTTTTAAGTGAAAAAAGTGCTAAAGTAAATGCCAGATGGGAGTAAGGCAATGGCGGCAAATCTTGCATCTTTAAGGATTGAGGATCATCTGCCAATAATTATAATTTATTTGTATTCTAATAGCATGCTATTGTATGTCTTACGGTGATTCTCAAATCGAGATGCAACATGTGATGAATGTCTGAAGCGACATGACAGGTTAATAAGTCAGTAAACTTCATACAATTTAATCAGGACTGAAACAATTGTAAACAAGTCGGTAAAGGCAACGAATGCCAATACTTGTCATTATTTTTGCTGAGACTAGATTCCCGAGTAGATGATAAACTTTTAATCCAGTTTTAGGTTGTTTACGTTAAGTTAATTGATTCTTTTAAACAACTTTAGTGTTATAGTGTATTACACAATAGCGTTCATCCAAGTATTCATCCTTTTTTCAAAGTCAATTATGTAGTAAACTTCTTTTAAAAAACCTTGTGGTTACCGTAAATAATGAGAAACAGCAGCGGAGAGGTTTTTTCGAAAAATGCATATGCTAGTTTTAGCTTAGATAATAATCATTTTGTCCCACTTTCTTCTATAATTTAAATCGGAAGTCTTTGAATAGTTGCATCATACACAACATTTTATTTGACTTGCAGATTTTTGTAAAAATTAGTCACTATGAGTAAAACAGTACCTAGGTAGATTTATTTAGAAACAGAAAATCACAAATATTGTTTACTGAAAAATACAAGAAATCGTAGGGCAACAAAACATTTAGTTGGTTCTTAATTTTATTAAAAGAGTACGTAACATACATTTTGTGTACCTACATTTTGGGACTTATATTGCCAATCTAGCGCTTTTCACAAGGATTTTTCTGTGTGAAAGAATGGAGCTTCTTTACTTTAAATTTGTAACTCAGATTCTCAGACAAAAGTCAAATGTTTGTGACCTATTTCATCTAAAAAAAACGCAATTACAACTTTGCCAGTGTGGCAACAGAAAAGTCACGAGGTTTAGGTAAGTAATTTGTAAGCAGATTTTTTGTTGAAGTAATTATGTGATTATTGAATTAAAGAATGAAATTAGTAATGAAATAAGGAATTCAGCTAATATATTAGCCAATTGTGATTTGTAGTAGTTTTAAGTTTATGAAAAGATTAGAAAGGTAAGAAAATGAGGAGGAAACTACTGAACCAAAACATTGTTAAGCGTTATATTCTCTTTTTGATTTTTTGTCTTTTCTTATGACCTGCTATAAGAGGTCAGTGAGCAGTTTTTGGTTTGATGCATTTTAATAAGAAACAATCTACTAGCAGTATACTCCAGTACAAAAAAAATATGACATCTGAAGAATCGAAAACTTCATCAAATTTTATAAAATAAAACAAAATTAAAATTCTTCAATATAAAATAGAGAAAAAATAGGTATAAACTTTTCAAAATTTCGAACTTTAAAAGGCAGTTGAAGAGACTAAGGGCTAGTTTCATAACCGAATTAAAAGGACTTAAAATTAATGTTGGTTTAGAATGTGAAATTTTTGTCAACAAGTCCGTAGTAATCAGCACATTCTAAACCAACATTAACTTTAAAGACTCTTTAGTTCGATTATGAAACTGGCCCTAAGAAAGTATCCAGAAATATGTATGTACAAAGATATCCACAATAAATGAATCTGTTGGCAATCCAGACTCTAATTGTTAAAGGTTACCATTAGAAACACTTTTGATTAACAACAATTCAACAATTTTGAGAGGTCTGTTACCAACAGACTCAGTCTTTCTACAACACTTTGTATATAAGCGTCAAAATAGCTACAAAACAAAACATTTTTAAAGAAAAATTCTTTGTAAATCTAAATCAATTGTCTAAAAACTTATTATAAAAATTATATTATATTATAAATATATTATATTTCAAATAATTTGTTTTTAAAAGACAATTGGTGAAGAAACAAGAAACTATTTAGAAATTCCGCTGCCAAACAGAAAAACTCTAAAATAAAAATTTTCGTATATACAGGGGTGTTTCACACAACTTTACGAGGCTTGTGCCTAATGTACGCTCCCAAATATACAAAAGTCACAAACACAAACTAGGGAAGATTATGCAATTTTTCAATATTTGTAATCGAGTTCGTATCGGAATATGTTTTATTGATTGCATTTTATAGGCGCAGACCTCGTAAAATTATGTGAAACACCTGTATTCAGCAATATAATAAACTCACTGAATAAACTATAAAAAAACTACTGGCGGTAGGTACAAAAAGATCTGAAATCAAATCAGTGGGAACAAAACGTGTTTTTTAGTGTACTTACTTTTTGGTAATGATTCTTACTTATTTCTAATTGTCTATTTTAGAATAAATTATCTAGTGTTTTCATTCAGAGCACGTGATCGGAATAACTAGGCAATCAACGTAAAATCTCTAGAAATATTGGTGTCAAGGGTCACGTGGCTCTTGACCAATTATGAAGGCACTGAAGGATTATTTACTATTTTTAAATAATTTCAACAAGCAACTAATTTCCTTATTTAATTTATGTATACAGAGTGTTTTATAAAAATTTTAACATCATACAATTGTACCTAAAAAACGATATCTTAAAAAATTGTCATACAAGTGCAATAGAAAATGTGATAAAATTTACGCTGGCTCTCCTACCACAGTATCAAAATGCAAATAGAACTTTGAACTTTTAAGTCAACCATATCAGAGTCGTGCTAATTTTTATTTCGGATTTTGGGCTTTTCTAACATTTTTTAAAATTAATTTTGTTTTAGAAATTGTGTGTTATTAAATTTGTCAAATAAATAATACTGACGATTTGAGATGTTAGTTTCAGCGATGGATTCTACTTTAAAAAACAGAAAGTACTTAGTAAATATGTAGTATAATTCTACGTTGGTGTGAACGTGAATACAAATTCTACGAATGATCAAATGCAAGAAAAACTACACACATTACACACTAATATTCATGTATTAATATTTTTTATATATCCCAAGAGAAGTGAAATACGTAATTAGGACTAACAATATTTTACACGTGGGAACGAAATTCTAGGGGGAGTTGTACTTATATTTTTCTTTCTCTCTTTTATGTCTTGGTTTGTACACAACATAATTGATTATCTGATAGGAGAGACTACCGACTGTGATTTTGATATGGTTTGGATTCATCAACTAAAAATGTTATCTGGAGTGTTTAACATCACCAATGCTACATTCTTTGAAACTTTCTACTTTGATATATTTGTTTATAAAAGCCAAAAGTAATATTTCAGGTTTTAATTGGAGAAAAAAAGATGGAGGAGTCATTATTCTACTACAACTACCTACTGTAGTATAGTGTACTACATAAATTTAAAACCCAGTGTGAAGCTAATTATGAGTGGCCTGAGAATTTAAAATTATTCTTTAAGGGAACAGTATTTAACAATGTTATCGTCAATATCAAATAAAAACAATAATAATCGGAATAGAAACTTTGAGAAATTCAATATTCTAGCGCAAAATACGAGGATCTGGTTCTCATGTATAAATGGGAGCTAATATACGCCTTAATTTTCATTTCTGGGTTACTGGCACAATTCAGACAATAAGTTACAAGTGCATGATATCAAGAACCATGTAAACAGCAGACAGCCAAGTCAAATTAGTTACGTGGTGCATAGGTAATTTTCTACAACTTTCCTTAAAATTACAACACAGTCGAGAAGCGTAAGTGATATTACTGATGTCCATACCGATACTGCATTGTTTGAAAGTACTAAGCGATCAGGTGATATTATAAAAAGTAAGTCGCGTATATGTCGCTAAAACAAGATTCTTAAAGGAAAACTATTAGTGAACCGTTGCCGTAAGCCAGTTGTGTTTAGTACCGGTTGGAAATACTGAAGAGGTTGTAAACCCGTTTGTCAAGTATGCGTGTCAGCAAAACTTATAGAAAACCACCGGAAAAGGGTTCATAATTTTAATTTTTCCTAATCAGAAGTGCGTGCCCAGTGTTAATTTATAACTGCAAGTATTTGCGCAAGAGTAACTACAATAATGACCAGAGAAAGTTGCTTCCTGATTACATTATCTGTCGTTTATTAGTGCAATAAGGGTAGAAACGTTAAAAGCGATAAAGGATTTAAACGGGTTCATAACATGCTAAGAAATGAACACTCAGAGAACGAGACAGGATTATTGACTGTGGCAGAACTACACATTTTTGGGAAATTTATACTCAAAAAGTTACACTTTATCAAAAAGTGGAACCAATAAAAACACACAAAATTGCAGGGAAAGTAGATTTTGTAAATTTTGATTTTGCATTTCGCTTGTAAAAGTTGCATTGTTATTAATTAATCGTAATTTAATGGTAACAAAATTGTTTTTGTGAAAAAACTAATATGTATGTGTTATTCCTCTGTCGCTTTTCCTCGTATTAGAATTTAACAACTGCTATTTTAAAAAGAATATTGTTAGAAGTTGCTATATTTTTCATCTTCTGTCGAGAGAAATAAGTCAAAACACAAACTAAGTTACATCATTGAAAAGCAAAAATCACAATTTTATCAACAAATGCAAAGTCATCCAAAACCAGTTTTAACTAATTTTTATGCATAGAGACTATCAAAAATGTGTTCAATATTATTCAGAAGTTTTTTGATTATGAATCGTCAATGATACTTTATAGGTTTCAGAAATTTAGATGTAAATTACAGGGTCTGGAATTACATCTTTTCAAATTTTCAAGGAAATACGAGGGCTTTGAATTAATAAATATTTGTTGAAAGTGTGAAGAGATTTTTTTAAATACATACAAACATTTTGTCAAGAAAATCTTCGTCAAAAAGTGTTACCACTCAACATTAAATTTATTATTCTAGAATTGTTTGTTCTTTTACTCTTAAAACATGTCAAATGGTATACGCGTATACATAGATGTTTTTTAAAAAAAACGACGTTTTTAAAAAACTAAATAGTATATTAAAGAACAAGTTTTATAAAGGTTGATTTGGCGCACGAATCCTAAGCTAGAAAACGAGCCGTAGGCGAGTTTTCTATATGGGATGAGTGCGCCAATGCCATTATAAAACGAGTATTTTATGCTATTTTTTCTAATTTGCGCCTCCTTTTTTCTTATTTTAATTAGAAAAACATATATTTTTGCGCCTAGAGAATTTTGTGTTAGTTGGTATCGGTTGGTGACACTCGGCGCCCACCTGTTTTTTTGAGTCATTTCTGCCGTTTGTCA